TCAAAAAGATAAGACCATTTTTATAAAAATAAGTGGTAGATCCTTAAAAATATTCTTTCTTATGTCTAACATGTTTTTTGAAGGCACTCAATAAATTCTTATACAAATAAAAATTTGGTAATCTATTTTGTAATATGAATCTAGATTAAAATAACATAAATGGATTGCTAATAACATCAGAAACAGTTGCTAATCCTAGTATAACAGCTTAACGTAATAATTAATTTCCTTCATGCCACATAGCTCCTAATTTAAAATCTAAGTCTGATAATAATTTAATCTTCAAATGACTATTAGCCAATAAATGAATAATGCCAATTAAATTCCCTTTGTAAAATGCCTACCATCCCTAATTTGTCAATCCTTAAATGGCTTCACGATAAGTAGTATAAATAGGAGCTCTAAATGGTTTATTGCTTCCAACAGCACCACTCTTAATCAATAATTCAAATTTCCTCTTTTCATGAGGTTGAATATCTCTTGTTGTTTTTACCAATTATGTAGATGTTTTAGTGCCTGATTCATCTGGTAAATCACCATATTTATTTTAATGAGGGATAACTGACAATTATAAAGATGTATATATGGTAGTTAAGGGAGCAATAAATGTTGTAAGAATGGATTGAGTAAAGTAATTGATCCAAAAATGCTTGTTGGTTTCTGCTTCTATTTATTTAAGAGTTTATTCATTGATGAATAGATTAGGATCTATACTCTTTTTCACACTTTCCTAAATTGATTAATTGTCTTTGTTTGAAAGAAATTATGAAAAATCTTTACCACTCATTATTTATAATTATATGAATTCATCATCTTATCTCATAAATTTTGTTATGGTTATTCAAATTATCCTTTTACTACTCTTGGAACTTCCAATTTCACTTCAATCACTCTTTTAATTAACATATCCACAACTGCCAATTTATTTGCTTCATAATCTAGATATATCTTATCAATTTCTGCCTTTGTTTTTCTTTCTAATTCTTCCTCTTCTTTGGTTGATCCAAAACGCTATTATTATTATTTAATAAAACTCTTAAGATTTCTTGATTATATCTGGTTTCTTCTTCTCTACGAAATACAGCTATTTCTTAATCAGCTGCTACTTTAGCCTCTTTTATTTTCTTCTCTCTTTCCTTCTAGGCTGTCTTAATAATATTATTTGCTTCTTCCTCAGCCTTTAATAATTCATCTACAGCCCAGTTCTCTCTTCCTTCAGCCATGATAATATATAATTTATTTAATGATTTAATAAAAAATATTTATCTAATATTGCATTATCATTAATGACTCAACAGTTATCTTTAAGGTTTCATCTAATCTATTTCAAAAGGTCTTTATAAACATTCTTAATCTCCTTCAATGGTGATTTTCTATTGTTAATTTGTATAGAATGTAATTCTTATTTAATCAGGCATTTTTATAGATTAGATTAAAAAGTTTTATAACTCTTTTGGGATACTTGGATTAGGTCCACAAATTTTAAGTGAAGCACCTTAGAAATCACATTCTGAAAAAGCTTAGAAGCACATTTCATTTTATTAAACCTCTAATAAATCAGCTTATGGAATATTCTCATTTTCATTTTCATTATCTTCTGAATCTGAATCATCATCTGTTGACTAATCAAATTCAATTTAATCTGATTATATATCATTTATTTCTTCATAGAATTCTTATTAATTTAATTCTTCTGGTAATTCCTCATATTGATATTCATAGATATATTCATATTCTCCAAGCTCATCATTATTAATTTCATCATAAGCATATTCATAAACATATTCATATTCTTCAGAATTTTCATCTCTATTTTATGTTTTTAAAGCATTAATCTTTGAATTCAATTAAATAAATGATATATCATCCTCTTTTTGAATAGGAGTGCATTCAAATTTCTTTTAATCTGAAACTTTTGTTTTTTCAATCACAGAAACAATTTCATTAAATAACTCTTCTGGTCCTTTACTTGTAATAATCATGAAATAATAAATGGAATTTACCTTTTCAATTCCTTCCAATAAATCATATACTAGTAATTACAAAGAGTATGTTACATTCAGGTGTTTGAGTACGTAATTTTCTTTTTATTCCATTATACCCAGGTTCTATTATTAATGCACTATAAAATTTTTAATCTCCAATTTTAATTGATTGAAATGCTCCACTATATCCTCCAGAATGAAAATCAAAATCTTAAATGTTACACTTCATGGCTAATTAGGCAGTAATAGAAACAAACTTTTAATTTTTAGGTGATATTGTTGTTAATAACATACCATTTATTGTCTTCTCAAGGGATCTAAAATTTTTATCTGTTTATAAAAAAGGATCTAGATTCTAATAGAACTTAAAAAAATACATTTTGTGAAAAGGACTTTTGTTTATCCTCCTTAAGAATATGCACACATTTTTTTTTAACATGTAATTTTTAAAACTGGAAGATCAGATAAGGCTTCAGCTAGATTGGCAATAGAAGGTGGTTTACAAAAGAATTGATCACACTTTTCTTATTGATTAAAATTTATTTACTTCCTTTATTAATATCATCTAATATTCCTTAAATTCCTTATAAGAATGATTCATCTGCAGTGAAATCAGAATTTGTTCCAGTTTCCAATGTTGCAAATACAATAATCACACATTTCTTTGAAAATTGTAAACCAGTAAACTCTTTTATTAAATAAATATTACAGATTGCATAGTTTCTTTTTCTTCTTTAAATAATTCTCTTTTCATTTCTTATTTATCACTAATTACAATTTAATGTATTGCATATTTTTTATCTCCTTCTATAATTGTTTTCAAATAAAATGCTTTAGGTATTTAAGCTTACTTATATTATCTCTTTAAATTTGTTTTAATATATGTTTATATGATGTTTTCTTGAGATTTCTCAACTACAAATATATAAACTCCATTCTAAATTGAACTATAGTGAATTGAATTAGTTCCAAAATAATCCTTTCCCTCCTTTAAACTATCCATAGTTTATTTGTGAGTTTTTACAGAGAATCTTACATCACCTTAAAAACTCACATATCTTTCTTTGCTTGTATCAATTGGTAATGGATCACCACCAATCAATTCTATCATTTCAATATTAGCACAATTATAGACTTTTGCTTCTGGACTAGCAGAAATCTGCACTCCAACAACTGTGAGTATCAATAAAAACAATACAAAATCCGTTTTAATTATAATCATTATTATATTATTTTTTTGCTTGATGTTTAAGCTCTTTTTGTTCCACTCATCATTTTGCTCTTAATCACTTAATACCCTTTCCAATCCTTACCATAATCACCTTTGAAACAATGATAATCACATAAACAAGCCTATTGTAATGGAATTGATTAATAAATTTACTCTCCTGCCATTTATATTCGAGATTAGATTTTTAATGCCATATTTTACATCAATGATTAAGTTGTTTTGCGATATACAGATTTACCTTAATCATCTAAACAACTATCTAAATCTAGGCGCTAGATATCAGATTTTTATATATTGGGATTTGCAGTATAAAATTGATCCAAATATCGTATTTCACTTCTTAACTTGTGTTTTTGCCATCCAAATTCAATAACTTCAATACATTTTTGCTCTTCATTTAATTTCTCTTTTATTGGTGATAGTTCTTTAATAGGACTCATAATCATATAATTATAGTCATTCCTTTCATCTTTTGAAATTGTAACTTTCTTGTTTTTAGAATTTTCTTTATTACTTTTTTGGACAGACATACTTAATTAGAGTTCAAATTTGAATTATTATAATATATAAAATCAATAAAAATCAATACTTTATTTCACTTTGCAGGTTAAGAAAATCCCTTGGTAAATGTTTATTATTGACTATTTTTATTTTTTCATGTTTTGTTGACGGTTTCAAAAATCTCTCTTTTAAATCCTATGTTGATAAACATAACAAATCTAACAGTTTTTCTTAACTCATTTTATTTATTGATATTATAATGGATTCTTTTGATTTCACTTTAGAATGTGTACTAAAACTGACTTTCTGCATATTTGTTAATGATTTTTTTTTAGGTAATATAGTCTTTGCATCACTCCTTTTCTTATTATAATTGATATCCTAATCACCTTCAGTTCTAATTATCCTTTATACTCCAAAGTTATTTTACATATTATAAAATTAATAAATAAATCATTTTAAAGCATTCATTTACTTTATCAAGTAATTTAGATTAAATGGAAAATTAGGACCTTAAAAACGTGTAACTCTAGAATTTCTTTTTGGAACAATTATCTATCCAACTTCAAAATTAAATGTTTGTATTGCAGATTTTTATCTAATTTAAATCGATTTCATTCTTCTTTAAGGTGAGAAACTTGTTCTAGTTCTTCTAGCACCATTAAAGTCTTAAATTGGTTCTATGAATTTCCTTTTCAAAATTGAAATTGCCAATTTTGGCTCTTTGCATAACCGTTTAGGTGGGAGTGTGTAAGAATGTTAATATAAGTCCATTATTAATAATATTGATAATTCATTAATCGATAAAAATTCATAAGTAGAACAAATATTATTTAAATATTTGAAGGTGTGTTTATAATATATGATTAGAAAATTGAAGCGGAAACGTACTTTTTTCAATAATAAATTCAAATAACTCTACTTCAAATATTAATAAGAAATTTATGAACTTATTAATTATAAAATACTCAGTTCAGAATTCTACTTCACATATAACTTGTCCTTCTCTCAAAAAGTAACACAAAATCAAAAAAAATACTATAACTCCATTCAAAGTTTATCTATTTTCTACTAACTAAGTTTGATCAATCATGTACTTATTCATCAATTCTTTTTCTAATTATAAAATTAATGATTATTTTGAATATTTTTTACTAACTTATATATATATAATGATTTTCTAGATGTTTTCCAAATTATTCCTATATAAATATATATGATGAACAACTAATTGATTATTTTACAAAATTAACTAAAATTTTATATTTAATTTATTAACAAATAATGAATGTTCTACTCAAGAGTGTAAAATAATTAAGTTCCCGTCCTTCATTTTATTATTGGCTATCAGCTCATCCAACTACTAAAAGCATATCCTAATTAAGTCCAAGATAATTATTAGACACAGCTTTAATTAAAAGAATTTGTCAAAAACAAATTCCAAAACATACTATAATGAGTCAATTTTGTCTTTGGCATGGCAAATAACCAAAATCAGGAAATTAGACTTGTTTTTCAGAAAAAAAGTGAGCATATTTATTCATTAATAGAACTCGCCGATCCTGGATGCCCAATGTTCAAAAATAAACATATGAATCTTTAATATTAGGTAGAAGAATTCATGTTAAAGTAACAACAAAGACAATGAAATGTATTAGAAAAGCTGGTAGTTTCGATAATTATATTTTATTGACTAAACCTTAAGATTTAGATTCTATTTATGGTGAATATTTAAGAAAATTGATGCTCACTAAAATTAATGATCCTTCTTATGAAGTTTACTTATTTACTAAAAATTTAGATCCCTCATGTTTTAAAAGCTAAACCTCACAACTTTTCAAGAAGAGCACAAAGGTTTAGCAGAAGACCTGCAGTTGTATGGCATCCACCTGAAATTAGACATAAAGATTTAACATTCTTGAAAATAAGAACACCTAATGAAATGAATCCTGAAGAATTGAGAAAATTAAGAGAATATGATTCTTTGAAAGATAAGGTATATGTATTTAAATTTCTTAGTTTGAAGATACTAATGATGTTATGCATCCTGTTTTGAATGATAAATTCTTTTAAGATGAAAAAGAATGGCCAGAATTTGCCAAAGTTGAAGGAGAAAAAGCTTTGGCTGAATTCTTAAAGAAAAAAGATAAAGAAAAAATTAGACTTACATTAAAAGCAGTTGAAGAAGGATAAAGAGAAGTAGATAAAGCATTAGGGAATATTTGATTGTCAATTTGATTTTGCAATTATAACAGAGACATTAAAACCTATTAATTGGACTCTTCTTACTAATTTATATCTACTACATAAGTTATTTCACCATCTTTTAAAGTATAAGTAATTATATGTTAAATAAATCTTATGAAAATTAATCAATCATGTTTTGATATTGTAGATCTGTTGGTAATACATTTATTAGAAATTAATTTATAATTTATAAATTTAATTTATTAAAATTAAGACACACAGTTTTGTTCTAACAAACTATACAAGAATAAATGTCTTTCATTAGATAATTATTATGATATATATATATAAAATCAGAACTAATAATTAGGTTCTAATTCAAATTTTCTTTCTGTAAACATTGACATATCTCTTATCCTTAAATTAACTTTTTTGGAATTCATTTATATCGAAAATGCTCTCCTTCTTGTTTCTATTGTATATAAATTTATACTGTTGCAAAAGCTGTTATTTCCTGTTTTGAGGTTATAATATTTATTAAGAATGTTTTTTTGCCATCCACTTTGGTAGGGAGTAAAGTCTTATACAATTTTAGGTACTTATTTTAATTCTTAACTTGTTTATTTGATCATTTCTTTAATTGAAGATTGTTTTATAAATTTTTATGGAAATTATTGAAGATTTATATTTGTAGGTTGAGCTAGAATCTTCGGTTATTTATTGTTTATTTGTTGGTTCTATTATATTTGCATTATGTCAGCTATTGAAACTGGTGTTTCTTCTTATAAACAATAAGTAAGGGCTTTTTCTAACATAAAAATAATAAAAAAATATTTACATAATTTCGTTATATTATTTTTTTATCAATAAACAAGATATTGATAGAAATTCTATAGATGATCAATCAAAATGTTAAAATTTTGCAAAAGTGTAGATTAATAACAATATGAAAATAAGATTTATTAAATAATGTTTTGAAAAAAAGATTAATTAGTTTAGAGAGAAAATTTAATACTAAAAATCAACTAAACCCTCTGATTACTGGTTTTGATAAAAAATTAGAAATTTAAATAGCTTGTTTTGGTAAGAAGTTGAGTTAATTTTCATTTACAATTATTAAAGATAAATAAATTTATCAATCATATATTTATGATTATAATGAAAATCTACTTATTTTCAAAAATATGTTCTTGATAAAGAATAAAAATGATGAATATTTTTTTTTCAAAAATAATAATCCTTTAAATTATTTATAAAATAAATAAATTCTAAATATTAAATTAACTTTTTTTTCCTTAAATGGAGAATAATCAATACGATGAATAGTATCATTTTATTCCCTAGGTTTAATTAAATGGGAATTAAAATTAAAATATAGAATTATAGAGAGAGGAGAATATTGATTCTTGGAGCTATTGCTTATTAATTACATGTGGGATGAGTGCCTTAATAGGAGGTTATTTTTTATCTGGAATGACTTCTTATAAAGAAAATTAACCTGATGAATGCATGATTATCATTAGAACAATCAAATATTACTCTTAATACTTAATAATTGATGGGGCAGCTTAAATGTATATATTCAATCACATCATAAAGAATTGTTATTTTGATTATTTCATGTTGTTTGAGGCCATTTAAAAAATACAATATTAGGAAGTAAGTCGATAAACAATTATTATTTTAATTTTTTGATTAATTGTTAATTTTTATTGTAATAATCATAATAGAAACAATAATAAAGGATAAAAAAAGATGCATAACAATTGGAACTAGCTTATTAATAATTTTATATATGGTCTTAGTTTATATTCTGACGTTTTTATTGTCTGTACAAGTTTGGAATTTATGAAAGTATTTAATATATCAAAGGTTATTTTAATATATATTCTAAAAAGATAGCTTCATATTATCAACTTTGCTAAATCTATATATAAAATCAATATTTTTAGATCTCTTAATTTATAAGCAAAAATTTATAATTTCTTTTTAATAGTATTGTTAACAAAAATAGAGGATTATAAATATTTAATAAGTAATTGTTAATTGATACAATTATTGTATTGATATTTTTCTTAAATTTCAAGATTATTTTTAGGCTTCATAATATTTTTAGCATTATATAAATTATTTAAACGTATATATGGCATTAAATTACATAACATAATATTGAATAAAAAAAAATTTAACTTAATAATGTTTGACTAAGTGAAATTATTGAATTAAATTACTATATCCAGATATATAAATTGATATAATATATATTCAATATGAGATTAATAAATAATTCTAATAATCATTTCTTATGTTTTTTAATACTTAATAAGTTGAAATTGTTTTCACATGCATATTAGTAGAGAGTAAAAAATAAATTTGGAAAATTTTTATTCCAATAATCAAATAAATCTCTATCAGAATTTCCTAATATTTATTTACAATTGTTTCTAAGCTAATGGTAATGATTCTTAGTATTCCGAATAAGCTATTAATTATAAGTTTAATTTTATACTCTTATTAATTATAAAACTTAGGTTGTATCATATCCTCGAATTTGTTCCTTTAAAAGTATTTCACATTTCTTGCCCCAATTATCTTGAAAAACCTAGTTTTAAATGCATATTTCTTATAGTGTTATTGAACCTGGTTTTTATGGAAAGGTTTCGATATAATCACTAAATTCACAAATAAATTTTAATTTTTTCTCTTTTGTCCAAAAATAGGGATGCGAAAGGAGATTTTCATAATGAATTATTGAATCATCAAAAAGCAATTTAAGTATCAAATCTCTTATATCTAATTCTTTTATTTTGTATTTCTTAAATTTATTCAGAATAGTCTTTTAATTAATCTATAATAATTTTTTAAGATCATCTCCTCTTGATAGTAAATAGTAAAATATTACACCTAATTACTACTTCAAAGTATGATTATGAAAGAAATCACTATTTGATGAATTAATCTTCAATCTATAATAATCAGTTTTCTAAGACATTCCTAGATCACAAAATTAAACAAGAAGATCATGATTAAATATAATATTTTCTTAATCAAATCCATGATGTTTAATGTTTTTATTATGAAGCTCTTATAGTCCAATTAATAGAATATGTATAAAGGATTTATAAAAATTAGGGTCTTAAAGTTTTAATTTAATTTAATTTTTAAATGAATCATTTAATTTATTACATGATTCATATTACACAAAATCTTTTAAATTTATCAAATATTTATCCATAGCTAAATAAAAATGATTATTTCTTTTTTCATAAAAATACAGTTTTAAAAATTGCTCAGAACTTAAAGACATTTATTAAACAAATGATTTTTCTAATTCACCATCTATCATATTTTAAGATAAATTCAATAAATTGATTTCTTTAACAGCAACTATTCTATTTTGAAATAGACCTTCATAAACAATTGTTTTATGAGAACCTTATCCTAAAATTTAAAATTAATTAATTTAAATTTAATTCTATTAAACATATTTTAATTCTACATTTGATTCTTTTATATTTATTTAAAATATGGGTTTTTACCTTTTAAATTTAAGTCTTGTTAATAAAACAAAACCAATAATAAATATAATTAATAATATCATTGTTTAAGAACCATTTTCAGTGTAAATTTCAAAGCATATTTCTTAGATTTAAGGATTATTTTATTGATAAATAATAGGTAATTGTTAGACTTTTGCATTATAAAATTCATTTAAACACTATTTAAACTCTGTTTATTTATATATACCTAGTGCAGTTGTTGGTTTATAATCAATTTGCATGCACTATCCATCTTTTTCACATTAAAGGTTATTATTTATGACAGGTATAATTTATAAACTTCTTGATTCTATAAGATCTCGATTAATTTTTATTGATTATAATCCTTCCACTTCATCATAAATAAAGACTTGAAACACTTCATTATCTAAATATAAATCAAAAACTTTTTTATTCCATTAAACATAAATTCCATTCTATGTTTTCCAAATTTATGTATTATTTGTATACCCTTTTTAAGTTTAGTTACCTTGAATATATTGCAGTAAGAAATTAATATACACTCTAGAATTATAAAATTAAGAGAATTCATATTCCAAATCAGATATATATTACTGTTATACATGAATTAGAACTCCTTATTGATATAGTTTAGGTTTCTTCAATAGCTATTGCACATCAAATTGAGTTAATTTTTTTAAATTTCCTGTTGTGATATCCATAAAAAATGCAATATTATTATTAAAAACAAGTGAATTTTTAAACATAGGACAAGTACTAAATAATAATTTAATATCATCTTGTTCTATTTCCTAATTTAAATTATATATTTTTACTTACATATGGGAAATCATCATAAAATAAGTATGTACCATCTCTATAAGGTTATATATAGTATGTAGAATTTTTGAGATCATTTGATTAAAGAGATATCCCTAATTATGATATCCAAAGAATCTATTATTATTTTAGATCATAATTGTAAATCATTCCATTTTTAGTAATAATCTATTATAAGTATATTGATAGTACTAAGATTTTATCTTAAAGAATGGTTCCATATTAGTTATGCAATTAAATATCTCCACATCTAACCTAATAAATCAGGAAGAGAAAGAAGGTGAGCATAAATTATATATTATAAAATATAATGATAATTTCACATTATTTTCCATCCACCTACTTATTCAATTACAACATCAATCTCATCTCCAGTTTCCATTCCAATCTAATAAATAGAGATATATATTATACATCTGCTGGTGTTTAGGTTTCTAAAATTCTTTCTCCATCAAATAAAAATCTAACATTTTAGATTTGGAGCTAAATTAATCACTTCATAATACATTTTGCCTAGAACAATAGGCATCCATCAACTTCTTAAATTATGTTTATTTTTTGATTTTAAAGAAAACCTCCTCACCATCTTATGATTTAACTTTTAAGTTCAAATATTCTGCTTATGATTGATCTGCCATTTTAGTTTATTAAAATAATTAATTTATTAATTAATAATAGTATAGTTAATATATATATAAAGATGTAAATTCTTATTAATAAAATAGAAACATAAACAATAAACAAAAGATCATTTTAACATACTGTCATCATTAATTCCTTGAATCGATCAAGGATTTTAATATCTATTAAATATTACTGATTTGTTTTCTTTCTGGAGAAGCCTAACATAATATAATATAATAATAGTTACTTCATCATATTCCTTCATATGGAATTATTGAACATTACTATTTATTTCTTTGATTTTTTCAAAAATGTTATTAAATTCAATGCTTTTAACATTATTTACGCATATAAATGCTTCAAATAATTGGAAATAGCAATCTTATATTGATTATTTATATACTTTTAAAAGTTGAATTGATATTCGGAGTATTTATTATCCATATGTTAAATAAGTGATTTACATAATCTGATTTATAAGAATGAACTATGCAATCATAATTCATAATTTATGGACTCCATGTTGAGGAATCGTCATTTGTACTTTGGGTCATTGTGTCACAATTGTCTGCTACAAATAATTTAAACATTAATTTACTGTATTCTATCATATTTTAAAGTCTTCTTGGACTTAATTACAGGTCATCAATCATAATTAAAATGAAATGAGATTTTTAAGTGATCTCTGGTAGTTGAGGCTGCTGGATGCAATCAAAAGTAAATTATGAATTTACAATGAAATCATCAAAGTATTCATCAACTTAGCAATAAGTTTATTGCTTTTATTATTTCTCAACCTTAACAATTTTCTAAAAGAAATTTCTAAAAATCATACATTTAAGTAATCTTCTTCTGAATTTGCATGCATACCTCCACTTCGAAATCTTCTTAAACTCATTCTTGATTATTTGATTTTATTTCTTTTTATTTATTTAAAAACACAATCATTAAATTCAATTATTAATTGTAAGAATGAAAACATATTAAAATTAATTTCTTAAGAATTCCTGAGTTCATCTAGAGTAAATAAAAATATTCCTGTAATTTTATTCGAAAAACCAATAGTACTTATTAAGTTAATTGAATGTAAAAATAACAGTATTTTATTAATGGAATCATTAAAATATTATGAATTTCTAAATATTAGAAATATATTCTGCAAAACAATTAAATTTAATTAAAATAAACATTTAAAGATGAATACAATACATTCATTGATTTAAAAGAAAAAATAGTAAAAAAAATAAGTTTGAGACTAAAACAATAGTTTGTTTAATTTATATTATAATAAAATTAATATTAATTAATAAAACAAATATCTTATTTCTTTTTTTTAAACACTTCTATTATAGAAGAAATGAATAATTTCTCAAGTATTCTTTAAGACCCTTCTAATAATCATTGAATTATTCAATAAATTAAAAATTCCGTTTTTATTTAATTTTTTTCTAAAAGCAGTTAGATTGTCTTATGAAATGCTCGTTTTTAGCATTTTTATGGACAATTCACCATTGTTTTATGATCTACATTATTTTCAGGTTTGCACTACTTTTATTTAATTAAATTAAGAAGATACTAAATAATATATAAATACGACATGAAATATTGAATAAAAGGGGAAATGAAAATTTTCTACAATAAGAGAGAATTATATCAAATTTGTCAGAAAGTTAACAATAAACATTATATTAATATAATCAATCAATTTGGAGTTTATCTAAGCCTTCGGTTAAGGATTGGGTTTCGGTACGGATTGAATAAATCTTGAGATTGTGTTTTTTCTCTAATGAAGGCTTCAATATCATTTTTTTCTGATCCTTTATTAATGATTTAGGCAAAAGACCCTTAGTATTGAACATCAATTGAACTTTTTGATTTTGATTTACAAATACCCATATCTGTTTGGTTTATTTTAATATTGTTTTAATTAATTTAAATTTTCATCATAAATAGGTCAGATATATAGTACATAACATATGAAACGATTTAAAAATATAATTTATAATGAATTAAGAAATAATTTATATTAAATGAATTCATGAATAATTATTCTTTTCTTCCCCATTTTTCGAAATAATATCACTTGATAATAAACTAGAATTAAATAAACTCCTTTTTTAATTCAATTCAAATCCATTCATTTCCATTTCTGATATTTATTCTTAAAGCTTCCTTTCTAATTTGGATATTTTAGCAATATCTAATTGTTATTTTTATCTTGCTTATCTTTTCATATAATTTAATAAAGTGTCCTTTGATGTTTTAATTGTGAACATTAATAAATCAAGAATAAACATTGATAATACTGATAATGCCAGACTTAAATAAAATGCATAGCTTGAAAATAACATTTAGGTAGTTCCAAAAATAGCAGATGAAGGAATAATGTTGGATACCCACATATAGGCAAAATAAGTACCTAAACTGGTTCCTAAATAGGCAACCCATGTAATAATTGTCCAGAATTGAGTATTTAATGCTAGTTTTAATGTAACAAGCTAATATTAAATTTAATTGATTACAATCATTATAGCAGTAGACATTGACATACTAAAAAACCATAGATCATTGTTATATCCAGATTATTTAATGAATGTAGTATCATTTAATTCAAAGTAAAATGAAAAGAAACATGCCAATCCTTAGAATATTCCAATTGAAAACCATTTAAAAAACCTAAAAAATAAAATTTATCTAATACTTTTCACTTGTAAATATAGTGTTTTTCTGTCCAATATAATAAAGTAATGGATAACTTTATCTTAATATATCATTTTCTTCCTCTCCTTCAGTTATTCTTTTACTTCCTAATATTGTTTGTTTTCTTTATTGTGTATAGAAAACATCTTCATCAAAAATAGCTCTTATAACAACAGGAAGGAATGTAAAAACTGTATTGTAAAATGAAACAAAGCTAAATTAATAAATTAAAAATAATACAATTCATCAAAAACGCTAGTTCCTGTTAATCCACAAAAAAAAGCAAAATAGAATTAAGGAATAGTAAAAATGATATTTTTGTAAAAGAAGTATAAAATCATTTCAGAAATACGAATGTAATTTTATCTTCCATGATATAAAACTAATTTCCAAAGACATTTAAATTAACCTATAGCATAATTACTAGCTTGAACTGCTCTCATACCTTCTTGTCCATATATTCCAATACCAATATGTGCCTCTTAAATCATATTAACATCATTAGCACCATCACCAACAGCTAGAGTAATCTTTCCTAATTCATTTTTAACTAATCTAACCATATCAGCTTTTTATTTTGGTGTAACACGACAACAAATAACAGTATGTAAATGAGGAGCTAATAAAACCAAATATTTAGTTAGATTTACACTTTCATTCATAACAGCCAAAACAATACCTTCTATAATCATAGCTCTCTTTGTATCAGGTTTCTATATAACATGATCTGCAATTTAATTAAATATAGAGAGAATATCACAACCAGGAGTTAAAAAGAAAACATCCATTTATTCTTATAACAAATTACAAGATCTACCAATATTTTCAGCAGTTTCTAATTTATCTCCTGTCAACATCCATACATTTATATTTGCTTTAAGAAAATCAGCTAATGTTTCTGGAACATCTTCTTATAATTTATCTTCTACAGCTGTAGCTCCTATAAGTGTTAGATTCCTTTCAATTTTATTAATTAATTCATTTTATTATTTTTCAGTATCATTACCACCTAGAGTATCATTCATAGCTTATGAAAATTCATTGAATTATCTTTCATCAAGAACTCTCATAGCTAAACATAAAGTTCTCAAACCTTTCCTTGAGAACATATCCAATTTTTTATCAACACCAGCTAGAAATGGTTAATTTGGAGCCAATCTTTCTTTAATGATTGCATCAGCTCCTTTTGTATATAATTTAATCACACCCTTATGTTTAATAATTACAGACATTCTCTTTCTATCACTATTAAATTCAAAAGAAAATAAGAGTTCAACTTTTTCCTTAACTCCAAGAACATCTATTTCAATCATTCCCATAGTAATTCCTTTATAGATAATATTTAATCTTCTAGCTGCATCTACTAATGCTATTTCATCTGGAGAAGGTCCTTAATAATTGAATGTGCCATCATCTTATAATTCAAGAACACATTCATGACAAGTTGCTAACAAAATTAGATTTTCCTTTACTAAATCTCCTTAATTTCTGATTATATATGTATCTACATTAAGATCTATATTAGGATTCTTAATAGGATCAGTTTCAGTAATTATGGATTAAATGGCTGCACCAGAGAATGTATATTCAATGCCTGCTTTTTCATTAACAACTGTGGATCTTCTTTAATGTAAAGTGCTTTATCTCCTTAATATTTGATTAGCAACAAATGTACTCATTTCATGTTTATCAAACATTGAAACATCTCCATAAATCTCATTTCCACAAACAGATATTTTAAATTCCATTTTATTACAAGTTAAAGTTCCTGTTTTATCAGTAAATACATATTGAACTTATCCTAATTCTTCATTAATAGTTGTACTAAACACTTTAACATATTTATCATTTTCAGCAGTATACATTTCTTTATCTTTTTACATAAATATTCCTTAACCTACTTTGACAAATTCCAAAGATACTATTAAACTTATAGGTATTAAAGTATTTAAAAGTAGAAAATAGGCAGCAAAAGTCATCAATGAAGCCAAAGCACAATTTGGAATGTCTGGATCATATATTTCATCATCCCCATTATAAGATGCATAACCAGAAAAATTTCTACTAAAATAGTCAAAATTGATTTTATTAATGTCACAATTAATTCCATATATAATTGCTAAAATTAAACAAACAAATGCTTGCATAATTAAGATGTAAATAATTCTTACATTTATCAATTTATCTATGTTGCTCATTTTATTTTTTTGCTTTTCAGAATTTCTCATTACTTTAGTGTCTATTCCTGTATATACAACTACACCTATAGCCCATTTTACATTTTTCAATTTTGATCCTCTCAATAAAAAGTTCTTATGAGTTAATTGAATCTTTTTACTCTCCAAAAAAAGTGTTCCATCAAAATTGTAAAGTAATGCATTTGGATTTATACATTCAATTATTCCTTGTCTGCATTCAATAGTTTAGGTCTCTTTAACAGCTTATTTTGGTTTCAAATTCTTCTCCCCATCTAAAGAAGAGGTTTCAATAAAACAAATTCCATCTTATGATGTCTATAAAACTACTATGTCAGCAGAAATTATTTCTAATTCATCAATTTTTATTATGTCTCCAATTAAAACATCTTTCCATGTTTTTTTTACAAAGCCTCCTTCTGTCCATATAGTAGTAGGTGATGAATTCAATTCATTATCACTAAGATGTTTTTGATAATCTTCATATCCATCTCTTAACATTGATAAAGACACCACAAAGAGTAAAGGTGCAATAGAATTTATTGGACTAAATGGAGAAATGGATTTAAAAAAAGACAATATTGCAATGATAAGAAAATAAATGTTTGCCATTCTCTAAAATTGTAATGCTAATGAATATGGAAGGAAAGTTATCATATTATACCTCATTTAAAAATTAATGGATACCTGCTTGTTCGTATAAAATTAGTTGGATATTAGTATTGCTTATTTTACAATTGTTGCCCAATCCCAAAGTAGAGTTTACGTTCCATTCTTAAATTATATAAATTTATTCCATATATTCACATTCTTAAATCTAAAATGGAATCTTTTGATACTATAAATTCAATAAAATAACCAAAACATAATAGATGAATCATTAATCAAATAAATAAGATATATACGATTCTGTAAGCATTCCATCATTCATAAAACTTATATTTATAAATTATAATGATTTTTCTACTACATTATAAAATTTTATTCAAATTTGGATTAAAAAGTTTAGACTTCACTTACTACCAATGAAAATAATCAAAATAACAAGAAATAATACAAACTTAATACTTAATTAACCTTTTGTATTATTATTTAAAAAAAAGAATAGCAGTTACTATTATTTGTATTAAGACTTTTTACTTTGATAATTTAGATATAAATTTAATTAAATGGAACTCATTTTATTTATTTAGTCTTCACTTACAAAAATAAAAATATAATTTGAATTATAAATTTAGTATATAAGTTTAAAGTCATCACAACAAAATTTAAAAAATATATATTTAAAAATAAATAGTGAATCATAACATAATTATTTACAAATCATAAATTATAGGATTGAATACTATCTGCCAATTCCATAAAAGATACACACATCATTGGAAACTTATCCTAAAAGTCTTAATCTTATTACAATGTTCTAATTATTTCAGCTGCTAATATTAATTATGTTTGTAGAGATTTATTAAACTTTTTATCCTAAATTAATAAAGCTTCATCATTTTCCTAAGGTGGTCTGATTAATCCTTTTATTCTTAATTCTCTTCTTATAGTATTTTATACTATTATTTAGCAATTATTTTTTTATGCAAATAACTATCTCAATTAATCTCTAGTCTTTTATTTTAATTGATCCAATCCTCCTATTAATGACAATAATTAGCATAGTTATTTAAATTATTTTAATCCTTATTGAGGTTGAAAACAGTTTGGATTTGAATGTATATTTTAATGTGAATCTCCAAGAACCACTTTTGATGGCTGAGTCTAATGGCACTTATTAGCTTAACGTTTATTACTGCATGTCTGCCCCATCAAATTTAATTTTATCTATTTTTTGATTAGGTTCTAAATATATAATAAATTAATCAATTATATTTGGAAAGTTTAGATTATTTCTTTAAAATAATATCATTACTTCTTAATTGTTATTTCATTAATTTGTCAACATCCTTATCTATCTTAAATTATTCATAACGTCTCTCCATCTCATTAAATATAGCTATCCCATTACTAAATAACTATTCTCCCTCTTTCTCTAATTTCATGTATTCTAAATATTAATAATAATATCACTTTTCTCATAGTTGGCTTAATAAACAGGATTTTAAGAAGTAAATTCATATATGTTTTTAGCTTGATTTGTCATCATATTATATTAATTTTAGAGTTGCATCATTTTAAATTGATCTTATTTCATAAATGATCCCTATATCCATTATTTATCAAAATCCAATTTTTTCCAATATTCTTTTAATTGCTTCTACTTTGAAGGTCTTATAATGAAGAAATATTCACTGAAGAGTTTAGTTTGTAGTTCTAAATTCTCACTTAAAGATATTTAATTTTTCAGAATTTTATTAGCTGATTCAGAGTCACTTATGTTTAATGTAATCTTTACATTCTTTAATTCAGTTAATAATGATAGACAATAAATTTTCCATGCTACAATTAAATTGTCATCCACATATTTATAAGTTTATAATTCATATCGAATTTTATTTCTAATCTATTTAATTTATCTAATTTATTCGTTATGTTCTCCTAAAATGAATGAGATTTCACTCCATTTTCCATCAACTTCAGAACATCCTGTCCATCTTATTTTAAATTGAAATATCTTTTATTTATCATCTTCATCATTATTCAAAGTTTTAGGTTTAATTTTTGACCTCTCTAATTTTATATTATAATAATAATCTTCTTCTTCTTAAGTTCTCTTTTAACCTGGATGATACAATAATACTAAACTATTCATTTTAGCTCTCATTCTATAAGAATCATTACCAATAGAAATTACATCGAGATCTCTATATAATTTTTTACCCCATTAATCTGCTTCATTTTCATATTAACTATTCTTTTAAATAACTGTCTCTAATTCTTATTCTAAATCCTTTAATTTATCATAAAATTAATCAGCATTTAACAAACTCTTATTAATTTTACTCATGTTATATTCTAAGTTAGCAAAGGCTTCAATTTTTTCAGATGGAGATAGAGTATTAAAATAAATTGATGACTGTTCCTTCATGGTTTTTAATTTTTCGTAAATATCTTTGGCTTTTAGACGATCTTCTGGATATTATTATTTCGCATTATATACATATTCAACGTATTCCTTTAGAATTATAGCAAACCAATGAAACCTAAGTTCTTTACATGAGCCTAGATTGTAATTGAATGTAGGAATCTTGCCAACGGATTCATTAGAATTAGTGAAACTGTAATTTACATTCATTCCTTTTGAATTTCCTTTGTTACAAAGAGAAACTCCCCATGTCCATAATTTATAGGCTTCAGTCAATTTAGGATTATTGAGAAGATGAGCTTTAGTTATATTAATCAAATTGATTCTCCTGGAAATCACTTTATTTTATAAAAGATCAAGGTCTCTTAGACATTGGGATTACAATAAAAAAAGCTATTGGAATATGAATATAAAAATTACTTAATCAAAGGCTATGATGTGTATTTATTTCATATTATTATAGATGTTGTTATTGATAGATTACTGGACATCTTTGGCACTAATGCATCCCATAATTAATAATAATATTAATAATATGTCTACAGCATCATGTGTCGATCCACGATACTTTACAAGATACCATGCAAATGGAGCAGGTATAATATTAAATTTAGACATAAAGGTAGAGACTACTATGTATAATATTCAAATGGTGGTCTATTAAAGGATAGTCAAACTCATTTTGATGGAGTATATGAAAGAGCAGGATTAGGAAAGAAGGAAGTACAAATAAGTTTGCCTAGTATAACACCAAAATTCTAACATTATCCTAATGATGGTTCAGGAAGGGATTTTTACATTACGTAGAAATTGATTATAAAATGACAGATGCAATGAAGGTGGTTAATTACAAAATTAAAGGAAGTTCAATTATTTATTAAATTTACGATCTTACAAAAAAATGCCTGAAGAACCTTTATAAAATGATTTTCTTCGTAGAACTTGTTATACTACAAAGAGACAAGTGTTAAAATCAAGACAATTACAAAGGTATGATTTAATCTTATTATTCTAGCTAATAAAAATAATTAACTTTGAAATTATGTAGTCCAAAAAGCACAAAGTGACCAAGATGATTTTGAATAATAATTAATATAATATACATAATCATTATTAATAAGAATATTAATCTCACATAATACATAATATTCTACTAGATTTAGAAATAGATGTGAGAAGATAATTCAATGTTAGAGAATAAAGAATTAAAAGATTAATTTTTAATATTACTTCTTCTATTATCTAATATTTTTTGGTATTTATATCAGAATACCTCAAAATAGTATTAATTTCATTTATTCTACGTTTTCTCTTAAATTAATTATTATATTACATGTAAAAATATTCAAATTTTATTAAACAAAATTATTAAGACTATCATACTTGTTGGTTGCTAATTTTAATCTCAGAAAAATTAAATTATTATTTGTTATTTTAAGTTTCATTCTTATTAATCTATTGATAAGAAAAATCCAAATCTTTATATTTAAAATTATGTACAACTTATTGTTATATAAACAATTTTTGAAATTCATTTAAAAGATGAATTATAAGTATTATTAAAATACTTAATTTGAGATATATGGTAAAATTATTAATTAGATGTGAAGTTTAGTAATTTAAAAAGAATTTTATAGGGTGAATATAAAAAGAAACAGAAACAATTTTTTAATCATGCACTTAAATATATGAAATTAATATTAATATAGAAATTAATATAGAAATTGCATTTAATTTCTAACATATCTTTAATATGTAATTATATTTAACAGGATATTGTCAAAAATTATGGTAGAATAGAAAAAACCTAGATTTGAAATGAGTATTAAAATAGTGAATTTAATTTTAAGTAATTAGAGCAACAAATATTCAATTTACTTGTATAAAACTAGATGGGATATTAAAGATTTATTGTCAAAGTAAGATTAAATTTATTCTGATCTATCTATTAGTTGGATTTTAGATTACTATCAAGTAATTGATAAATTGAAAAGTAGATATGATTTTTATGGCATTTTAAAATTTGTTCTATATAATAAGATGCTCCAAATTGTAATTATAAAATGACAAATAAAATTTGAAATGATAAAATAACAAATTCATCCAAGAAATTAGATGATATTTTTATATATATAAATCTTTAAATTATAAACATTTTTTAAGCTTAATATTCAATGTAATTTCAACATACAAAATAACAAAAACCATCAATTGAGTAAAGTTAATCATAAAAGTCTTGAGCTGGAATTTAAGTATTTAATGGTAATCCATTGAATATAAAAGTAGCTCCTTACAATTTAATATTTAATGCTTATCCTATAGTTAATTATTAGTCATTCAATTCAATTATAGTTTAAAAGTGTCCTCCTTTTTTGAAATATATTCTAATTGGAAGTTAGATTTTTCCTGTTTTAGGTGTTTCAAATATTTTCTTATAATATTTATAAAGATCTTCCTTATTTTCAAATGACTTTATTTATTTTAATGCTTATTTCTCATCACTAATTGACATATATTAGGTTAAATTTTTGAGGGGAGTTCCGTATCCTTCATGATTGTAACGACCAAAGCAAGCCTATTTGAGATTAAATTTGATTTAATTCTTTATTTCATCTTCTAAATTAATAAAGTGGGCTTCTTTCTAATAGATTAATATTAATTCAATAGGTGTAAATGTATCCTCACTTTTATATAAATCAACCAATACTCCAAAAGGTATTTAATATGGTAATAGAGTATTTTTATATCTAAAAGAAATTTAATTTATCTTATTAATTTAAGGTTAAAAGGAATTGAAATGCTAAATGTTTAATTAATATATTTGTACATCATAAATCTGTTGATAGTAGAATAGTAAATAATGTTATCTATAAATCATAAGGTATATAGGTGGTATATTGCTATTTAATAGATATACTTTAACAGCCACTCTCATATTCCAAATTTCTTGTTAATATTGCTATGAGTTCATTTTTATAAAAAATATTAAACTAATAATACATTTATTTATATAAAATAATAAAAAACTATATGACAGATATCAAATAACATATAATTTTAAGTGTGATAAGTAAACCTATTTATATTTATTAATTAATCATGTAACATTTAATTTGAAATACATACAATTCTTTTAATCATATTGCTGATAATTCTTATCCTGGTCCATCATCTTTATCCATATCTACTTATTTAGTTAAGGCTCTTTTATCATCTTCTAATTTGATAATTCTATTTCTCAATCTTTTGAAACAAGCAATACTAAGCAATACAAGCCAAAAAATTAAAAATATAAGGAAAAGGGCAATACCAAATAGTGTTAAATTCTTTTTAGATAATACTTTAGTATCTTAAAAGATAATCTAAAAGACTTAATTAAATTTGGTTGCTATGAAAGGAGAAGAAGAATTTAAGAAATATGATGCTACTAAAAAGCTTTCTGAAAAGTATTCTTAAGATTCACATTCAATATGAGCTGATAATTGATTAATTTAAAGTAATCTTAATTCTCTTTTTGACAATCCAACAATAGAGTCATTCCATTATTTAAGTTATAACATTTAAGGGAATTCAAAAAAATTGTTACTTGAAAATTTAATAAATTATGAAAATATGGAATGCTATATAATTTTATGTGCTTCATATCCAATTAAAATAGTATAATTTTCATATACTTTAACATCATAAAATTACATCTCATCAATATAATAATGATTAAAGTAATATGAATTATCTGTAAAATTTAAAAAGATTTCTAAAGCATAATCTTATCTTCTTTGTGATTCTGCAATAACAAAAAATGTATTTTTATAATGACTAAAATCACTTCCCATCAAAATTGGTACTCTGAATTTAATTTAAAAATCATAATCACAAATTAATAGACCCTAATAATGATCAAGTATGTAAATATCTATTTATATTAAATTAATCTATACTTTCATCATCTCCACTTATATCTTTTGCATTCAAATATTTCTCATCAATTCTCGCTATATTCTTAAAATATTTTAGTTAACCATCTTAATAATTATAAACATCAACTCCCTCATAGCCACAAGCAACATATATTGTATTATCTTTTAAATAGGCATCATACACTATTTTCCTTTATTTAAAGGGTTCTGAGTTGATAAAAAAGGTATTCTCACCTATTGATCTATAAGGATATTGAATTAAAATAAATACATCCAATCAGGTATACTGACACCTCCATTCTCAGATATTATGTAAACTCTTTTATTATGATTATTCCATAAGAAGATTGGATGAGATATATCAGAGTGAGGAATTTTCAATTTTTATTAAGTTACAGTTTTAGTGAATTATGAATGTGCAATATTAACTTCTTGTAAAGTGAAATCATTTCTGATTATAAGAGCTCTGTTCTATAATATAATTAAATCTGTATAAAAGATTTTTTCATTGCTTGGCAATCCCATTCTCAAATGTTGTTAAATTAAGAATTATTTTTGTATAGGAACACATTCTGAGATTCCTTATAATTTATGCTCTTCCTATACTAATAAATCATAATCTTGATCTGTAAATTTATATTTATGAGAATCTTTTGCACTTCTTTTCCATAAAACTATTTAAAAGCATGATGGATCTTCATATAATATTTTAGTTTAATCAACAATAGCAGTAAATTATATTTACTTATTGTTCTAAACATTTAATTTGACTTCTGGTTTGCTAGCAATTACAGAATTAAGTAATAATAAAATAATCATATTATTATCTATATGGATAAATGAAACCATGAGAAAAGATAATAATCAAAATTTTAGATTATCAAGTATTATAAATAATAATTACTTGAACTGCTAATAAAAAAATGAAATAATTTATAACCTTTATCAATATTCCTGAAGTGCGTGGAAAAATTCCAAAATGTTAAATCTGTTAGAAAAGTTTCAGTTTTACAACTAGAGAACATCAATGCAAAAGGTAAGAATAAAACATAATGCAGATGTTTAAGAGCTGTATGTGAGGGATGTTCTCCATTCAAGATTAACCATATTAAAAAAGATGGTAAAGAATCCACAAAACCACATAGAATGTGTAAAATCTGTAAAGAGGTATATGGAAGTCTAATTCAAGGAATCAGAGTAAATAAAGAATTTTGTGGAGTAGAATCATATTGCTTATGGAGTTGACACTATATCGAAATAATGGTTGGGAGGTACTCTAAGTTAACAAGATTATAAGAATGCTCGTGAGAGCGCTAAAATAAGATTTGATAAAACAGAAATAAGTGGTTTTGACAATATTAACTATTCTTTAAAAGAATTTTATTATCTTGTAGGCAAAGACAATCAAAAATTACAGAATGTTTGTTTGACATTTTGTTCTAAGAATCCAGAAGTGTAATTTTCAGCAGAATTAGTATGTTTAGCCAATTTTCTATTATGTTTTTCATCAGAAGCATCAACTTATCAATTATTAACAATAATATACAAATAGAAACCCCCTGATGAATGTATCGTAAGTATATTAACATATTGTGTAAAAGGATATGGTCTAGGAGAGGATGAAAAATAATTGTTGAAATAATTTTTACAAAGTAGATTAAAGCGATATTTAATAACATATTCAATCAACATGTTTAATTTCGATACTACTCTATTTCTAATAACATAATTAATTAAAAAATATGATTCATTTATTAAAGGACTATCTGCAATATTTATATTGGCTAGTACTCAATTAAAGAATACTAATCATGAAGATCTTGAATTATGGATATTAAGGAATGTAAGAAGAAAAGATGCAGAAAATAAATTAAATTCTATGCAAATGCCTACACCTAAATAAGAAATAGAAAGTAGAGATACATCTTAATCAGTTAGAAGTATTGCATTTTCAATGATTGAATAATAAGATTAATCTTAAAATAATGAATTAAAAGCTGAAATATCTAATTTAAAATTACAACTTGCATTAAAAGATAATGAAATTGAAAGTTATAAATTTTAATTATAACAAATGTAATCTCCAGATGACTCAAAAAAAGATAAATATATACAATAAAAAAATGATGAAATTGCTATTCTATTAGCTAGAGTTGATGCTTTAACTTTAGAAAATAAATAATTATCTAAGAAAGAATCTAATTATTTAAATTAGAATTCTATATAAGCAGAATAATAAAAGATTATTTAAGAATAACAATAATAGATTGAACGCTTAAAGACAAAATTAAAAGATACTACATTTGAAAATAGAGCAATGTCAATGTCATTAGCAACTAGTGCATAGAGTATTATGTCTGGCAAAGAAGTATAGGATTTAAAATAAAAACATGAAGACGAAAAATAATAATTATTAGATTAAATTCATTCATTAGAATAAAATAAAGCATAACTTCAACGTATTATAGATTCATAAAAACAATTGAATTAAAGAGTAGTTGATTATATTAGCTCTATGACCATTAATACTAATGTTATAGAATTGTCACTCAAACCTCCTTTGGAGAGAAGTACTAAAAATGATAATGAAGACTACAAGCTCCTTATTGATACAAAGAATCAATAAAATTAATTATTAAAATAATTGCTTATTGCAAATCAGTAATAAATTCAAGAACTTAATAATAAGCTCAAAGATATTAAATAAATGATTTATTCATCATGAAATTATATTATTTTATTGAAAAGAAAAGATTAAATCAATAAATATTTTATATTAGTTTTTGGATTAATTGTTCTAAACATATTTATTATTTGTTTCTTATTTCATTTTAAGAATTAGAAATATCAAAATGACTTCTGTTCAAATTCGTATTTAAATAAGCTATTGTAAAGTTCAATTAATTATTAGTATTTGAGTAAAATAATTTAGATAAAATTATCATAATATTAATAGCTAAGATAGAAGTAGATGATAATATTATAAATTTATTATAATCCTTATTTAAATACATTATAATTTATTAATAATTGATATGTATTTATATTTTTGGTAAGTTCTTATTTATAAGTATTCATTTTGCTTTCTGATTATGATGAAAGATTTAGTATATTGTATTTAAGAACTAATAAAAATATCTTATTTATTCCAAATATTTATAGATACATATTATTATTAAGTATGGTAATATTAATTAATAGAAGATTTTAGTACATTTTTAAAGGATAAATACTTATATAGTATGCCAATCTTTATACAATAACTAGTTCAACATAAATCAGAAGATATTTAATAATTGTCCTACAATTATAGATTAATTTATTTATGTTAATATTATCAATTTTAATATTAGTATTGATATATGTTGGATTAAGATTTTGTATTCATTCAAAATACAATAAAAAATACAATATGCTTATTTTATTTGGATCAGGTGGACATACTTATGAAATGTTGATGACTTTAAAGAATTATGATTTTCAAAACAAATGTTAGAATTTATATTTTATGCATTCGTTTGCTGATTCTTAAGAACCATAAAGAGTTGCTAAGTTTATTGAAGACCATAAGGTATAAAGAGATTTAAAAAAATAAAAAAGATAGCTTTACCAAAAGTAGAATGGATTACGATTCACAGAAGTAGAAAAGTCAAATAATCATATTTATCTTCAATAATAACAACAATCAAGGCAACACTACATACATTTTTGATATTATTGAGATTCAGAGATTTGGATATCTTTATAACTAATGGTCCAGGGACATGTATTCCAGTTGTGATTGTTTTAATTGGACAATATGTAATACATAATTAGATAGTAGATATTATTTATTAGAAAAAGATGCAAGATTTTGTTTATAGAGAGTTGGTGTAGAGTGGAAAATTTATCTTTGAGTGGAAAACTATTATATTGGGTTAGTGATAAGTTTGTTGTTAATTGGGAATCTTTGAAAAAGAAATATAAAAGAGCCACTTTTGTTGGTAATCTAATTTGAGTATAATAATTAAATTGCTGGATTGCATGTGATATATATATATATATTTGTTTAATAAAATAAAAAAATAACTGATGTTCAAGAACTCATTCCAAAGTGGATTTCTTTCAATTTTATATTCAATAGGATCAAAGCCATTGTAGATTTGGGACAAATAAAGTATTTTATAGCTCAATTATTTCAGTTAAGAATGGTCATATCAAGCGAATTACAGATTAAGATATTTAATCATCAGTTTTAGAAATCATGGGTACAAATGTAAGTACTAATTTCATTACGGCTCCTGCTGATCCAAAAGAAACTTTGGGAATCAAATTACCATTCTTAGTAATGATCATTAAGAATGTAAAATTATCATATTTAAAATCTAGCTTAAAAAATATTTTACATTTGAAGTACAAGTCTTGGATGATAAGAATGTTAGAAGAAGATTTAGAGCTTCTAATTATTAAGTATATCTTAAATAAAAATTATTAGTCGACAACTAGAGTGAAACCATTTATCTGTACTATGCCTATGAGACTGGATGAAGGATGGAATTAAATTCAGTTCAATTTATCTGATTTCACTAGAAGAGCATATGGTACAAATTACATAGAGACATTACGGTACATATAAATGCAATAATATTAGAGTTTAAATACATGCAAATTGCAGAATTAGAAGAATCTATTTCAGTGATCGTTTATATAGTGAAGAGGAATTGCCTCCTGAATTTAAATTATTTTTACCCATCTAAAAACAAGGATGATCAATAATTTAAATATTTTTATTCATTCATTTACATATTCAATATTACATTCTACTCTTTAATTTTATATTTTAAAATATATACACATATCTACTAAAATTTAAATTAAAGTTAATATATATATAATGTTAATTTCATTTCAATATAATTTAATTTCAAATAATTCATTTAAGCTAATATTCTAATTAAGAAAAATAATAATTTAACAAAGTTGGAATTCTAACTTATGTGTATAATTTCTATAAATAAAGGAAAATTAAAAAAATGATTATAAAAATTATTATAAATATGAAAATCTTTAGAGGACATTTTTATTTTTGGTATTACTTAAGTATTTCCATAAAATTAAATAATATTAAATAATTTAATCATATTTTAAGCCCATATAAAAAAGAATTTTATGTACAGAAATTAGCTTTCTGTATGAAAATCTAGGTAGTTTTTGTAGAAAGATCTAAATAGTTTTATACAAATATTTCCAGCAATCCTAAGAATAACATGAGTTAGGAATATAGTAAATTAATGAAATATTATATATTAGACATTAAATTCACATATTGAATTTATAAAAAAAGTTTAGCAATAGATTGCAACTTGGAAAGATTATGCTTTATTATAATTGGATGTTTGTTGATAAAGTAATCAACAAAATAGGTAAAAAAAAGTGATTGGAGAAAATTTTTCAGAGATTTTCCATAAATTTAAAATAAATGTATGGAAAACTTTAGATAAAAAATAAAGCAATCATTTGGACAAAAGTCATTAGTCATTATTTTATATATTAGATGAATCTTTATATATATATTATATTTATTTTTTAAATCAATTTTATTATTATTCTATATTATTGAAAAGATTAAACTTAGAGATATAGGTTGACTTTATTAATTTATATTTATTTTTTTAATATTACAATTGAGTTAATATAATAAAAGAGAATAAACTAAATAGACTTTTTTTTAATTGATTATTAATTTAATTCAATCTATCAATTAAAATAATATCAAGAAATGATTCATTTATTAAATTATTTAAGAATAAATATCATATTGACTTGAATTGTTTTATTTATAAATTAAATTAATCAATTTTGTTATTGATTTAATATCAAAATATATCTACATATTCAATCAATAATTTCAATCTTACTTCAAAGATTCCAATGGTTTCATTGTTTTATCATTCTCAATAAAACAATCTATGATCAACATAATTATAGAGAAAAGACACATCACAGCAAATGGTAGATATGGATCTATGTAAAATAATGGAAATAAAAAAAATGGAGATGGAATAGCAGAGGATTTACCTATACCATATGCCATAGCTGTGCCTTATGATCTTAATGATAAAGGATAGCTCTCACAACATACCAATCCAAGAGTTGAGAATAATGCTCTTGTAGCAAGTTTGATTAAAAGTAATCCTGTAAATAAAAACTGTTATCTAAGAAGATATAGAAGACCATTTGCTATAATAAGTAGGATGGCTGAATAACCAATAACTTTCTTTCTTCCTCCTATATTAGGATCATCTATAAAATAGTATAATGATATAGCAAATATAAGTTCAACAATAAACATATATAACATTGAACTTAAACCTGAATTATTGTCTGTAAATAGAAAAGGCATCAATAAATAAATACTCATATTTTACATATTAGTTAAAATATAGAGGATCCAAATTTTCATTGTAATAAATCTATATTCTTTTGATAATATTCCATATTTATTAATTTATTATTCTAAATTTATTTCATTTTACTTTTCTTACCATATCACTAACCCATTTTTCTATATTTATATGTTTTTCATACCTCATCATCAGTTAAGGTTTCTTAATTTCCAGTGTTCTCTTAAAGTATCTTTTCAATTTCTTAATATGCAATTTAATACTTTCCTCTATTTAGATAATATCTAACTGTTTCCTTAAGAAACAATAAAGAAAATATAAATGTTAATGCAACTGGAATACCATTCACTCTTATCAAACCTCTCCAATTTCCAGATGTATAATCATCAAGATAAAAGAAACATAAAATAGCCAAATAAATCTTGCCAATTACAAATAATAAACCCATTGTATATGCAAATCTTCCTCTATATTTAGGCTCAGAAACTTCTGTGATGAAAACATATCCTAAAGGATAACTAGTTCCAAATACTATTCCAAAAAATAATCTTAATATCATCATCTCATTAAAAGAGTTGCATATACTTGTATAATATATCAAAATAACCGATAATCCTGTAAAAATTGTAAATGTAGTTTTTCTTCCCATTAAATCTGCAATAAATGCACATAAACAATTTCCTATAACAATTCCTAATAAAAATATTGATCCTAATGAAGCTGTTTATTATTTATTCAAATCCCATTCTTTTTATACTATTGCTATCAAAATTGACATATAAGCATATTCAATCCCATCACAAAATTCGACTAATCCAATTATACCCAAAGTTTTAAATTAATGGTAACCAGTCTATATTTTATTCTCTAAGAGATCATCAAATGAGATCATAGTTTTATCAAAACGAATTTATTAAATATATTAATAATAATAAATTTTCAATTTGAGAAATTCACTTACAATATTTATGTATTTTCTAAGAATTAAATTTATTATAGATATAACCACTTATTTGAGGTATGAAAATAAGTTAATTAATAATAAATTTTAATTTATGGGAAGCAAGACAGAGAATTAAATTGAATAATATTCAGGATAAGACTTTGGTGACAAGATTAGCTTTACTGTTGGTGTAAGTTACATGTTAGGTAAATTGAATTTAATAAATTTAGCTTCATCAATAGGATTAATAAAAGGAGCTATTGAAGGATTTCCAAGATAATTCAATATGCCTAAAAAATTGATACTAAATAATTTCTTTAATGCTGTAGGAAAACGTACATCAACATATGGTTAAGCTGCAGCTAGTGCAAGCATGCTTTATTATTTTGTGGGTGCAGGAATGAATCTTTTATTTGAAGATGAATTAGCTGATATTAATTAACTTAAAAAAAATATGCTTTGCGGTGCTATTTCAGGAGCTATATACAAATCTACATTAGGTATGTTAAATAAATATTGAATTTTAGGAGTAGTTCCATTTTTTGTAGGAGGAATAGTAGGAGGTTCTTTAATAGGTGGTGTTACACTTTTAGTAGAGAATTTTAATAGAAGAGGTATAGTAGCTTTTGAAATGAAATTTTGATAAGTGTTATTTTGTTTTTTTTAATTAATTTCATAACTAAATGGGTTCTTCTTTATGTGTAAATTGCACCATAAAAACTGAAGAATCTGATATGCAAACATTCCCTTAAGTGTAATAAATCATGTTTGAGTATTCATATCTTTAAGAAATTCCTGATATTTCCATTCCTCAAGAACAACAATAATAATCACCTGAAACAGATACTTCAAAGAATCTAGCAAGTCCTTAATTGAGAGGTATTTTGAAACACAATTTATAATAAAAACAAGATCATGGAAATTTTTGTTAAGATAACAAATTGTCTATAATTACTATTTAAAAGAAAAAAGTCAAATTTAGAAAACCATCAAAATTTTTTCAAAAGGACTGATTATACAATAATTCTGATAATTGAAAACTTAATTTATATTCAACAAATTCATCAAAATCTGATTATTGACTTTTAGAATCATTTCAATTTTTTGGTTAACATAAAATAGAAATAACGAAGATTTCTCCAGTAAACCTTATTTTTGATCTTTTTATAAAGGATAAACCTCTATAATTATAATTATTGTATGTATCTTAAGGAAAATAGCCAATAAAATAAAAGTACAATAACAAAAAATAAATTCTTTTTAAAGAACTCTCTCTTTATATCTATAATTTAGTTTATATGACTATCCATATGCTCCAAAATCTATTATATAATATTTATTTGAATATTTCAATTGAAGTACTTTTGATTATTTACTCTTTTGAATATTTTAAAAGAAGAAAATATCATTTTCCAATATTTCAACAAAAACAAAGTGCTTGATCAAATGTCAAATGCAATGAATTCATACAATAATTAATTTAACTAAGTAGAAATGATTTGATTAAAGTAATTATAAGATGAAAAAATCAGAACAAAATAAGTTTATAATGAAACTTTAGAAATGCATTTTGGAAATTCTGATAAATATTTTAATTATATATATATATATATATTTATTTAAAATATGCAAATATAGAGATTTCCAACCCTTGGTGAATGGACTGAAAAAGTTTATTAAAATTATATATTCTTAGAAAACAAATACATTTTAATAGGAAAAGTTGATAATTAAAAATCCTGAGGAATTGAAATCCAAAATCTAAAAGATGATATCTGAAGGTGTTAAGTAATTACAAATAGTTACTGATTTCGACTAAACTATTTCTTCTTTCCTTAGTCCAGCTACATTTAGCTTGTTTAGGTTTACAATACAAATTTAATTATAGAATGTCTTAATTATCACCTTAAGATTTCAAAAATAAAATGCAATCATATTATGATTATTATGTTCCAATTGAAAAGGATTAGAGTATAAAAATTGAGGAAAAGAATAAATATATGCATGAATGGTATTAGAAAGTATCTGAAGCATTTCATGAAGCTAAATTCACAAAATCTTTATCATGTTAGATATTAAACACTTCACATATTTATTTGAGATATCTTTTCGAACCATTCTTTAATAAATGTGTAGAAGAACATGTTCCATTTCACATTGTCAGTGGTGGACTTGATAGAGTGATAAATACAATTTTATAATCTATTCATGAAATTGATACTTATGATGAAATGACATTGCATACAAATTAAATGCTTTTTTAAAATGATATCTTAGAAAAGATGGAGATGTTAGTAACAGCAACCACTAAAGCTAAAATCTTAGAAACTTCTGGAATATAATTTAGAAATAATACTATTTTGTTAGGTGATTTACCAAGTGATTTTTATATGACTAAATTCCTAAATATACCAAATCAAGTTAGTATAGGATTTTTAACATAGGATCATGCTTAGTATATATATAATTCATTTATAAATTAGTTAATTGGAAGAATATAATAAATTATATGATATTACAATAATAGGTGATCCTAGTTTCTTAGTTCCATTAGTATTGTTATCCAAAGTTATAGGATATCCATTAACAGAAGAATAAACTTAGCTTTTCAATTCACAAAATTATGATGAGCTTCGTGGACTCTTTTGAAATAGAGATTATTTAATATAAAAAATACAATTATTTATTCATTTCTTTAAACTCTATGAAATATTTTCTTTATGCAATAGAATATAGTAATATCAATAATAATATATTTTAAATATAATCAATTAAATTTCATATATAATTTAAGTAATGAGTGAACAAGAAAATTAAACAACTAAAAATCAAAGCCAAGTTATGTAATCTACTGAAATGCACAACTCTATGCAATTAGAGAGTTCAAACTAGATTTATACTTACAAAGCTCCTTGGTTGATTTATGCAATGGGATTTTAATAGAAACCTAGTCCTTAATCTCGTATTGCAATTTGTAGTATGATTGAAGATATTTAGAATGAAGTATATTACTTTTTCATTTTTTTAAGGTGTTCATACTTTAATTGGATAAAGAACAAGAAACATTTAGTAAAAAGGCTAAATTCAATCATAGATATGCTCCAACCAAAGTGTTATGGATACCTGATATTGAAGGCAAATATCCTGATTTGTTGGCAACAAGTGGAGAAAATTTAAAGATTTGGGAATATGATGATCAAAATTCTTAAGTTAAGATTAAATGGGACTTAAAGAATGTATATAATAAATATTCTAAATAAAATATAGACAAGTGATTTTAATGCTCCTTTGACATCTTTTGATTGGAGTTGTAAATAATAAAATTATATTGGAACTGCTTCAATAGATACAACATGTACACTTTGGGATATTGAAAAATAAACAGTAGTAACTCAACTAATTGCTCATGATAAGGAAGTCTATGATATATGTTTTAGTGTTGATCATTAGATTTTTGCATCTGTTGGGGCAGATGGTAGTTGTAGACAATTTGATCTTAGGTTATATTATAGTAAATTGTTAGAGCTTTAGATCATTCAACAGTACTATTTGAGACAGAGAACAATAATCCTATTGTAAGATTAGCTTGGAATAAAATGGATACTAATTACTTAGCAATCATAGAAATGGATGTTAATTATGTTACATTATTAGATACAAGGTAGATTAATATTATATTAAGATAACCACTTCTACCTTTGGCTAAATTAAAAAATCATAAAGATTATGTTAATGCTATTGCATGGGCACCAGAATCTACAACTCATTTATGTAGTGTTGCAGATGATTCATCAGCATTGATTTGGGATTTCTCAGAACTTCAAAATAAATAAAATGATTAAAATTCAATTGGTATATATATATATTAATTTATGTAGATCCTTTGCTTGAATATAAGGCAGAAAATGAAATTAGTAATATATCATGGTCTTTGACAAAAGTTGATTAAGTGAGTATTTGTTATAACAAATCATGTTAAATTTTAAATGTTTGAAATTCATTTCTAATTTAATAAATAGTAATTAAGTGGATATCATAGTATAATTAATTTTCATTACTATAAGCCTAAAAACAATAAATAATTCATCTTTTCAGAAAATTATCAATATTAGTTATTCTCCAATTGTAATTCTATCCTAAGACCATTTAATCAACACTCATTCCTATTAAACTGCCAAACATATTTTTGTTTTAATCCTATTATTTGATAGCTTAGAATTTTACTGCATGATAGGCATATGGATGTAACTAATTGATTAATATTATTATTAAAATACATCAAAGTTTTATATTTTTATACTAGTCTTGCATTTGATAAAACAATCTAAAATAAGTGTAAGTTTTGGTCCAATTCTAAATTAATTTATTGGATCCTTTAACATCTTGGCTAAGCTATTGTAAAATTCCAATTTACTTTAAGAAAATTCTAATTTAAAAATTGGTTTCTAATATATTAACTTTTTCATACTTAAAGATAGTAGCTTTCATCATCATTCAATTCAAAGCAAAAAGTTATATCAGAGATAATAATTTCTTCTTCAATTTCAGGATCATAAATTGGTTCAATAAATTGATTATTGTCTTTGAGTCTTTTTAATCCTGTTTCGAATCCTTTTACAAGCTCAGAATCACAAGTCTTATTAGCAAATTCATTGAAATCTTCATGGTTGATTGAAGCGATTACATTATTAAAAGCATAGATAAATCCATCAACATCTTTAATTTTCAAACCATCCTTGACTAAGCCTGCTACTAATTCATTATAAATTGGATGTTGATAGCCTATCAAATACTATAATTATTATACCTTTATTATAATAAGGTATCACTAAGTGATGACTTTTTGAAAAAGACGATGCTATTCGCTTTAGAAACATTAAATATTATTATCATAAATATAATTATCAATATCCAAAAAAATAATTAATTTTTTGTTCCATTAATTTCTATTATTAGTTTCATTCTAAAATCCTAACCCTTACATAACTTAATTCTTAAAATTTTTTATTGTTTATTATCATAATCCTAAATTTGAGAAGACAATTCATGTTTGAATAAATACCAATTTTTAAAATAAAATACTATTATATAATTTAATAAAATCAATAAATTTAGTCTACAATAATTTTTGATTTTCCTTTTAATTTAAATGATATTCTTCTTTACTAAGTTTTTATTAAACCTAATTATTTTATAAAAAAAAGAAAAGAATTTTATATCAATTCAATATAATATAAAAATTTCCCTTATTATTTTCATAGAATACTATTAATTTCACCTAAAAATATTAATATCTAAAAGTATTTAAGAATATGAAGTACTAATTTCACTCTCAATTAAATGTGTTATATCATTTAATGTTTCATAAGCATTAGTTTATATAAGTATTAAAATTTATTTAAAATAACATTATTTCATAGATTTTTACTTACTAAACATAGTCTTTATTAATTACATTATAAGTTCCTTAATAATATCTATTAATTTAGATAATATCTCTGAATATTAATTTGTAAATAGAATAATCATAACTATATGACTAAAATGATTATATTAAATAATAATACATAATGTATTGCTAATTCGTAAAATAATAGTAAAGTATTTCACTAAGAAAATTTATTGAAATGTTAAATCTGTAATCCCATAATTCATCATTGAGCATAATTATGGATATTTATGTCGAATTTATTATCATAAATTATAGCGACCTAATTTTGAAGTTAATTCAACTTAATCTGGATTTTAAACTCTTTAGTGTCATTTTATCATCAAATATATATATGTGAACTAATCAATCTTATATTTAAATAAATTTGTTATTGGATAAACACATAAATAATTTTTGCTTGATGTTCTCAAATAAATTCCATGATAGAAAATGAAAATCAAAAAAAAAAATATATAGGTTTAAGACTTGTGATTTTAGTTATTTTTTTGAAAAATTGAGGATAGTATTCTCTTTTCTTAATAGAAATCTAAATCCAATAAGAATAATCTTAAGAAATTTAATAATAGCATAATGTCAAATATCAGACTTTTGTTTCATATTTAGAAAATATGTAGCATTTTAAGAGAGATTATAAAAGACATTAATTGGTATTACTAAATATTAAAATTTGAATGTATTATGCAGAAATGGAGATTCATTAGTAAATATGGAATATAATTTTTAGAAGGAATTATTTATGATAAAAGTTATCAAAAGAAAGTCTCTATTGTATGATTAACAATTAGAAAAAAGTAGATAGCTTGATCTATATAGTTTGATTTAATTATAGATATAAATTTTATAGATAAAAACTAATAAACTCTGTGTTTTAAACTTTTCAAAAATCTATTTAACAATTATGTATAGATGTATAATAACTTATAGACTCAATTAAATTCTAATTCATCTGGTTTTATTACTTTTCCAGTAGGTTTCTATTTTAGTTTTTATTTATCTCTTAACATTGATTTTCTCATATCTAATTTGATATAATTATTGATACCATATGCATCTTCATATTTTCCATTTTGACTACTGTAATATTAATATACTGTTTGATATATTTCATATCCAAAATTTTAATACATCAAAACTGCGATTTTATTTGAGGGCCGAACAAATAAATCTACATACCATCCATTTTAACTATTTGTCACATCTTCTATATAATTCATCAAGAATCTTGCTACTCCTTATCTTCTATATTCAGGTGCTACAGTAATTGCCTTAATAAATTATTATGATATACACTAATATGACCATGCCAATTCTATTTATTATTATTTGCTTTTTCTCCTTCAATCTTTCCCAATACTAAAAAATAAATTGTAGTATTTTACAATATCCTTAGAAATTGCCAAAATGATTTTTAATGGAAATACAAAATTCTGGCCATTTAGCTATATATTTTCCATAGAAGCCAACATTGAACTGAATTTAGTTTAATAGTTACTGTTTCAGTCAGGATGTCTAAATTTATGTTGTTGTAATCTAAAATATCGAAAATTTGAAATGGTTTAATGGTTGACATAATAATAAATAAATTAATGAATTAATTACCAAAAGAGTCAATTATAAAGTTGTAATCACACATAAACAAAGAAGTTGTAATATAATTTTAAGGAGGAAGATAAGTCAAAGGAACCTTATTATCATTTGATGTTCAACTCAATCTAGTATTAGATGAAGTGAGAGAATTACCATCTCAAAGAATATTAGGACTTGTAATTTGCAGAGGAGCTTTAATAAATAGTTTTGCTATTGATGGAATGGTTGAAATTGAAAATCCATATATATGATTTATAATATTAATCAGTGGTTAAATTGATCCTTTAATTGTCTAAGGAATATAATTAATATGGATATAACAATTGAATTTAATTTCAAGTGAATTTCAATAGTCATCTAATTAATCTCAATAATCTCTCTTTAAAAATGAGATTAATAAACAAAAATAAATTTTCTAATTTATTTAAATATGATAATTATAAGACTCTCTCGTCACTTTTCAAAAATAAAGAAGGACTTATTAACCAACCCTGAATTTGATAAAATTCATCCTCAATTCCTAGATCATAAACCACCTACTACTTTACATAGATAGTCTAAAGAAGTGCCATATATTAAATCCCTTTTGAGATATAAAGATATTGCTATACCAACATTTGAAAATGCTTTACATCAAAATGTAATATCATTATGTTATTAAGCAAGTTTAAAACATTTGTTGAAGGTCATGTCAGTCCAAAAGGAGCATTAAAGAACTTATCAGAGGAATAAATGAAATAAATCCAGACCCAAGTAACTAAGAAATTGTAAGAATTAGAAGATACTGGATTATCAAGAGAAGAGATTTTGACAAATGGTGTAGATGTATATAAATAATTAAAAGAAATTAGAAAGGCATTCCATTAAGTTATGATGCATTTTTTTAGTTGTTAAAAAATAATGAATAAGCTCGTCTTGTTTATATGGCTCCTGGAGAGGAATTTACAGTTTAAAAAATAGTTGATATAGCTTTGAGGTAGGATATTGGTAAGGATTAATTTAATGTTCCAATTAATAAATATCCAAACAATATGAAATTAAAAAACCATAATAAATAGAAGGACATATTAATAAATACCAAAGATCATTTAGAACATGTAAATGAATTGGTTAGTGATGAAGTTGTATATCATCATCATCCTTAACCTAAAAGACCTATTAGAAGAGTAAATAATTATGATATTCATTGGAGAAATACAGAATTCTTAATTTAATTTTTAAATAAAAGTGCAAAAATTAAAAATAGACAATAAACCAATCTTGCAGAAGTTTAACATAAAAAAGTAGCAAGATCTATTAAAACAGCAAAACATATGCGTATTTTTAATATATCTAATTTTAGTTCTCTTACCTTCTAATTCATCTATTTAACCTTATCATAAAAAATCACTCACTAGTTTTGAAGATGATATATAAGAATTTGCAAGAAGAAAAGTAAATTTATCTACAGGGTAAATTTATACTGAAACTCCATTATAAAAAAGAGAAAGATCATTAGAAAGCTAGACTATGATTGAAGATGATTAAGAAATAAATCCAGGATCAAATAGACCTAATAATATGAATATTATCAAAGGTATAGTTTATGCAGAAAAATTGAAGAAAAAAGAATTAGAATAATAAGGCATCAAATTAACTAAAGAAGAAGAAGATTCAAGAAATTATAGATTTAATGGTAATGATGTCAAATTTTAAATTATGAGAGATGAATAAATATTAAAATAAGAAATAAAAAAAGAAATTGAAGCTAAAGATGGAGAATTTGTTGAAGAATTTAATTAAATTAAAGTATATCATTTATTCAATTATAGTCTAATGTTGAGAAAATCCCAACTTATTATTTGAGTTAAGCCTTTATAAGTGAATAAACCTTATAAATGGAAAAATTATAAGAACTTGTTTATTAAAAACCAAAATAGGCCTATACCTATGATGAAAGTTTAAGAATTATTGAGGAAGTCAAATCTAGATTAAATAAGTGATATTGTTAATATTCAATCATACACATGTTTAAAACCAACATCTGTTTCACAAGATATTATTCTCTTTTCTAATGTATCTTTAACATCCTACAATTTTTCTTTATCACTTTTTAAAACATTTAATTGTGCATCCAAAAATTCAGCATCATGTTTAGCATCTTAAGATTTCTTTAATGCCTCATTTAATTATCTTTTAGCCTTGATTTATTACAATCAGTTATACATCATTTTATATAAAAGTACATAGATCATCACTTGATTTACCGTGGTTATTTTTTACAGTTGATATTTCCATTCTTAAGTTAGACATTTCCTTTTTGCTAATTTCTAAGTCTTTTTTAAGCTCAGCTAAATAATTCTTCACATATTATTATCAATACTTCTAATTTTACAATGTGATCTTTGACATTTAATTAGAGACTTTCTTCTATTGATTTTTGTCTTTTTAGCATAAGCTTTTATCTTTCCCTTTCTGGGTCTATTTCTTGATCAGATTCCAAACTTTCGTTTAGCATATAAAAATATTAATAATTATCATTATGTGTTCTCAGCGTTTTTATTATTATTTTGATATTGTTTCTCATAATCACTAGGTGATAATTTCTATGCTTGTTCTATTTTCTTTTAAACAAATTATTGATTAGCCAATGAATTTTATAATTCCATCATTGCTAATTATTCTTATTGTTCTAATTCTGATATCTTAAAATCATAAAACTTCTTTTCTTTAATTATCTAATCCTTTTCATTTTCTATTTGATATCTCACCTTTTCCCTTTTCTATTTCATTTTTAAAACAGCAACCTCAGTAGATTGCCTTTCTTCTTCTTTTACTTATATTGCTTTTATTCGATAAACTTCCTAATCCAAACTTTTTTACATTTAAACACTTTAAAAATCTTTTTTTAATTGTTCTCTAAAGAGTTTTGCATCTGATTTCTTTTTTATTAAATCATCATCCTTAATCTTTTTAAGAATTTGTCTTTGATGATGAGATATAGCCAATGAGAATGGAGGAGGTTATGCTTATTTTTGTTTTAACTTATTTTCTTTCTATACATTAAAAAAAAGAATAGAGAACCTTTAATTATATTTCAACTCTATGTCTGTAAATTTCATCAGCTCTTTCTTCATCTTGTTGAATTCGTTTCATCACTTTTTCATGTTCCATTTTCAATTATAAAATGCGATTCTATATTTTTTATGCATCTGTTTCTGCATGTTTCTTCTAAACAAGTGATGAAAATAAAGTTTTCTTATCTTAAGGCAATTCTTCTGATGACATTTTTAATCAATCAATTAATTTAATACTAAAAATTCAATAAATTATATCTGAATTTACAATATATATATATATATATATAAATAAAAGAATCATAAGATTTAATTTTAGAAGTGTTTCTTGTTGAATTGAAAGGGTCTTTTATGTAAATGATCTGTTGGAAGAAACAATCCTTTTAAAGTGTCTTTTATTTAATCAGGTTAAAGAGTTTCTCTCAATGTTTGATAAAGTATTTATTCACTTTACATTTTCTTTATGGTATGAGCTTGATCTCCTACAGGTATATTATCAATTTAATGAACAATATCATGCAATCTTGAATTAATTTATGATATTTTTCTATTGGATTTCATCTCTTCGTTTTAACTTGGTGGAGATAATGAATATGGTGCTTATGTTTTACGAGAAGTTTGTCCTTTTTTTCTAAAAAAATGTTCTGTATTTTATTTTGAATCACCATTCTCTGGTAAATGTCTTACTGTTGTAGCAAATATTAAATGTTATTTTTGACCAGCTCAAATATAATATATATAATAATACTAAGTAAAATTTTATTAATTTCTTCCTTTGCATTCTCTCTCTATTTTTATCTATAATTTTTAGCTATTTAATGCATTATTATTTCTTTTTTTATCTAATCCTCCTTTTTATTATATATTTTTTTTGCTGCATTCCAAATCATCTTAATAACCTTATCTGATTACTCTTTATAATGCTATGCATTTAATTGACCTTAATCTACTATTATTTCATCTTCTTCCTAATTATTGTATTAAGATGATCTTTAAGAACCCTTTATGTCAATTTTAGTTGCTTTTCTTTAATACTTACGAATTTATTATAATTCCCATAGTTTCGCTTTTGCTTCCATTTCTCCTTTTATTTAATCCTAATGAGCTAATTTTAGTTCCCTATCTACATTAATTGGAGATTCAAAATCATAATCAGAATTTTCTAATTCCCAACATTACTCATAGTTCTCTTTCACTTATTTACTTTTTCTTCTTTGTCTTTCTTATTAAAGTTTATCTACAATAAAATCATATTTTACAATTTTTTGCAAGTAAATAATCAACATATTCTTATTCCTAATCATCTACTTTCTCTTTTACCCTTAGTTTAGGCATACTAAAATTAGCTGATAGTAATCCCTTTGAATTAATAAATGATGATAAATTCTCAAACTTTTTTATATTTCTTTGATAAAATTGAACATCCTTAGGTATTTATTGATGCTTTAATTTACTCTATGTCTTGTCAATCAGTTTGTTCACTTTCTCGACAACTGTATATTTTCTTTATTATGGCAATTATGTTAAAAAGGCTAATTATTGAATTTTTTTGTTTGCTATTTTTGTAATGTTATCAGATGCATTTTTTATACTTCTATCAGAATCCTAAGATTTAAGCATTTATTTTCTGTTTTCTTGCATATGTATAAATATATTTATAATAATAATATAATTTACTTAAATTGAAATAAAAATAATATTATATATATAAGAATTAAGTATCTCACCTATCAACTGAATTAAGATAGTATAATAATAATGGTTACAAAAACCTTGATATAAAAAAAATAAATTCTATAAATTAATTTGAATTATTTGAGATTTTCTGTTGGATATCATAATTAAGAAAAATTGATCGTGAAATCAGAAAGCTTTAGGAATTATCAAACTATAATCGTTAATCATATGACTATATTCGAACGTTAGAACAACATAGACAATTAATTTCCTTTTTCGATTTATAATTAGATTATAATATTTAATCCAAATAAAGTTAAATCATATTTAATTGATATTATATTCTTATAATGATGAAAATTTTACGGACAGCTGATTTTTTTGGAGCTCCTTTTGTCTAACAAATTGATCCAAAACAATCAATTTATAAAAGTGCTTTTGGAGGATTAGTTACATTACTTATTTGTTCAGCAAGTCTAGCATACGCTATTTGGGTGCTTTACAAATGGCAAAACAATCAATTAAGCCCAAAGATTTCTAATTCAATGTATGTATCTGATTTTTCATTGTTGGATCTGAATTATGATGTTATAAAATTGTATTATTGGAGATTCGGAGAAAATCAGATAGACCCATTTGAATCTAAAATATTATTGCCATTAGTTATGTATACAACTAATTTTAGCTTTTCTGAGCTTTAAGTTATATAAATGTCAAATGAAACATCTGTTGATGGAACATAATACTACTTACCAAAAATGAGCTTAGCCTTTTAAAATATTAGTGGTGTAATTTATACCTCATCTGAAATGTACATTTAAATAGCTAGATGCTCTTAAATTTATTTAAAAGAAGATGAAAAATGTGCATCAGATGAATTAATAGAAGAGTTTTTTTCTTAACCTTTAAATACAATAGTATTATAAGTACATTAGAAATAACTGAATTCTCTCGATGGAAGTGTTTAAAATAGTGTACAAGAGTTTTACATATAAGTTGAAAAATAAAATTGTTATACTCTCAATACCTTTCTTTAAAGTAACTTATATGAACTCTAAGATTCTTTTTTATTTGGGTATCCAAGATATCTTGAATTTATTAATGGAGCATTTATATAACCTTAAACAAATTCAGTTGAATATTGTAAACTAGCTTATGAAAACGATATACTAGGTTTAATCTACATTGTAATGAAAGGAAATTAAATCAAAACTATTTTTGAATATCCTCATGCTGGTGATCTTTTAGCTAATATTGGTTCAATTGTATCTGTTCTCTTCATGATTAAACATATAATTATAATTATTAATGAATACTATCTAAATCAAAAAATACTAAATTAACTAATCTAATTTTATTATCCTGAATTTAAAAATATCACTATTTAAAAAAATTGGAGATAAAAACCAGTCAAAGTGGTTTTAAATAAATATCAAGTAGATGTAAATGAATTTTTATAATTTCATAAGAAAGTATAAGATTAAATGTAAAACAAATTAAGTTATTTGAATTTATTATATGAAATGTCCAGAATTTACTTTATTATAAGATCATTTAAATTTAGAGATGAGTTAAAAAAGTCTCATTAAATAGGAATTAAAATTAATTTGTCTTAATCTAAAATGATGATTGATTCGAATCTAAACTATAATTGGACAAATAGATCATAAACCTTTTCGCAACTCAATGATGAAGATGCTGATTTATTATCCCTTTCTAATAAGGCTAAAGAAATTCACCCTTCAGTTCCAGATGAAATTTGTATTGATAAGGATTTCTATGAAAATAATAAAATATCATGAATTGAGATATATATATATATATTCTTAAAATTTTATTATGGAATATTTATTTAATTATAATAAATAGAAAAGAGAAAAGTATATTTTTTAAATAAAATGTTTATCATGATCTATTTTTCAATTTACCTTTTATTTATGTTAAAAAATTTACCAAATCTTTGATTTAAATTGTTTTATACAAATATTTTTGAGATATTATTGGTTTTCTTTTTGATATTAAAATATTATTTAATTGATTAAACCAAATTCTTTTTCTTTTAAATTCATCCCTTAATTATAACTTTTAAATTATTCCCCTGCTTAATTTAGATTAAGTAAAATATTATGCACTTATAACAAAATTGAATTCAAATTATATATTTTTTCTAAAAGTGGACTCTTGATGATACTATTTAATAATTTATTATATTTGAGAGAATATTAGGCTAGAAAATATTGATATCAAATTTGTCTTATATCGTCATATTATTTAATAATGTAAATTTTGAGATCAAAGAGAATTATTTAGATTCATCTCAATGATCTAGAATGTTTTAAATTAAATAATATGTCAATATATAAATATAATTTCTAATGTCAGAAATTAATTGTATTTTTCTATAATCAAATTAATTATTGGATCTCAATGCAAATACTACGAGCAGCTGATTTTTTTGGAGTCCCCTTCAATTAACAAATTGATTCAAAGCAATCAATATATAAAAGTGCTTTTGGAGGATTAGTTACATTACTTATTTGTTCAGCAAGTCTAGCATACGCTGTTTGGGTGCTTTACAAATGGCAAAACAATCAATTAAGCCCAAAGATTTCTAATTCTATTTATGTGTCTGATTTTTCATTGTTGGATCTGAATTATGATGTTATAAAATTGTATTATTGGAGATTCGGAGAAAACCAGATAGACCCATTTGAATCTAAAATATTATTGCCATTAGTTATGTATACAAATGGTTTTAATTTTACTGAACTTTAAGTTATAAGCAAGTCAAATGAACCTCCTGTTGATGGAAGATAATATTACTTACCAAAAATGAGTTTAGGCTTTTAAAATTTTAGTGGTGTGCTTTATACCTCATCTGAAATGTACATTTAAATAGCTAGATGCTCTTAAATTTATTTAAAAGAAGATGAAAAATGTGCATCAGATGAATTAATAGAAGAGTTTTTTTCTTAACCTTTAAATACAATAGTTGTATAAGTAAATCAAAAATAATTGAATTCACAAGATGGAAGTATTTAAAATAGTGTACAAGAGTTTTACATATAAGTTGAAAAATAAAATTGTTATACTCTCAATACCTTTCTTTAAAGTACCTTTTATGAACTCTAAGATTCTTTTTTATTTGGATATCCAAGATATTTTGAATTTATTAATGGAGCATCTATATAACCTTAAACAAATTCGGTTGAGTATTGTAAATAGGCGTATGGAAACGATATACTAGGTTTAATCTTCATTGTAATGAAAGGAAATTAAATCAAAACTATTTTTGAATATCCTCATGCTGGTGATCTTTTAGCTAATATTGGTTCAATTGTATCTGTTCTCTTCATGATTAAACATATAATTATAATTATTAATGAATACTATCTAAATCAAAAAATACTAAATTAACTAATCTAATTTTATTATCCTGAATTTAAAAATATCACTATTTAAAAAAATTGGAGATAAAAACCAGTCAAAGTGGTTTTAAATAAATATCAAGTAGATGTAAATGAATTTTTATAATTTCATAAGAAAGTATAAGATTAAATGTAAAACAAATTAAGTTATTTGAATTTATTATATGAAATGTCCAGAATTTACTTTATTATAAGATCATTTAAATTTAGAGATGAGTTAAAAAAGTCTCATTAAATAGGAATTAAAATTAATTTGTCTTAATCTAAAATGATGATTGATTCGAATCTAAACTATAATTGGACAAATAGATCATAAACCTTTTCGCAACTCAATGATGAAGATGCTGATTTATTATCCCTTTCTAATAAGGCTAAAGAAATTCACCCTTCAGTTCCAGATGAAATTTGTATTGATAAGGATTTCTATGAAAATAATAAAATATCATGAATTGAGATATATATATATATATTCTTAAAATTTTATTATGGAATATTTATTTAATTATAATAAATAGAAAAGAGAAAAGTATATTTTTTAAATAAAATGTTTATCATGATCTATTTTTCAATTTACCTTTTATTTATGTTAAAAAATTTACCAAATCTTTGATTTAAATTGTTTTATACAAATATTTTTGAGATATTATTGGTTTTCTTTTTGATATTAAAATATTATTTAATTGATTAAACCAAATTCTTTTTCTTTTAAATTCATCCCTTAATTATAACTTTTAAATTATTCCCCTGCTTAATTTAGATTAAGTAAAATATTATGCACTTATAACAAAATTGAATTCAAATTATATATTTTTTCTAAAAGTGGACTCTTGATGATACTATTTAATAATTTATTATATTTGAGAGAATATTAGGCTAGAAAATATTGATATCAAATTTGTCTTATATCGTCATATTATTTAATAATGTAAATTTTGAGATCAAAGAGAATTATTTAGATTCATCTCAATGATCTAGAATGTTTTAAATTAAATAATATGTCAATATATAAATATAATTTCTAATGTCAGAAATTAATTGTATTTTTCTATAATCAAATTAATTATTGGATCTCAATGCAAATACTACGAGCAGCTGATTTTTTTGGAGTCCCCTTCAATTAACAAATTGATTCAAAGCAATCAATATATAAAAGTGCTTTTGGAGGATTAGTTACATTACTTATTTGTTCAGCAAGTCTAGCATACGCTGTTTGGGTGCTTTACAAATGGCAAAACAATCAATTAAGCCCAAAGATTTCTAATTCTATTTATGTGTCTGATTTTTCATTGTTGGATCTGAATTATGATGTTATAAAATTGTATTATTGGAGATTCGGAGAAAACCAGATAGACCCATTTGAATCTAAAATATTATTGCCATTAGTTATGTATACTAATGGTTTTAATTTTACTGAACTTTAAGTTATAAGCAAGTCAAATGAACCTCCTGTTGATGGAAGATAATATTACTTACCAAAAATGAGTTTAGGCTTTTAAAATTTTAGTGGTGTGCTTTATACCTCATCTGAAATGTACATTTAAATAGCTAGATGCTCTTAAATTTATTTAAAAGAAGATGAAAAATGTGCATCAGATGAATTAATAGAAGAGTTTTTTTCTTAACCTTTAAATACAATAGTTGTATAAGTAAATCAAAAATAATTGAATTCACAAGATGGAAGTATTTAAAATAGTGTACAAGAGTTTTACATATAAGTTGAAAAATAAAATTGTTATACTCTCAATACCTTTCTTTAAAGTACCTTTTATGAACTCTAAGATTCTTTTTTATTTGGATATCCAAGATATTTTGAATTTATTAATGGAGCATCTATATAACCTTAAACAAATTCGGTTGAGTATTGTAAATAGGCGTATGGAAACGATATACTAGGTTTAATCTTCATTGTAATGAAAGGAAATTAAATCAAAACTATTTTTGAATATCCTCATGCTGGTGATCTTTTAGCTAATATTGGTTCAATTATATCTGTTCTCTTCATAATTAAACATATAATTATTATTATTAACAAATACTATCTAAATCAAAAAATACTAAATTAACTAATCTAATTTTATTATCCTGAATTTAAAAATATCACTATTTAAAAAAATTGGAGATAAAAACCAGTCAAAGTGGTTTTAAATAAATATCAAGTAGATGTAAATGAATTTTTATAATTTCATAAGAAAGTATAAGATTAAATGTAAAACAAATTAAGTTATTTGAATTTATTATATGAAATGTCCAGAATTTACTTTATTATAAGATCATTTAAATTTAGAGATGAGTTAAAAAAGTCTCATTAAATAGGAATTAAAATTAATTTGTCTTAATCTAAAATGATGATTGATTCAAATCTAAACTATAATTGGACAAATAGATCATAAACCTTTTCGCAACTCAATGATGAAGATGCTGATTTATTATCCCTTTCTAATAAGGCTAAAGAAATTCACCCTTCAGTTCCAGATGAAATTTGTATTGATAAGGATTTCTATGAAAATAATAAAATATCATGAATTGAGATATATATATATATATTCTTAAAATTTTATTATGGAATATTTATTTAATTATAATAAATAGAAAAGAGAAAAGTATATTTTTTAAATAAAATGTTTATCATGATCTATTTTTCAATTTACCTTTTATTTATGTTAAAAAATTTACCAAATCTTTGATTTAAATTGTTTTATACAAATATTTTTGAGATATTATTGGTTTTCTTTTTGATATTAAAATATTATTTAATTGATTAAACCAAATTCTTTTTCTTTTAAATTCATAATTATAACTTTTAAATTATTCCCCTGCTTAATTTAGATTAAGTAAAATATTATGTACTAATGTCAAAATAAAATTCAAATTATTTATATTTTAAAAGAATTGACATTTGATGAGATAGTTTATCAATTTACTAAATTCAAAGAAATTTAGACTAAAAAAATATTGATAACAAATTTATCTATAGTAAATTATTTTCTAATGAATAGATCTCAGAGAATTATTTAGATTCAATTGATTATCTAGAATGTTTTAAATTTAATAATGTGTCAATATATAAATATAATTTCTATTGTCAAAAATTCATTGTATTTTTCTATAATCAAATTAATTTATTAGATACTCAATGTAAGTACTACGAACAGCTGATTTTTTTGGAGTCCCCTTCATTCAACAAATTGATCCAAAACAATCAATTTATAAAAGTGCTTTTGGAGGATTAGTTACCTTACTTATTTGTTCTGCAAGTCTAGCATACGCTATTTGGGTGCTTTACTTATGGCAAAACAATTAATTAAGCCCAAAGATTTCTAATTCTATTTATGTGTCTGATTTTTCTTTGTTGGATTTGGAATATGATGTTATAAAATTGTATTATTGGAAATTTGGAGAAAATTAGATAGACCCTTTTGAATCAAAAATATTATTGCCATTAGTTATGTATACAACTAATTTTAGTTTTACTGAGCTTTAACTTATATAAATGTCAAATGAAACTTCTGTTGATGGATCAAGTAAATATATCATTCCAAAAATGAGTTTGGCATTTTAGTAAATAAATGGAGAACTATATACAACATCAGAAATGTATATAGAAATAGTTTTATGTTAAGAGATATATCTATAGCCAAATGAAAAATGTGCTTCTTAAGAGTTAATAGATGAGTTTTTTAAGCAACCTTTAAATACTGTTGTCATGCAAGTACACTATAAATCTTTAGATTCCAGAGATGGATCAGAATAGACAAGTTTATAAGAGTTTTATGTTTAGATTGAAATGAAAAACTGTTATACTTTAAATACATTTCTATCAAGTAATTTATATGAAGTTCAAGACTCCTTTTTATTTGGGATGCCTAAATATTTTGAATATATTATAGGATCTTCAATACAAACTTAAACTAACTCATTCGAGTATTGTAAATAAACATATGAAAATGATGTTTTAGGATTAATATATATAATGATGAAAGGAAATCAAACTAAAACTATTTTTTAATATCCACATGCTGGAGATCTNAATTATAACTTTTAAATTATTCCCCTGCTTAATTTAGATTAAGTAAAATATTATGTACTAATGTCAAAATAAAATTCAAATTATTTATATTTTAAAAGAATTGACATTTGATGAGATAGTTTATCAATTTACTAAATTCAAAGAAATTTAGACTAAAAAAATATTGATAACAAATTTATCTATAGTAAATTATTTTCTAATGAATAGATCTCAGAGAATTATTTAGATTCAATTGATTATCTAGAATGTTTTAAATTTAATAATGTGTCAATATATAAATATAATTTCTATTGTCAAAAATTCATTGTATTTTTCTATAATCAAATTAATTTATTAGATACTCAATGTAAGTACTACGAACAGCTGATTTTTTTGGAGTCCCCTTCATTCAACAAATTGATCCAAAACAATCAATTTATAAAAGTGCTTTTGGAGGATTAGTTACCTTACTTATTTGTTCTGCAAGTCTAGCATACGCTATTTGGGTGCTTTACTTATGGCAAAACAATTAATTAAGCCCAAAGATTTCTAATTCTATTTATGTGTCTGATTTTTCTTTGTTGGATTTGGAATATGATGTTATAAAATTGTATTATTGGAAATTTGGAGAAAATTAGATAGACCCTTTTGAATCAAAAATATTATTGCCATTAGTTATGTATACAACTAATTTTAGTTTTACTGAGCTTTAACTTATATAAATGTCAAATGAAACTTCTGTTGATGGATCAAGTAAATATATCATTCCAAAAATGAGTTTGGCATTTTAGTAAATAAATGGAGAACTATATACAACATCAGAAATGTATATAGAAATAGTTTTATGTTAAGAGATATATCTATAGCCAAATGAAAAATGTGCTTCTTAAGAGTTAATAGATGAGTTTTTTAAGCAACCTTTAAATACTGTTGTCATGCAAGTACACTATAAATCTTTAGATTCCAGAGATGGATCAGAATAGACAAGTTTATAAGAGTTTTATGTTTAGATTGAAATGAAAAACTGTTATACTTTAAATACATTTCTATCAAGTAATTTATATGAAGTTCAAGACTCCTTTTTATTTGGGATGCCTAAATATTTTGAATATATTATAGGATCTTCAATACAAACTTAAACTAACTCATTCGAGTATTGTAAATAAACATATGAAAATGATGTTTTAGGATTAATATATATAATGATGAAAGGAAATCAAACTAAAACTATTTTTTAATATCCACATGCTGGAGATCTCTTAGCTAATATTGGTTCTATTGTATCAGTTCTATTTATGATAAAACATGTAATTATAGTACTTAATGAATATTATCTTAAATAAAAAGTACTAAACGAAGTGATATCCTTTTATTATCCAGAATTTAAGAGTATTATGATTAATAAAAATTGGAAATAAAAAATAACAAAGGTAACTTTGAACAAAAAGAATTTAGATGTAAAGGAGTACAAATAATTTTATAAAAAAGTAAAGAATTAAATGGAAGTTAAACTAAGTTATTTAAATATGTTATATGAAATATCAAGAATTTATTTCATAATTAGATCATATAATAATAGGTAAGAACTAAAAAAATCTCATTCAGTAGGGATAAAACTGTCATTAGCATCAACAAATGAAAATTTTCTTGATTCAGGGCCAAATTCTAATCTTTCTAATCGATTAGGAATGAATCTTCTTGTTTTGAATGATGAAGACTCAAATTTATTATCACTTTCAATGAGGAAATAAATACCTATATTAGATTAGCTATAATAGGAGATTTGTTCTGAAGATAATTTTTTTGAGATAAACAAAATAAAATGATTAATTTAATTTTACATAATTTCATAAAGAGTTTTTATGATTATTAATTCTTAAGATACACTTTTATTTCTACCTTATTATATGTTTATAATTCCTCTCTGAATAGAAAACTTAAATAATTATCAATTTTTTATTTATATATTAATAATAACATTTCTAAATCTTAATATTAATCAAAATATCAAATGAATCCAAAATAAATTTAAAATTTATGAATAAAGAAGTTTGTGATTAAAATATAATTATTTTTTTTCATAATAATTCTATATACTTTTTTAAAGATTGAATAATCTGAAATAATAAAAAATAATTTTAATTGTATATAATTTGTTAATTATATATATTTCAATCAAATGGCTAAAGTTGAGGAGTTGATTCATCATCAGAAGCCTCTGTTCGAAACATTCTATTTTATTAATTCACTAATTTCTTCTTTCTTTATTCTAATTTTTGTTAGACAGCATCAGTTTGTATTTTCATTTCTGATTATATATATTGATCCATTTTTTCTGTCTCTGATTTATAATCCTAATTTAATAATTATGATTACAGACATTAATTTATTCAAAGAAGGTTCTTGCTCTTTTTTAAGCATCTAAATTTATAAAGTCAAGTTCATTTATTATCCTCTTGATTTCTAATGATTTTCATTAAACTCTAGTCCTTTAAGTACGTTCTTACGATCTATTTACTCAGCAATTGAAGGTGCTCTAGAAACAGTCATTTATTTTGGAACTTAGAGGTGATTGTAGCTCTATTGTTCATCCTCCTCTTATATGGTGTCTTATTGAAACATTGATTTAATTGTATCTGGTCTTGAGAGAACAAATTAGATTTTATCAAGAAAATAGTTTTTTATGGGGTCTTTATAGAAATCATAATACTCAACTAATTAAGCTACATAATTAAAGCCAAATATACCATATTTTTATATCAAAGTATTGATTTTAGACTTATCCAGTACTTTGATATGAAATCCTTCTTCTAATTTTGTTAGGGCTTAAAAAAATTATAATGTTAATGGTGCTATTTTAGACTTTCTATTTTATTATTCTCCACTCATCTAATATAAATATCAAAATAATTAATTATATATTTCTAGTCTTTTATTTCTAATTAAGATAATATATATATTTAAATTCATCAATTTCTTATACAGAATTAAATTAATTTATCTTTCTAATAGAAAAAAGAACAACTAATATAATTTTACAAAGAATGAAAAAAGAAATAGGATCCATTATGCTTATGTAAATTCTATCATAAATATATATATATATATATATTTATCTAACACTTTGTTAACAATTTATTAAAATAATTATTACTAAATAATGCATCCAAAAAACAGTACACCTAATTTTAACATTGAAAAGTAATCTGTCCCATAACATTCATGCCCTAATAGATCTGTTTAGAATTGTAAATTATAATTTAAAATTTAGTTAGTGTTTATGATGACTATTAATATAAGAAAGTCACAACAAAGTTAGATTCTAAAGATCCTATGTTTCATTCTCAAATTTTTGATTAGACAGAAACTTATAAACAATAAATAATAGAATTACAAAGACAAATCAAAATAAAAGACCTTAGTTATTAATAGTTGGCTACTGCATTTTTTTAATAGCAACAAAAATTTGAAGAACTAACTAATGCTTTTGCTAAAGTTGATGAAGAAAAAAAATATCTTCAAAAAGAGATACAGAATCTAGTTGAAAAAAACGAATTTAACTTATTTGACATGAAACAATTATAAGAAATAAATACGTTATTTCAAAATGAAAATACATAATTGAAATTGGCAGCTGTTAAAGTATTTATTCTTTATAAATTAGCTCAAAGACACTATACTTAAATTATAAATTGATAACAAATAACTCAAAGATTAAATTGAATCTTTGATGACCAATCCATTAAGTTGTGATAGGAAAGGAAGTTCTAGGCTTTCTTTTGATTATTTACTAAATGAAGCAGAATAAACTTAAACAGCATAAGGGATTTCAGGAAGTTCACTTCCAAATTTCGAGAAAAATTGTATTTGTTAAAAAAAGATTATACATATATAATCAGAGATAAAAAAATATTAAAAATAGTTATAGGAAAAAGATTAATTGATTGAAAAACTGACTCAATAAAATATTGCTTTATAGAGAGCTTAAATGAAAATATAAAAATGTTAGAAAAAATAAAATTTATTTGGAACTCCTGAGACTGAGATAGCTAAGCATGATCCAATCTTAGTTTAAGATGACAGTAATGATACTTCTCGATAATTAAATACTTATTTAAGTGATAAAAGATTTAATAATGTAAATAATGGTTTAGAATCATAAATGCCTGTATAATTATCATCTAAAAATTAGTTAAAGACATCTTCTAGTGCAAGATCAGTTTTAATGAATAAATCTAAAAAAGAAGTAGAGCAGATCTATAAAAAAATGAATTAATCAGCCCTTTTTACAGCCAGTCTATTTTCAACAATGCTTGATTATAAAAATTTGCATCAAAATTGTCAATAAATAAGAAGTACTAGTTACAATTAAGTAAAATAATTATGATGATAAATACATTTTGCTATCATTTTAATCTATATTATTATAATCAAGGTTGCAGTATACACTTAAAATTTCTATCTGTTTTCATTAAACATATAAAATTTTAATAAATTTAATACTTAAATCCATTTTTGTTGTTAATAATAAAATATATGTAATATAGAAAACTCTTAGAATTTTAAATAATTCAAAGTGTTAACTTATGTCTCTCATATTATTTTTCTTAAATTTATAATAATTTTAAATTACAATTTCATGCATGATTGTGTTTCTTTATAATAATCAAATATTGAAACTTTTAAACAAATTTATTACAAATTAAAATAAAAATTTAACAGAAAAATAATTAATAAGTATATTTATATAAGATTCTTTAACATTGAAGATTCTAAAAGGAACTTGATTAATTAAGGGGCCTTAATTTAATTTAGAATGTTTTAGCCTATAATAAAAATTAATAAATATATAGTTGTTAATTATATTATTATTGTTTTTCTAATTTCAACGAATAAATGGCAAAAGACTTTTATGTTTTAAGTGTAAAAATTTTTTCTATGACAAGAAATAAAGTTCCTAACAATGTTTCAGTTCATTAGGAAATTTTGAATCTATTCAACATGTAAACGATTCTAATAAATGGGATGATATAAAATAATCAAGATAAGACTTAATGAAAAAATATCATCAATTCAAAACTAATGAAGTAAAATAACCAAATTTATCAACCTATTAATCTTAAAAGGTAATCTTAACTTAATTAAAGGTTATGATTCCAAAAATTGAGAATTTTGATATTAAATTAAATATCAAGAGGGATACTGCAATAAAGAATAAAGATAAAGAAAATATTCTATGTTCATAATAGAAATAATAAGAAAGATCAGGATCAAACAGTTAGAGAATTAGATATGAATCAGTATATGATAGGTATAATAAAATATATATAAAAATAGATTATATAATTTAAGAGATGCAGAAAATAAAGGAACAAAAGTAGTTCAAAAGATTTTAAATCATAATAATAACAATTCATAAAAATAATCAAAATCAATTTTGGGTCATAATATCTTAATTCAAAAGAGATCCTCAGATCCATCAATTTTGATGCCTATTTCATCTTTGATTAAGAAAACCTAAAAGCAATAAATAGATTAATAGCAAGATCAAAAAAATACATAAAATTAAATTCATAATCAATAAAATAATTCTTAGGATCTTTATAGAGTTAATGTCAGTAGATAGTAAGTTTGCCATCTTGAAAAAAACGAAAGTATTAAATAAAATTAGTCAACAGAAATTCAAAGTAATCTAAATTTATCTTAAATACCTATTAAACATTGTTATTTTTCTTTAATAAATGCTGAAGAAAGTACTTAAAATTTATTAAATAGGTAGAGTTATAAAATAAGAAAGTGAGATCTTTAAGTAGTGAGAAAAATAAAACAAAATAAAGTTTTAAATCATAAAAGGGAAATCGTGCACACACATAAGGAAAGTAGGAGAATAAAAATTAATAAAAAATTAATAGATTATATGAATATATTTTAGAAGGAAATTACTGAGTTATATATCACTTTATCATATTTATACATTTAATTCAATTTGTTCAGGTTTTTATTCAATTAATTCTGTGATATTTTATTGTATCTTAGTATTTTATTTCTTAAAGGTTATCTAGAGTAGAATTCCTATTGTGATTATTAATATTATTAAAAGACCTAAATACAATAAATTATAAAGTTTCTGATATTATTCATTTTTTAGTTATTTCTACTCTTAATTAATATCTTTTAATGTAAATGCTAAAATTTATTATATTTTTATTACTATTTTCATGATTTTCTCCATTAATATCAAAATAAAATTTTACTTCACTTCCTATTTGAATTTCCTAAAAAATTAAAAAATAAATTATTTAACTTCTTGGTAAAAACTAAAAGGTTGAGAAAGTGTTGTTTTTATAATCTATTTTATTTAATTTACTAAACTCAATATTATCTCTATTATATTTTTGATCATATTTAATATCAATATAATATGCTTCAATAAGTTAGACAGCATCAGAAACAATAAAATAATAATCAGATCCATTTGATACACCATTATTTATGCATTCAATATCAACAAGGTATTAATTAGTAGATAATAAAATATTTAATTTTTCAACATCTTCTAAATTGTATTAATATAAGTTTTTGATCAGTGGTTGAAAAGGTAAGTAATTAATAAAATGAATTAAAGGTGGAAATTCAGTTTTAAATAATTTAAGTGTTTTTTCTTGATCTGGAAAAAAATTAGAAAAAAAATTAGAATAAGTTTATTCTCCTAATTCTGGACTTATAGCAATAACGCCTAAATAATTAATAATATATACCTTTGGAAAGCATCCAATCAGCTGCTTCTCCATTTGCAGTATATTAGACTAATTCTATAGCATGGCCAATTTTATAATGACCTTAAAATTAACCATTTTACTTAAAATCTTCATATATAAGATATGGAACTCCATCTTTATCAAGATCTTCATTATCATAACTGTAAGGTAAAACCCATAAATTTCCAAAACAATGTAAATTCATAGCCATTTTTATATTATAGTTTTCAACAACATATTTGATAGCTTAAGTTTCCTTTTCAGAAAATGCAGCACTTCCTCTATAGGTTTCATCACATGGATCATTAGAACTACCTATATTATCATAACCAAAATGATATCCATAGTTTCTATTTAAATCAATTCCTGCTAATTCATCTTATTGATTACAAGCAATAGTTCGATTTAGATTTTTTCGTGTTTTTGGCTAAAAATTATGATTATTTAATTCAGATTCAATTTCAGCGTATCCATCAATATTAACAAATGGGACAATCCTATATTTAATACAAAATATATACATAATACAGTTATGAGTAATCATATTAATATAATATGGATTCTTTTAAAGTTGCACTTCCCATAAAATATAGAGAAATAAATATATATTCATTTACAAACTAGCTACTTCTCTAGAATGATGTAAACTAGTTATAAGCATCATTGGTTTATCTTTAGTAAAATCAGAGCATAATGAATAAGAATATATTGTTTTATTAAGATAAGATTCTCCTATTTATTAAGAGTGAACAATATTAGTAATGTTTTCAAGGTCATTGAATAAATTTTATACATCTTTAATTGATAATCTGCCTTCAGGTAATGAACCATTTATTAATTCATTTTTGATATGATTAAGATCCCTATTTAGAATACCCTTGTAATGAAAACAAAAGAATATTGGAATCAATTAAAATAAAATTATCATTAATATAATTAAATAATGAAAGTCAAGAGTGCTTTGAAAAAGATGTGTGAACATTGTTATTTCTAAAGAAGAGGTAAAAAGGTTTATGTGAGATGCAAATCTGATCCTCGTCATAAATAGAGATAAGGAAATAAATTCTGTACAATGATAGGAAATCCTTATGTTGAGAATGGAATGTTCATCTAAATACCTCAATTTCCTGAATATCATATTGATTTTAAGGATTTTATTAAGAGGCTACCATTTATGTGAGTTAATTATAAAAAGAGCATACAAATAATCATAATCTACTGCTATTTTTATTTTTGTTTTACTAATTAAATTTAGTTATGAGTATAACTTAATTTAAAATCAAATATTCTAATATTAAAGAGAACAGATACTTAGATGATAAATTTCAAGCAATTTACAATATAATTAAAATCTAGATATTGTTAATATAATTAGATATCTAATATTTTCATAATTATTTAAGCTATTGTACTTCTTGTCGCCACGATAGACTAAATTCATTTACTTTAGATAGGAATTCTTCTTAAAAATTTGAATCTCTATTAATGTGTTTTAAATCAATTAGCTTAGGCTTTGGCTTTTAAACTACTTAGTCATACTCTTTTAATTGACCATATACACTATTTTGAATATCATTTTATTTTAAAGTTTCTAATGTCTACTTAAGATCTTCATTTTCTTTAAGGATTGGAATCTTGATTTGCTTCAACATCTCAAGATTTTTGGACCATAGATGACTTGCCTATTGTTCATATGATTATATTATTTGGAACATTTGACTTAATAGATCAAGCAAATCAGGGACTGTGGTATAGCCTGAGGAATGAATACTTTCTCTTAACTTTGAATTGATTTCAATTTTTAATGAATTGAGTATGCATGACCATTTGAAAATGATGTCTATCTCTAAGAAATTGGCATCTTGGGAGGTGAAAACTAAGGACTCGATTTTCTCTTGTTTTTGTTCTTTCTTTAAATTAGCTAATAATCATATTTACCTTAATTTATAGTCAACTAGTTTTTGAACAAGGATATTTTGGGAAATTTGATTCATTTTTAATTTAATTTTTACAAATAAATAATATAATCATTTATTTGATATATACATACATATCTGCATTTTTTAAAGATATTCTCTATTTAAATACTCTATATTCTATTATATAATATAATATTTTATTATATGAATTACAAACTCATTAAATCTATAAATAATTTAGAGTATTTTTTAATAATTTTATTAATATATTCAAAATCATTATAATAACACTTTATTGTATATTAATTTATAATTTGAAAAATTATTTTTTTAAGAATAATCTTAAATTGAGAATAGCTTTTTCAGTACAAAATGGATATTATTAAATAATTAAATATTAAGAACATCATATATTAATATTAAATATTCAGAACTATGATTAAATTGTTCAAGCTGGCTAATAGAGACTAAACTATTGAGTTTTAACAAAGATATTACTTTTTCTGGATCTTTAGAATCTGTTGTGGATGTATGAGATGGACTAGCTATTCTATAAGGGGAATTCTACACACTTGATTACAAAGAGTAATTATTGCTAGCTATCATAAATTTGAGATTTGATTTTTACGTAAATAAGAATTGATATGAGGAGCTGGTAATGCTAATTATTATTATTGATGTTAACGATTGTATCCAAAAACACTAGGATCCAACTAAAAACAGAATTCTTAGAAATCTTTTATATATTTATTATTTTTTACATTAATTCTATCTTGAAAAAAGATAATGTATTGGACTATTATATTAATAATGTGAATAGGGTGATCCTAATGAATTGTATTAATTGTTTTCATTATATGGTACAATGTAATTAGACTCAGATCTACCTGGGGATGGCTCTTCATAAGAATTTTTGGGAATTTCTCCAATCTACAAAGCTATAATAATAAGATTAATTAAATTATATACAAATCTGGGGAAGATTTGAAACAATTTTGGTTAGAAGTATGGAGATTGTATCAAATTTTTTATTGAACTGCTGTTGTATTTGATTTAGACACTTTAATTATCTATGATTCTCATTACTTATAAAACTGAGTTATTTGAACGACTGACAGTGGCATTTGATTCAGCAGAAGCTGCAAAGTCAGCTTGCATTTTTGTTTGGTTATTTTAAATATCTCTCACTAATTGTCTCATCTCTTCATGCTCTCGTTTATAGTTGTCAAGTTCTTAATTGTTGTCCTTTGTTTCCATCTTTTGTTCAGATTCTTCTTAATTTCTTCTACGAATGTACTGGAGCATACTTCTATTAAAAGGAATATTAAAGATTTCATACTTGAGACCTCGTCTAAACCATTTGTGTTTGAATTCACTCTATCCATATTAGTTTTTTGTTTTCTTAAAGTTGTACATGTTCAGCTATCTATTGTAAAAACCAATATAACCTCAAAAAGCTAGGGTAATTTTTATGCTTAAAGTAATTAGCAAGTACTTTGGATGCTAACTCATTGGTATTGAATACTATGAAGGCATTTCCTTCATGATTCCAGCCAATAATGTGAGAGAGTGATGTATTCTCAAAATAGAATCAAATTATTACTTCTAGAATTTCATATGTTTTTAAAAGGAATGATGGTACATTAACTTTTAGAGGTGGAAGCTCATTGATATCTTAATTTGACATAATAATTATATTAGGAATTTTCAAGAATTTATAAGACTCTAAAACCAAAAATTTTAATGTTATAATATAAGATCATATAGCTTAACAAATGAACAATAATAATGATCTTTTTGATTAAGTTATTAATAATTATAATTAAAGCTATGTATATATGTTAAATATATATAAACATTATATTATATATGAAATAAATTTTTTAAATTGATAGTTAATTTGTGGTCATAGAATTCTGAAATCAGATAAAAAAATTAATATTTTAGTCTTTATTTAAGAATTCAATAAAAATATCTCGGAATTTGTTTAAAATACAAGATTACTAATCTGATAATCATGAACCCAAAATTCTTAAATTTCTAATGGTACATGATCAACAAATAATTAACAATAATTAAGATAAAGTTAGAAATATTTATAAGATTACTTTAATATAAAATGGTTAAAATTTTCATATATAATTACCTGTATTATTTCTATCTATAATAATTTCATTAACTTGATTCCAACCCATTTAATAATTATACTTTTATGAGGATTAAGGATAATAGTACTATTAGAAATCATGGCTAATTGCATACAGAAATAGTAATAATGAATCAATCAGCTAGATACATGTCATAAAAATAGATAATTAAATGAGATTGCCATAATATCTTTAACACCAAAAATTTTAGAATTATTGTGATTTCTCCAATTACACATTCTAAATCAAAAGCCTTAATATATTTTGGTTTCCATTTGAATGTAGAATCTAAAGGACCTACTTCATCAAAATATTTATAATTGAAGTCATATTCTTTATAATACTATTCATTGCCTATTTATTCATAACCTTCTATAATTGATTAAAACTAATTCATTTTTAAATAATGATTCAAGACTTATCAAAAGACTCGATCTAATGCACTTACAAAAGAGGAGCAAATGAATAACCACCAACACCACATTCAAAAATAGAATTTGTTCCCTTTAAGAAAATCTACAATGACGCACTTGATGCCGTAGGTCATACTCCTATGGTTCGATTAAATAAAATCCCTAAAGAGTTTGGCTTAACATGTGAAGTGCTTGTTAAGTGTGAATTTTTAAATGTTGGTGGATCACTCAAGGATAGAATTGGTGTTAGAATGGTTTTAGATGCTGAAAAATAAGGTCGTCTTGGACCAGGCAAATCCCTTGTTGAAGCCACTTCTGGAAACACAGGAGTAGGATTAGCATTGGCTTGTGCTGTTAGAGGATATCCATTAGTGATTACCATGCCTGAAAAGATGTCTTAAGAAAAACAAGATGTCCTTACAGGTCTAGGTGCTAGGGTCATTAGAACACCAACAGAAGCTGCTTGGTATGAACCTGAATCATTGATTCAAGTGGCAAAGAAGATGGCAGCTGATGATCCTAATATTATATTATTGGATTAATATTCTAATCCTTCCAATCCTTTGGCTCATTATGAAGGTACAGCTGAAGAAATCTTGTGGGCTTGTGATGATAAATTGGATGCTGTCATTATTTCTACAGGCACTGGTGGTACCATTACCGGAGTTGGTAGAAAAATCCATGAAAGAGTTCCAGGATGCAAAGTCATTGCAGTGGATCCCTATGGATCTGATTTAGCATTGCCTTAAGAAGTAAATAAAACTGACATCAAAACCTATAAAGTAGAAGGCATTGGATATGACTTTATTCCCAAAGTTTTGGATAGAGTAAAATCATAAACTATTTTTATAGACTGAAGTTGATGGTTGGGTTAAAACAGTTGATTATGATAGTCTATTAATGGCAAGAAAGTTATTATCTCAAGAAGGATTGTTATGTGGTGGTTCATCAGGTGCTACAGTTTGGGGAGCTTTGTAATGGGCTAAATCACAAAATTTTACTGAAAATTAAAGAGTAATTATATTTATATAATATTCTTTTTAGATTGTCATCATTTTACCAGATAATATTAGAAATTATATGACTAAACATTTAAGCAAGACTTGGATGATTGAAAATAAATTCATTCCTTATGATGAATTAAAAGAGCCTGAACATCCATTAGCTGGAAGACCAATAACAGATTTGAATTTACATGAAATTCAATCCTTAGATGTAGCAACAGCCACAATTGGATAATGTTTGGAAATCTTAAAGACACAACCTGCTGTTCCACTCTATGAGAATGGCAAATTATTGTCAGTTGTTTTCTAGAAGAAAATATTGGCTGGAATTGTTAATAAGAAATTGCATCATGTATATTTATAATGTTAATATTATAGGCTGATTTAGCTAAGAAAGTACATTCTAAAGAATTTGTTGTTGTTCCTAATACTCTTGATCTAAATTAATTAGAGAGAATTGTTGAAAGACATGAAGTAGTCTTTGTTGAGGATGGAGATAAACTCAAATATGTGACACCAAGAGATTTGTTGGGGCTATTTGCATGATATATTAAATATGAATAACAAAAATATAATATTAATTATCATTACAAAATGGAATTTATTAGAGTCAAAAAGTTTACAGACCCTTTGTTTTATGAGAAGAAATCAAAATTTAAAGAAGATCCTTAAACAAGAATTACAGCTTATCATTATTCAGATTAAGCAATAACACTTGGTTTGAGCAATGGTTAAATGATGCAATTTAGAAAAAAAGGCTTTGATACTAAACATTTCTTATAATCAAAAGATTATGAAATCTTAAAACCTGTAGAGAATAAAAATAATCACAAAGGAGAAATAAGATGTTTAATAATTGAGAAATTTTCTGACAGTTATTATATATTCACAGGTAGTGCTGATCGTACTATAAAATTATGGGAAAATGATATCAAGAAAGGATGTATATAAACTTTATTTGGTCACACTGGATCTATTATGGCCTTAGCATTTGCTTAAGATAGTCTATTTTCAGCTAGTAATGATAAAGTATTAAGAATTTGGAAATAAGAGAGTGGACGAGAGTTCATGTATCACCCATGGTTTGTAACTGTTTAAATTATTTATGATTTTTCAATGAAGAAATCTTTGAATCAGCAATCTTATATAACAGCATTTTTAGTGAAGATGCCTTAATTTTAACTTTATGCAGGTGATACTGATGGTTCATTGCATTTATTTATGAATTCATAACCAACTCTTCAATAATAATAGACATATGTAAAGTTAGAAAAAAGCTTTTTTACTTTTCATCGATTGCATGTGATTTAAATTATAGAAGTTGAAAAAGACAATGCAATATTCTCAATAGCATTTGATTAAAAAATATTAGGTTATGGTGAATCTGGTGGTAAATTCTTTAGTTATAAGAATCCTCATAAATGTCTATTTACATCAATAAGATGGAGTCAAACTCATTAAGAATTAATAGCATCTGATGAATAAGGCAGAGTATATTTTATGAACATTTCTAGTGATAAATAGGTATTAGAATTCAAATTATACGAATGCAAAATCTTAGGAATAGATCTTATAGGTATATTCTAATTATTATTAAAGATCATTTGGAAGCATTAGTTGTATATACAGAATAGTTTATTGATGTTTTGAGAATTAAAAGGGGTGTTAGAACAGGAAATCTTTTAGATTAACACAAAGGACCAGTTATTGAAATATTAGGTATAGATTGTCCTTAAGAATTTGAACCAAAGAAATTAGTATCAGCCTCTTTAGATAATACTATAAGAGTTTGGGATTCAAAAGATATGTCTTGTATATCAACAATTGAAACAGGAGAGAAAAATGAAATTTCTAGTATGCATTATTTAACAAATGCAAATCTAGTAGCTACTGGGCATGATAATGGTGAAATCAGATTATGGAATATAGAAATAGGATCATTTTTAATTATTGATTAAAGTAAAGCTAAATCTAAACATAATAATACTGTTTGTGCATTAACAAGTTGTACATTTGATAGTGAAGAATATATGTTTAGTAGTGGTTATGATGGTAGAATAAATGTTTGGGAAATCTTTGAACGTAAATAACGATTAATGGCTAGTTATATTATGCCTTAATTAAAATAATCATTATTAGCCAATCCTAAATCTACAGCAGATTCATTAGGCAATGAAATTCTGTGTCTTTTATTTGATAAGACAACAAAGAGAATTATTGCAGCTGGAAATAAATGTACAATTTATTTAATAAATATGTTCACTTATGAACATGATGATTCATTTGTTGGCCATTAAGATAGCATAACTTGTTTGGCTTTAGATGGCAAAATTTTATTTAGTGGTTCTCATGATAAGACTATAAGATTATGGAATCTTAATAATAATTAAGCACTTACTTATTTTTCAGGATTAGATCATCCTATTTAAAAATTATTAGTTATTCCAGAGACTGGATATCTAGTTAGTGTAGGTAATGGACTACTTTTAACTTGGGATTATCCTAATAAAAAGGTCATTTCTAAATTTACAAAGCCTGAAACATTTAAATGTATAGCGTATTTAGATAAAGCATTGTTTATTGGAACTGAAGAGAACAACATACATAGTTATACTTAAGAGAATAATTTTGAAGACATAGACAAATAGTATTAAATGATAGATGTTAATTAAGAAATAGATGACGATTATATGAAAAAGATTATTGAATAAAACTAACAAATATTACAAGAATTTTAATAATAATAATGATTCAGTTACATATTCAACAATTAATTGATTATTATATTTACTCCTTTGATCCATTTTAAATTGTTTCATAAATTCCATCCTTAATTGTATTTAATGTATAATTAATGTTTCCTATCTATTAATCAAAAATCAAATCATAAATTTATTAGTAGTCAGTGACAAAATATAAATTTAGACCCTTTAATAATTATGATGGCAAGTTCAAAGCATCTCCTAAATTTGCATAAGGCAAAATGATATCAATAATATCAAGTGTTTTTGCAGCAATAAGCTTTTATTAGAGACCACCTTATATTAATAATAAAAGATACCAATTTTGCAAACTTGACCATTTAAAGAGATTTCTCCAGTCATAGCTAGATTACTAGGAACAGTAAAATTAGTAACTAAACTTATTAAGGCAGTTGTGATAGCTGTGCCTGCAGAAGGTCCATCTTTAGGAGTAGCACCTTCATTAAAATGCATATGGATAGCTGATTTAGATAATTGTAATTTTTATTCTTCATTCAGATATTTATATGCATTTATTTTTGCTAACTTTAATGATTCTTATAAAACTAATTTAATATTTCCAGATGCTATAATCTATCCTTTCTTTTCTATTTCACTTTCATCAAAACAACTTTCAACACTTAAAACATTGCCTATCATACCTCCTACTGTTAGAATATTAACTTAACCAGGTGGAAATTTTTTAATGGATCTCTATTCTAATTAGATATCAAAAATAGGTGGACCTAAATATTAAGATATAAGTTCTAAATTTTTATCTTTGGTTAAATCTAATGTTTAAATTGTAGGATCAAATAAAACTTAATTTAATTCATCTACTTTATCACATAGATTAGGATTATCAGTTAATAAATTAGTTGCATGTTTTCTAGCAATCTTTTCTAAACATCTTTTTAATTCTCTAACTCCACTCTCTTAATAACACCATGCTTTAATTATTTTAATCAAAGTTTCATTATCATATTTAATCATTTATTGTTTTATTCCATTACTTTCAATACTTTTATTTACAAGAAAATTTGTAGCAATCTATAATTTTTCTTCTTAAATATATGCTTAAATATCAATTATTTCTAATCTATTTTTAAGTGGCTCTAACATTTAAAGTGTATCATTTGATGTTAAAATAAATATAACATGTGAAAAATCTACACTAATATCCATATAATGATCAGTAAAGTTATGATTCTCTTCAGGATTCAATATCTCCAATAATGTATAATATGGATCTGCTCCACCAGCTTGATGTTTTGAAACTTTATCCAATTCATCTAAAATAAATACAGGATTCATAGTATTTGATTTTATTAATTCTCTTATAAATACACCTGGCATTGAATCAACATAAGTTCTTTTATGTCCTTTAAAGAATGTTGAATCTGCCACACCTGCACAAGAAACAAATCTTGAAGTTCTTTTTAATGCTTTGGCTATACTCTTTGCAATAGATGTTTTACCAGTTCCTGGTGGACCATTCAAAAGAAGTATAAATCCTTTGGAATTTTAACCTGAATTCTTTAATTTATTAACTGAAATCATTTCAATTATTCTTTCCTTTACTTTTTCCAATCCTTCAATTTCTTTGTTTAGTATATCTTTTGCATATTATATATCCCATTAAACAGGCTATAATATTTATTAAATATAATTATTACAGTGAATTTAGAAAAAGGAATACTGAAGACTTCATCTAAATAGGAATTAATTTTATGAAATTCTGAACTTTATTTATCTAAAAGACTGAATCTTTCAATTTCTCTTTTGACTTTGTCTCTTGATGATTCATCTGGTATTAGTGAGAGTTTATCTTAATATTTTTTAACTAAAACAGATTGCTTTTACTAAATTATTTGAATTTAATACTTTTTCTCCAACTTAAGATTAAGATCCAACTGATCCACCATAAGATTATGAATTGGGAGTATCTTTCAAATAATTCTATCTTATATATTCAGTTGCTAATTTGGCTAATGTTTATTAATGCAATTTCAATAATGATGAATCTGATTCTTTGAAATATTTCTCTACTAAATCTAATACTCCTGACATATTTTCAAGTTGTTTTCTTAAAATAAATAATCTTTCAATATATGTTTAACTCTCTAATAATTATTAAACAAATTGAGTTGTATTTAATTTCAAATTATTTGTTTGTAATTTTGAAAGTCCAGCAGCAACTTAATAAACAATCTCATCTATTTGAGTGACTGTTAATTTTTCACTTGATTCAAGAAGAGAATGTTTAACTTCTGTAAATGCATCTATTCTATCTATTTAAACCAATTTTCTAATTTAAGATACAAGAGAAGCTATCTATTTAATTTCATTTTTTATATCAATCTATTATTCTGCTTATGTAAGAGGTCTATCCTTATAAGGTATTCCTTGGGCAAATATACCATCTGGAGTCATTTCAATTTTAGTTATTTTGAATCTGTAATTTTTCTATCTTATTGTTTTAAATCACTTACAGACTTTGAAATTATATCCAAATTAAATGTATTATTGATTGGATCATTAATCAAAATATTTCCATTTGCATCTCTTTATTCCAATATTTTGAGTTCAGAATTTAAATTCTTTTCAACCTATTTACTCAACGCTATTCCAATTGTAAAGAGTTCCCCATTGTCAGGTGAAATAATAGTGTAAAGAAGTGGCCTTGTTATACGTTTTAGATTTCCTATCTTTATTTGGCAATTCATTGGATTATTTGGAAAAATAGGCTGGACTGAACTAAAAAGACAAAAATCAGTTGAGCTTATCTTAGAGTCAATCTCCTCAGGATCACAAGAGTAATTCTAAAGAGGTATTGTTTTCAACTTAATTTTAGAATTATTGTTAGAACCTAATTAAATATTATTCATCAAAAAGTTACCATTACTGAATCCATAAATACATTTCTGTTTTAAAGGAATTGCACATCTATTTAATAATAATTAAGGACGACGAAAAAGGAATCTACTCAAGCTACGCATTTCTGATATTTTATAATTTATAATAATACTAAATTATTAAATATGAGTTCTTAAAATCCAAACTAGCCTCATTTAAAGATTTCCTTATATCATTCATCTACAGAAATATATAATTATTAATGTAGTTAATTCCACATACGTATTTATGTGCAAAAAAAAAAAAAAGAATTCAAAATATTAGATTCTTGTTTAATATGTAGACAATAATAATTTCCATCTATAATCTATCATGGCTCTTAAATTATTGTATCTAGGAAGCACTTTCTTAAATCTCTGATATACTATAATTCTATATTTTACTATCCATTTATCCTCTAATATTAGTAATCTTACCTTAAAAACTTTGTAGAATTTAAATATCATTCCATTTATATTTTTTTATAGTTTGATTAAACATTCTTTTAAAGATTCACCATATGAAAATGATTATATCTATCTGTTAAGTCATTTAAATTCTAATTCTAATTAAAAAAAAACTTTAATAAATTCTTATAGTATATTCTTCCATATTAAAATTAACTTAACATATTTAGAATACTTTCTGAGAATTTGCTAATTTAATTGATTTAAGTATAGTAGAATAATCTAAAAATATTAAAGAATCATAAAATAACTATTTATAAATAATAATACATATAAATGTACAAAATTCTAAATAATATCAATACCACACTAATTAATATATAGATTTATCAATAAATCAAATCAATCTACGATTGTCAATAATACTTTTGATATAATACACCTACCATACACTCACTGATATTATGATTAAGGTTTCAAAAATTGTAAAATATAATAATCTTTAATTGGTTATTTGCATTGATTCATAACCACTTTCTCTTCTCTATTAGGAAAATTTAGTTTCAAACATAATATCGTTGACTCCATTTTATAAATGCTGAATCTACTTCATTAGTGGATCTAAATCATGATGTTTGATATGTTCATAAGTAGCATTATGAATATCTAAAGCAAATGTTACCATCTAATCACTACTGCCTCTTTCATTATCAAATAAAAATTAATAATCTCCAGGCTCAGTAATATTGACTGAAAAAACAGCTTCCTTCTTAGCTGCTTTACTACTTATAATATTTCCTTTTGGATCTTTAATCTATAATCTATAAATATTGATTCTTACTAAGAAATTAATTTTCTCTTTGGTTGTCATACTGATAAAATAAGCTCCACGTATTGTTGTTGGATGATGAATTCCTTCCTCCAATATTTCCATGTTGCCTTACTTTAATTCAAATGCTATCATATCATCAGGAACAAAGTCTTGCATCATCAATTCCCATTCTTGCATAAGATCTTTTCTATCTTATTTATCATCATTAACATCATTTATTATGTTATCATCTTAGCTCTGTATTAAGACAAATAATAAGAAAATTATAGAGATCATATAAATATATTATAAAAATAACTAAATATTTCTTAATTATTAAATATATGATCTAATCAAGATTTATTAAATATTTTAAAAATATCATCTGTAGGTTAAGGACCTGAATTTCCTACCGATACAATAGAAACTCTTGAAGATTAATTTTTGTTATCATTACTTATAAATTAAAATTTAGATCCCATTTAATTACATTCACTCACATTCTCAAGACCAAAATGTTTTTCCAATAGAAGTTCTATTCTAGATAGTTCATAAATAATATTTATTAGCCGAAGCTTTTTAAATGCTATATCAAGATGTTCTTCATATTGTTTTATAAATATTTCATTTTAAGTATCTTATTAATTGGTTTCATTTATTGGAATTATTTTACCTAAATAGTTTCTTTTAATAATCATATTTTTCAAATTTGGATAATATATCTGCAGAATTTCTGTTTACATCTCTATTTTCAAATTTTGATTATTTATAAATAATGCTAGATACTTCAACATAAAAATAACTTAAACAATTGAACCTATATAAGCCAATACAGCACTTAATTTTGGCATAATAATCCTATCTGAAATTTATAAATTATCTATTCTTATCTAATATGCCATAATGGCATTTAATTTAACATCTTAATTGGAAAATGATGATACAATATTTTATATATATTGATTATCAATTGATTAATTAATTAAATAGAAATCATTAATTAATTTATAAGTAACCTAATTTTAAAGTAATAATCCATTATCGAGATTAATGGCTTTTTATTAAATAGCTATTTAAGTATATTGAATATAGGTTGGAGAAAGTGCTTAATAAGCTTACTTTGTTATATATTCTATTTGATCTTATCTATAGTTATATTATTCTAATTTCATAACAATAGAGAGAAATCCATGATATTCTGTCATATATTAATCAATCACTTCTTTACTAGCACAATTACTATTATCTATTAAATATTAATCTAAACATTGAATAAATATCAATAAATAATTTTTTTATGGTTTAAATGATTGTTCATCAATTTTCTGATTTAAATTATTTACAATTAATGTACCTTTATTTAATCCTACAGTGAATGGATTTTTATCATCACTAAATAAAGGTAATGGAGCACTAGCAATCTAATAATCTTCAACAATAAATAATAAAGGAGTTATAATATTATTATTTCTTTAAAAAGGATCTTAATTTGATGGATCTGCTAATTTGAACTAAATAAAATTATCCTCCAATTCTTGTTCAGAATATGCCAATGCTTATTAATTACTTGTAATGGTAGGAAGAATATTTCCATTAGCCCATTCTGATAATACATATGCAAAGTAAGCTAAACTTAATACTGAAGCCAAAATAGAAATTAATCCACTACATGGACTTGAATACTTAGATTTAGCATCATCAGTTAAAACTGGTACTGGTATACTAAATAAATCGATTTATTTTAAAAGATTTCTTATTTGTTTAGGTAATGTTTCCATATAATTTTCTTAACTTAATTAATATAATTTTAAATAATAAAAAATAAATAAGTATTCAAGTGTATGTTCCTGGCATAAATGATTTTCTAATGTTTATTTATTTTTTCATTTAAGATTCTTTAAATCCTTGGAAAACTTTGTAATTTGAATAATTGAATTTTTTCTAATAATATTTGAAATTCTAAGGTTCATCAAAATAATCTAAACCTTAATGGATTTAATATTGCTATTAATCTCTGTATTGATTAAGTTTATTTTATAATGATGATAGATTATTCTTTTCAACATCCTTTTACTCTGTCAATTAAACTTAAGAAATATCACCATCATCTTGCTAATTTATTTTTAGGGAATCATCTTATATTGATTCAGATTTATTAAATTCTAATTTTGATTCAGAATCTAATCCAAATGATTAAGCACTTTATTGGATACTCGATTACTTTTTGAGAGGAGATTATTTTTGCATATTGATATTTTTTACTGTTTTCAACTAATTCAATTATAATTATAAAGTACCATAACATTAGCAAATTTCTTAATTTTTGATTTATTCAAACCATTTACTAAGGTCTTTTGATTAGTTCTTGTTGGCCAATGTTTTCTATCATATCTTTAAATTTTCATTCTATCTTGATTTGAATTTAAAATAGTGGCATTTTCAACTAAGTCTTAAACTTCAGGAATATAATGAGTAAAAGGACATGAATATGCATAATGATCAAATTTATGACAAGTCCAACAAAATTATCCAAGTGATTGAAAATGTTATGAAAAAATCAATTCATCTCTCAATTTACAAAATATTTCATAATCATCAGGATAATGTTTTAAGATATCCAAGAAATCATTTCTAGATATTTTATGTAATTAACTATATTCTTAAGAATAGGCTGTAGCTGTTCTTGCTTATCCTTTTATTTTAAATAATAATATATAATACCTGTCATAAAAGCAAATTCACCAAAACTATCTCCCTTTATCAATTTCTTTTTTACAACTTCTGAATTACCACATTTTATAATTACAGTTCCACTTTATATAAAATAAAAACTTTAATCATCATTAGAATCACCAGCTTCAATTATTACATTACCTGTTGAATAATTAACTTCTGATATTTTTTCTGAGAGATCTTTTAAAAAAGGTTTTGAAAAATATTTTGAGAAAAATGTTGTTTATAAAAATTATCCATAAGATTAATACATTAATTCTTATTTTAATTCAGGAGCCAACATTTAAAATACCAATATCTCTTGTTCTTAATCTCTAAGTCCTTATTAATGCCAATATTCATTGAGATATTATCTAATTATTTCCTGTAACTCAGATGATACTTATTTTTATTCCATAAATTTATTTATGCTTACCTTATATTTAAATTGTTTAAGATCATTTAAATTATATTCTTCCATCATTTTTTAAAAAGAGTTGATATTATTTGCAAAAATAATTAGTCCAAACATTACTCCTAATAGAGACCAAGAACATTCTATTATATTCATAGGAGACTAATCAATTTAATTAAATATTTACTATATCACCATAACCCATAGTAGTAGAGACTGTTCCCAATGAAAAATAAAATCCAAAAAAATATATTTCATGCAATGGTCGATCCAATATAATTCCAAAATTACCTGAATTTGTTAACCATGAATTATAATTTGATGCTACACTATGTAATCCAATAATATAAAAAACACACAAAAATACATTGAAAGCAAAAAACATAAAAATAACTCTTTTTCCAACTTCATAAAAAACTCTCGTTCTTCTATAAAGTAATACCATTTCATTCAACTAATCATCAAATCTTAAAAATGAAGGTAATTTAAAGTAAAACATTAAAAATATAAATCTAAAATTAGGAGTGAATAGAGATAATCTAGCAATTGAGATTATTAACTATTATTATATAATAAAGCTTTACTGCTGTAAGATCAAAAAAGAAATTCCCATATAGATAATTTATTGCTATTTTTCGACTGTCTGTTATGACTACTCCATGTTTATAATAAGCAGTTATAAAATCTAAACCCATATCTATAACAAGAAAAAGAGATATTGAATAATACAATGCAGCAACTTATTTTTCTGTATCCAATTCCTTAAATTATATAAATTGTTATACCTTCCAAAATCCTTATCCAAATGCTATATAAACAGGAACCTCAAAAAACACAAATAAAGTTAATAGATTGATAAATAGTTTCCATAAAATTATTTGTTTAGGTCTCAAAATTGGTAATTAATACAATATGTCTACAATATAATATAAGATGTACTCAATTTCAATGATACACCTTCTAAACTATCATTATATAGTTATCGGATTTTCTCTAAAATATACTGTTGTGATTATTGTTATTCCTTCTCTGCTCTTTCTTCCATAGCCAATTTGGCTTTATTCTAAAATTATTTTCCATTTGAAATGCTTTGTGAGCTTTCTAAATGATAATCATCTTAATTATAAATTGATGATTCATTCAACAAGGATTCTTAAATTGAATCTCTATGCTAAAGTTCGAATTATTAGGATAATGATGACATCAAAACTATTATTAGTTTGTTAATTAATAATAAAATATCATGATGAAACCAATTTCATATAATAAAAGATATAATTTCATTCTATATTTATGATTGAACAACATTATGTATAATATCTATTGAACAATAGTTATATCAATTAAATTGAAACTCATAATCAGTATAAAAAATTGTGATTGTATACAGAAATCATTCTAAATTTGAAATAATCATCAGAATATTCAATAAATGTCTTAATACATTTATAAAAAATGAATATCAATATTTCAATAAAATACTATAGTCTTGATTAATTATTATAATTAGATGTGAAAATTAGTTAATATTAATTTGATAATTATAAATTAAAATCAATAATTATTAATATACTTTTTAATTATATAAAAAATGAGAAAAAAAGCGCTAATGGAAGGGCTTGAACCTTCGACCTGTTGGTTAACAGCCAACCGCTCTGCCGACTGAGCTACATCAGCGTATTCGAGATATTAGATGTCCATTTGGATTAATACTGAAGGTGAGCAGAGTATTAATATATTAATTATGATTTATATCAGATAAAATATATTAATAATTATTATTATGTTCATTAAATTTCTTATTCTTAAAATACTAAGAATTTATTGTTATTATTATTGAATAAATTTATATAAAATTTCTATAGAAAATAGATTAATAAAATTCAGATATCCTTTAATGCATGTTCTAAATCTTTGATTAGATCACTAACATGCTCTAAACCTGCTGAAAGCCTTATAAGATTTTAAGTAATTCCAAGCTCCTGTCTTCTAGCCTCAGTTAAACCTGAATGAGTCATTTTTGCTGGGATTTATATTAAACCTAAAATAGAAATAAGATTATACTTTCTACTCCACCCAAACTAACAGCCATAGTGAATAATTCAAGTCCTTTCATCATTCTTTCTGCTTCAGCAGCTCCACCTTTAATATAAAAACTGATCATTGCTCCTCCTGCTCTCATTTATTTTCTGGCTAAATCATGCTAAGGATGACTCTCTAATCCTGGATAGAGCACTTTTTCTACTTTTGGATAACCTTCAAGATACTTGGCTAAAATATAAGCATTCTTAATTTATTATTTCATTCTGACTTCAAGAGTCTTTAAACTTCTTGTAACTAAGTAACAATCAAATGGACTTGGGCATCCCCCAGTTAAATAGGAGATCTTAAATAAGTTATCATATAATTCTTTATTTCTACAACTCAGAGTACCAAAAATGATATCTGAATGTCCTCCTAAGTATTTTGTGCCTGAGTTTAATGTAATATCAGCTCCTAATTCTGAAGGTGTTTAAAGGTAGGGTGTAGCAAAAGTATTATCAACTGCAACAATTACATTATTTTAAATTTATCTCACCACCTAACAAAGTTCTTTAATATCAGTTAATTTCATAGTTGGATTAGTTGGTGTCTCTAAGAAAATAAGTTTGACATTTTGATTCATTTGGTTTTTGACTTCATCGATATTCGTCATATCTACAAATTTAACTTTTATTCCATGTCTCTCCATTGCAATACTTTTCAAATAACCAATTGTTCCTCCATAAAGATCATCCATTGCTAACATTTCATCTCCTTCTTTCAACAAATTGATCACACATTAAATAGCAGCCATTCCTGAACTGAATGCTATTGCATAATTGTTTTGTTCTATTTCTGCTACTATCTCTTCTACTACTGTTCTTGTAGGATTACCACATCTAGTGTAAAAGTATCCTTTCCCAAATGAATCTACATCCTTCAATTCAAAAGTTGAACTCATGTAAATAGGAGGATTTACAGCTCCATAGGTCTAATCACAAGTTTTATGAATAGTTTTAGTAGCAATAGTGAACTATGTGTCAAATAAATAATCTTCCTCTTGAACTAACATATCTATATTATTATTTAAATCTTATTTGACAATTGGATTTTTATAATTGGAGCGAATGCGTATTATTTAATTAATACGTCACGAGGTTGAGAAAATTAGTTTAATTATAAAACGTGTGATTTCTATATACAAGTATTAACATTATTATAAATAATCAAATTTAGTACTATTTGATGAAAATATAGTTAATGATATTTTATATTAATACTTCTAACTTTAACTTTAATAAAAATTCTTTACAATATATTTTATTATTAAATAAATAAGTACATTAAAATTTACTCATAATTTTCTAATATTTTCAATAATATTATTTAAATTGCTTTTATTTTTTTAAATCATCCAATAGTTAAAATGAATCAAAGTATATTCATTAAATAAAAACATAAATTGGAATCTACCTTTTTCATTTTAAATATTTATTTACTACATAATTTATTAAAAAGTAAGAAGTAAGAAGAATAAATATAAATTAGCAAAAATACTATTATTATTGATAATCTATATAATATTCATCTATTTATGGATAACAGTATTATTTCGATTTAATTGATTTAAGAAAACTATAGATTATTCTCAATATATATAAAGGATTAGAGAATTCCTTTAAGATTGTTTTTTAATATGGAGAGAGAATGAAATTTATATAAAAATACTACGATTTCTACATAAATACAATAAAAATGAATACTTAAAAATCTTAGTAACTTTAAATATTTTTAAATTTTTATTATAAAATATTTTGACTAATATTACATCACTTCTACTCAATCTGATCAGAGTTTTAATAGGAATTTCAATAGTTTATAATATTATAATGAACATTAATTTATAAGATATATATTAATAATATTAGTATCGTAATCAATACATTACGTAATTCGATTTTGATGGGGGTAATTTGTAAGCATATAAGGCGAATTTAAATCTTAGATATTTTGTCAATATAATATTATCAATGAAATCAATCCTTATTGCTCTTCTTGTTATTGCTGTCATTGCTGATGAAGCTTGTGTTAAAGAAAAATGCCCAAAAGAATATAATGCTTGTGTTGCTGAGGTCTTTGGTTGTGCATCAAAGGCTTTAAATTGCAAGAATAAATGTGGAGAAACAGACCCATGCTATCATGATTGTGCTTATGAATCCAAAAATAAGAAATTGATTGACTTGTACTTAATATAGAAATTATTAGATATGAATGTGGTCTTAAATACTGCCCTCATACTGCATATTGGAATCTCATTCTCTAAGGATGTAATGTTGAATAATGTGTTGCCGATTTCTAAGCTGAATGCTTATAATCCGTTAACCTTAGATCAGTAGAGTGCTTAATGAACTTTTCATAAAGACATCCTGAATGCGATTGCTTAAATGAATGATGCTATAATACAATTTAAATTCCATATTAATATCATAAAAATAGATTGTTCTAGCACTCAAAACATAATTTGTATCTAACACTAAATATATTAATATTATTAAATTTAATGTCTGAATTAGAAGAGCTCCAACACGATTTAGCTGAAATATAATAAGTTATTACAACCCTTAAACGCAAATCCAATGTTGATTATTTAAATAATAGAATCAAATATCTAGAGAACTCTATTAAAATACTAACACCATAAAAAGTTGAATAACCACAATAACAACAATAATAATAGAAAGAATAGGATAATCTCTAATATCAAGGAATTACAAAGTATGCTTGGGATTAAGAGGGGAATAAAGTCAAAGTATTTTTGAATTTGGAAGGAATAGGATAATTGCCTAAAGAAAATATTAATTCATAATTTACATCAAATAGTGTAGATGTAAAAGTTAAAGGCTATAAAGGTCTTAATCACAGGTTAAAGATGATGAAATAATTTTAGATTTTCAATTAAGAAAACATTTGATGAGTTGAAAGATAAGGATTGTTCAATCAAAGTAACCAACAATTCAATAGTCATTAATTTAATTAAGAAAGACTAAAAGAATTGGGATTAATTGAATTTTAAGGAGAAATTAGTAAATTATGATCAATATGCAGATTGATACAGACCCATCTAAGGTAGACAAATAGGATCCATAGGCATCATTAATGAATATGATGAAAGAGATGTATTAGAATGGAGATGATGATATGAAACGAACTATAGCATAAGCTTGGTCTAAATCATAGACAGAAAAAGGGTTATAATGAGTATTATAAAAAATAATTATTTATGTTAAATATTTTTATAGAATTGAATAGAAAATAGATACAAAAATTGAAAGGACAATTTATGAAAATATATAAACTTAATAAAAACAACAATTGACAAATCATTTACTAGCTTCAATTAAATCTTAATCTAATTGGGTTTCATTTATTTCCTAATCTACAACAAAACCTTCATCTAATAAATTATCAAAATCCTTATCACTTAATAATTCTAAAAAATTGAATAAATTTTATACCATTTTATTAAACTTTAGGTTTAACATTATTCGTTTATGCATTTTTTAAATCATTTAATTATTTCTATAACTACTTATCTCTTTGATTAATCTCATTGTATTTTTTAATTGCTTCTTTTAAATCTTATTCTTATTGATCAACTTATTTTATAAAATCTTCATCAATTTCTTCAATCAATTATTCATTCTCTTATAACTAATCAATTTAATCAAAAATATACTTAAATATATTGTGATTATTGCTTTTCTACTTCTTTCTATCCTAATCCTTAACCAATTTTAAAACAAACAATAGAAATTACTACTAATAATGCCAAGTGTAATATTTCCATTAATTACAATATATAAATAATATTTCATAAATATTCTTATTTCACATTCATTTTCTCAAAATGAATATCTACTTCATTTGATGAAAACAATTTCTCCTGTAATTCTATATGATGTACTTTTGGTGTATATCTAATATATAAATGATTTATCTACCCAAATTTCTTAGGTCTTATTAATCTAAAGTCATGTTTAAATGCCTTCCAATTATCACTTATAGCCTTTTTAAGAGTTCCCTTATTATTTTATTCCTTCATAAATTCGCTATAGCTAAATGCGAATATACATGCTATTGTCATTATAAACATCTCCAAACATACCAATGTATTCTCTATACTACTAATAATTCTTTCATCTGTAAAGTGAATATCATCTGGCTCAAAGCAATCTCCAATTTATTTTTTGAATACAGACAACACAAGTGATTACCAAAATGTAAAGAATAATGTTATTTTTATTATCAAGAATTTTAAGAGTGGTCTAATAATTCAATTACAATAATTCATACTTATATGGACTTAAAGGTTTCTTAAGAGCTACATAAAAAAGGATTAAATAATAAAGAGAAAAGGATTCACTCAAAATAATTATTATTTCAAAGATTAATTCCAAATTCAGAATAAATTATGAATGAAAAGGTTATGAAAATATCAATAAAAAAGTAAAAATTGGTTTAATGATACAATATTAAAGTACAAATTTCTTACATCTATATGTAAAATATTTAGCTTTTGACACTGTTGTTAAATAATATTTTCTAGAGCAATGATTGAATGGCCATAAATGCTCTATATATTCTTCATTTTAAATCATTGTTTCATAAACTTTCTCATCTGTTATCTTGTCTAATTCCTCATCATATGCCATATAAGAAAACATCAAATAAAAGAATGTAAACAATAAAAAGGCTAAGTATATATCTCTAATCAATTCAAAATATTATGCTAAATTCTTTTAAAATAATATAATACTGCGATCTCTAATGATAAAATTGAAATAACAGCATAAAAAGGAGACATCATTAATATTACTAAAATCATTCTAATACCATACTTATAATTTTGCTTTAAAAATACGGAAAATTGAAATAATTTAAATGTTTCCTAATCATGAACCAACTAATTGAAACTGCAAAAGCTACACTTATTATTGATATAATCTATCCTTTTTCAAATAAGTAATTAATGCAATTTTAATCACAAATGAGAGGACAAATCATTATTATTAAATATTTAATATACAAAAAAAAAAAAGAATAATCAACTCTATTCATCATTCTACATTTATTCTATAAAATCAGGATTTAAAACTTCAGGATTCTAAATAAATTCATGAGAATCCAATATTGGATGTTCTGTTGGATAATCACCCACAATTTATTCATTATATACTCCATTTGGGTTTACAATTGAATCTTTCAATTGCTATTAACAATAAAATACACTTTATTTTGATTAAGCTCTTTATTAAACCTCTTTACTTCGATTCAATATTTCCTTTGTAAATAAAAACAAAATGAAGCCTGTTAATTATATACAACAAAATATAATATATGTGTTAAATATACTATTCTTATCGCTATCCTAACCTTTTGATGTAAATGTTAGTAATATACTACTTAACATGGCAACAATGGTTACTCCTGAGACCATCACTCCGACAGAGAAACTACCATTCAAAGGATATATAGATTCACAACTATATTCAATTAAAACTGGCACCATAGGAATTATAAAGAATCCTAAGAGAAGTTATTAGATGCATAATGGAATTAATCGTTCTACCATTAAAATAGGATACATGAGTAGTGTTAAAGCAAGTGAGATAATAAATAAAGTAATTCCAATAGTTTTATATTTCTTAAATTTTAATACTAATTTAGACACACACCCTGCTGAAAAAAATCCTCCTATAATTAACATAGTAGAGGCTATTGAATAATCAGTATCTACAAATCCAAAAGGAGACATTATGTATGGTAAAATCAGACCAAACCCTTTTTTTGTTCCAAAAAAAAGACTAAAAGTAAAAAGAATCAAAATAAAATTTTTGTTTGTTAAAAGCTTAATAATTGATTGGTAGAATCCTACATCATGATCAGAATTAGCAAATCCAGAAGGAGGAGTTTTTGGGTTATTTTTTATGAGAAAAAAAACAGGAAGAAGAGTCAGACTAAAAAAGAATTATTAGTATTAGAGTTATATTGATAGATCCAAACCTTCCTATTAATTTTACTTATTGTAAGAATAATCTTTAAAAATCCAATTCGCTGGCCATAATACACTAATAACCATTGAAAATGATTAAAATGCATTACATGCAGCCAAGACTGCTGTACGATTTGAAGGAAAGAACCAATTTTATGCCATAGTTGTCTAACCATTTAAAATAAAAGGTCTTGATATTCCTAAAAATGCTTAACCTAAAATGGCAAAAATAAAAGAGTATTTATTAATTAAGAGTCTAATTCCATAACCAACTATTGTTAATATTACACCTAAATTCGTTGATACAACAAAACCCTTCTTAACAATGACTAATTATATGTAGATTAAATACTTGAAGATGCAAAAAAAGTAAATAAAGGCTACATAATCAGATATATAGTACCAGTTAGAGTTATGATTTATTCATCTACATCATATAATTATACAAACTATAATTAGTTTATAAACTAATACTTATTTTGCATTGGGAATAAAGGTTTAATATGAAATACCGTTTATAAATACGACTAAAAGATAACATGTTAAAATGATCCATCTGTAATTGTATTAAGAATATATTTTAGATCCTAATAGAGTTGAACTTTTGGTTTCTTTTTCTATTTAATTACAATCTTCTATTTTCACTTAATTATAGGTTTTTTACATTAATTATAATATTACATAATAACAACAAATAACTTTCATATTTTTAATCCTATATAACCAGAATATAGAACAGGTCTTAATTTGGGATAGGAAGTTTAGGTTTTCACTCTTCTTCCTTCATCATCATTATCTTTGAACAATTACTTAAAATAATTTATGCTTTATTCTTATTTCTTTTGCATCGTAATCATTTAATCTAACTTTCCCATCAAAACCTTTCTTTCCTTACTATATAACTTTACATACTTGCATATTATTATGTTCATTATGATGTTGCTTTAGGTTTTCGAAAAGTAATTTATTTTATAATTCCAATATATCAGATTTATTTTTTAATTATTAAACCTAATAACAAAGCTTATCTAACTTATTTTCTAATAGTTTCTCTTTTAAAAAGATTCTTGCATTTTAAATAAAATCGTTTACCCCTTCTTTTCTTGGAGTATGGTAATTACTATCAGTTCTATTTCTCATTGACCATATCTAACTAATATGTCTAACATGCTTTGATCTCTTTAATGTATTAACAATTTCCTCTTTTTATTTAAGACAATTATCAGATTCATGTAAGTGAGGCACTATATCTTTCCAGCTTCGACTTCCAATTGAAATTGATTTTGAGATTTTCTTTGCTAAATTTCCACTCATAACTAGGGTTTTGTTTTCATAAGAACAATTCATGGTAGTTTGTGTTTATTTGAAATCTAATAATTTCTGTAGTAGCTCTTGGGAAGTTAATGGAGATGATTTTTGTTTCTTATTGGTTTTAAGATGATAAGAATTAGTTTTTAACATTTATATTGATCTTTATATTATGATATATTATAATAATAATCACAAATTTAGAAAATCAATTAAATCCTTTTTATTGTTTTATGATTATTATTAATTGTTAAATTGTTATTGGGGTTGTTAATAAATCTATTGATTTTAATTGCTTTGAGATTGATTATATAAATATTATGGTTGCAATTATGGAACTTAATTATAGATTTAAGGCTATTATTAATATTATTATGGAGGAGAATTAAGTAAATTTATTGGTTATTAGAATGTCTATTATTGTTATTATTAATCTTTTTTTATGAAACCAAAAGCATTCTTTTTTGGTTAAGTTTATTATTGATTGGTAGTTTATGAATTAAGTAAATCATCAAAACTTATACCATTTTATTATTATTATTATTATTATTAATTAATTTATTATTATTATATTGGTTAGAATTATTATTAATTATAATTTTCTAAAGACAAATCACTAAATGCATCCAATAAATTAATTTATTATGTATTTTTCTATTGACCTTATAATTATTATTATTGTATTTACTATTATTATACTAAAGGTTATTATTATTATTATGTTTAAACAGCAGGTTGTTTAATCTTTAATTATTTTAAATTAAGTTTTTATTATTATTATTTCTATTATTATGTATCATTTTAAGATGTATCTAAAATATCAATTAAATTTTGTTTTTAATTTTATAAATTAGCTTGTGGTTTTGGTGGTTCTCTAAATTCTAATTAAAATTCCTTTTTTAATAATTTAATTATTAATTACTTTTTACTTTTAAACTTATTAACCATTCACTTCTGCTAATGTCTAATCAATAGCTCCTGATAATAATTATTAATCAGTTTCAACTCTCAGATATTATTAATTCATTTAAAAGAATTCTCTATAATTTTAATATTATTGACACACATATTGAATAGCATATATACATCTCTAATAATTATAAGGATATCTTACAATCTATACTTTCCAATTATCTTCACTATGCAATTTATTTAAAAGTATGCTACCTATAAGTTATTCTTAAATAGTTGAAATTGCTCTAGTAAATTCTTTAAGAACATTGTCACTTTACTTTAATTTGATACCACCCAATTTAATTACTTCATCAACCAGATGAAATTCATAATCACTAAATTTTGAGATATATCTTACAATCCTCCTAATTCCAATTCTTCATAAGTTAACAATTAACCTTTTTTGTAATCCGTGATTCTGCTCAATTAAATATTTCCTATAACAGGTTAAGGTGGCAAAAGAACATCAATATTATTTTATTATTCATTCTATTTTGGTGGAGTATTATTTAATAAATTAATTGAGTTGGTTGCTTTATTATTTGAAATACTAATTTATTCTGGCTAAGATTAAGGTTCATCATCCCAACCTAATTTGTAATTTATTTATTTTTACCTCCTCCTGGTCTTCCTTTTTATCTAGGTTGATTTGATTATGGTAATTAAATAGCAGGGATGACTGGAGGTTAATATGTCCCTGTTTATTAACCGAAAGAAGTATTTTCTAATTTGATTGCACTTGGAGTCTCAGATTGTGTTTATTTCTTAAATTTATTCAAAATAGATGACATGTATTTCTCACTTTAATTATCTAATTTAATTATTATCAAAACATAATTTTGTAAACTAAACTATAATAATGATATTATTTGTCCACATAATATGCTTTAAATTATGAGAATGTAAAGATAATAAATAAATATAATTTGAGCACTCTTAAAAAAGATCATTTCTTAGCCTTTTTCTTCTTTGAACCTTTTTATCCCTTAATTGCTTATTAACTTTTTAATTCATCTTCCTTCTATTTAGCTTCAAGAGCTTTTTCTTTTTCAAATTCAAGTCTAGCTTCTCTTTATCTCTTTTATAATTCTTCTAAATTATCAGACTAATAATATTAATAATTATTTACAATATTATCATTAAATGCTTCATCATCAATTGAGAAATCATCCTCTTTTGATTCTAAAATTTATTCTTCTTCAGTTTTTCCTTTTAATTATTCTTTTTTTGCCAAATTTAATAATTTAAATTAAGCCAATATTTTTTTCTTTAAAATTTCAGCAGTTTCATCTTTTAAGGAAGAATCACTAACTCTATTTTCTAAATCATCTTGATTTAATCTAGCTACATGAGATTTTAAGTTTTAACTAATTTAAATAATAGATATTACACTTTAATAAGATTATGAATGATATCATCATTAACTTATCCTGCTTAAGTAAGTCTTCTTTAATCAACAGGAATTTTGAAATAAATATCAATATCATTCATTTATAATTTATTGGCATCAACAAATAACTCTTTATCTTTAAGTAAAACAGCATGTTCTTAAAATAATTATTTACCAGTTTTAGCAAATGATTAATATTCTAATTCTAATTTCATTCCTCTTAAATTTTCTACTAATTTTTATGCTTAAGTGCTTAATTTGTCTATTTTTTCATCAATTATTTTTTATGCTTCCTCACTTTAATCTTCATGTTTAAGCTTAACTAATGTATATTCATCTATTTTTCTATATAACCATTTAATTTGCAATCTAGCTAATCTTTCCTCTGATGTCTCAAATAATGAATATGTATTTTAAGCTTTAATGTTTGCATCTTGTAATACTTTTTTAATAGCAAATTCTGCATCTTCATTGACTTAAGGTCTATTTTATTTTTATTCTTTAAGTCTTTCCTCAAGCTCTTATTACAATGTATCTAAATGTTCATGATGGGAGTATTCAAAATCAATATCATCATATAGTTTTGTTATATAAAATAGTCCTTTCTACAATTAATATCTAAGATTCTCTGGAACATCATCAGGTATCTAGAATTCAGCATCATCATCCAAAGTAACATTATAATGTTACAATACTTTTAAATATTTCCTTAATCTATTTTTTATTTTAGATGGTGATTATCTAATATTTTAGAGAATCTATTTATCACTAAGACCATTCAATTTATCTTATGTTGCAACTCTGTTGTAATAACAATCAAAAACATTTGTTGCTCTCTCTGTAAATGTTTCTTCATCTTATTTGTGTGTTGTCTCTTCTGGTTTATCATCATGATGAACTACTTTTATAAGAGATTTCTTATAATTATCCATTAAAGCTTAAGTTTCAGGATCCAAAGGTGAATTTTTTTCAAATTCTTATATTTTTAAATCTCTTAATAATCTATCTCTTTTTAATCTTTATTCAAACTCTATTTCTTATTAGGCTAATGTCATAAATGATCTTGCTTAATTTGTTATTGCTAAATTATTGGCTATTTTTGTTTAATCTATTTTTCTTTACATTTTTGCCTAAAATGTCATCTCTGCTTTTTCAAAAGCCTAATCATAACTATATTTATATACTTTATCAAAATGATATCCCTTTTTTCTTAATGTATTAAATAGCTTCAAAAAGCGAAATAATGATCCCTCATTTTAATTATCACCAAGTCCTTCTTTTACTAATGGAGCATATTTAAGATCTGGATATCTATGCATTAATTTATTAAGCACTTTTTGATTCTCAGTATCATTTACTTCCTCTCTTAATGGATATCCAAGATTTGTTTCAGGTGGTCTAACTGCATAAACAAGTGGATTATGTTATCTAGGATTAAGCATTTTAAGCCTACGGAACATTTCAAATCCATCATAAAAGGGAAGTTTTGAATATTACCTTAAATACATTAATTTATTTTTATTAAATAATTTTATAAAAAAAGAAATGATTCTCAAAATGAATTGATTTTTTTCTTTAAATTTATGATCATAAATTTCGAAGTGCTTTATTTTTTTTACCTCTTAATTCATACTTTTTAGAAACATTAAATTTCCTTTTTGTTAAATATTTAAAACTTTCTAAAGGTATTTTACCAATTTACATCATCTTCTTGCTCATATTATTCTAAATTTTTTATAATTAAGAATCTGTGGGATATTATTTTTAAAATTAATCTTATGCATCATCAAGCTTAAATTAATTAAAATAGTTTACTTATGTTAAAAATTCTCCAAATTAATTTTTTAAATTAAGACTTATAGATTAATGACTAGAATTATTATGATGATCATCTTGTTTAGATTAATTTTAAGGACTTTTAAAATAATGAAGATTTTCAAACTTCTTATCATCTCTTAAAGATAGAAAAGAACCAGGTTAAATTTCAGGAAGAGTTGCATGACTAGTTTGTTATAATGGGATTACTCTTCTTACAAGTGGATTTATTAATTTACCATTTAATTATGGGAATTTCAAATCGTTACTTTCACTTCTACTTTTTACTAAGATTTATTTTTGACTTTTAGGTTCAATAGAATTAGGTAATTACTATTTAAGTTCTTTAAGCTATTGCTATTATTACTTTAATATTTTTTAATTAGGAGGTTAAGGTATTTTATTTTTATAAAGCATTTTAGTTGTTCTTTCTAAAAGTTATAAAACCTTTTATGATTATTCTTTAAAATTTTTTCCTGCTTCTATTGCAATTTCATCTTTTCCAAAATCTAATGGAATTAATGACTAGATAATTTATTCTGAATTCATTGAATCTCTATTTTTCTTTCTCTCTTTCTCGTATTTCTTATCCATCTCATTTAAAGCATTATTATGATTAATATCAGTTATTAATTAATCAATTCCTGTATAGAATTTTTCATTTGTTGATCTTCCATCTTCAATTATCTTGGATCTTTGAGTAAATTCATTATCAGTTTATTATAAATAAACTTCTATTTGAGGTTTAGATCTGAAATGTCGTGAATTAGCTATAAATTTCTTACTTTTTTATACAATTTCTGCATAATCAAATAAATCCTCATTATTGCTATATGATTTTGATCTTTTAATGAGTTTTGGTAATTTTTTACGATTCTTTTTCATTTATTAATCATTTAGATTCTTAAGAAAGAATTTAACATCAATAAAAGTGTCCATTGATGAAAAATCTCTCATTTTATTTTCAAAATGTTATTCTTTTGTGACTTTATTAATTTTCATCTTTTTTCTTTCATTTTATAAGACTTTTTGTATGTTATCACTCTATAACCTATTTCCTTTATAAAATGATGATTTTATACTTTGAATTATTTCCTCATGATAGTGCTAATCATTTGAGGGTAATTTTTTGATTCCTCTTTTTTTGTCTAATTGGGCTTTGACAAATTTATAAAAATCCTATTCAAAATCCAACATATTTAATAATGTTAGATTTTTTCAACAAAAATTAGCTAATCATTTTATTGGAAACTAAGCTGAATTCACTTTTAGATAAATCTATTTTGCAATAACTTGATACTTAACGTAAATATTCTTATACCTTCATTTATAGATTTTTAATATAATTTTTGATAAAAACCTTTGTATTCTAATCAAATTTTAAATATTTACATTAATTAAAAGCTCTTTAAAAGTAAGAGATACTATTAGGATTGATTTCTTTAATGAAATTCTAAAGTCTTATAAATATATTAAATTCTTAATTCTATTTATTAACAATACAATTCATAATACTACAAATTTTCTAAATAAATAACAATTAAAATAATATAAATGAATACTTAGTTATCTATATAATTTATGTTTAATTATATAAAAAATAACAAAAACTTAATAATGAGATCAATGATGTTAGATTAATCCGAATTTCCAAACATCATTTAAGATTTCTCCATTTTTGTTCTAAAATGTACCAATTCCATGTTATTTTCCCTCCTTCCATTATCCATCGTATTTTCTACCATCACTCCAAATTATTTTACCAATTCCATTTTTTAATCCATTTTTGAATTGACCTTCATAAGAATATTTTCCTTTGACTTATAACTAACCAAAACCGTGTTTTTTACCATTAAACCATTCTCCATAATAAATTTTTTTACCACTATCCCAAACCTTATATTTATTAAAAATTTTAATACAAATTTTCCTAATCCTTAAAACTTGTCTTATTAAAATTGTCCTTCATAGTATGACCCATCATTAAATATGAATTGTCCTTAACCATCCTTTAAGCCATTTTTAAATATTCCCTTATATACTGATTTATCTGCATATGTTTCAACCCCTTGACCATGTTATAAATTATTTTCCCATTCTCCTAATTTAAATTAATAAAGTTTTTACCTTCATATCTGATATTTTAAGTTGAATTAAAATAGATTCCTTAACCATTCATATAGCTATTCTTCCACTATCCTCTATAATATGTTCCATCAGGCACACTATAAAGTCCTTCTCCGTTCAAGAATCCATCCAACCACTTATTTTTAATTATAATTCTATACCATGCCTTCCAAGTAACATCTATGATTATTTTATTCTAATACCCGTCCTCCATCACCATTCTACCAAACCCTGTCATTGATCCAAATTGAAATTTACTATTCTTTATTTTTGGTGACATTAATATAGCACCGTGATCATCTTAATATTAAGCCACAGTAGATCTTTCAGTAATTATTTGTTATGCCTATTCATAACAAATTAGATCTTCATTCAAAGAATTTTATTATTGTTAGTTAATATTTTCCTTTTATTTAAGGATCTGAACTCTCTTTCTTGTTATGATTCCTCTAAATCTTGCCTAAATCAATGCAACCTATTTAAATGTTGGTTCAATTTTCTAGATCTCTGGTTTTAATTGCATTTTAATCTCTTAAATCTAGAATCCATTACAAATTTGACAAGACCCCATTCAAGTAAATATATTTAATACTGATTTAATGAATAGAAATATAATAAATGATATAAGAAGATAATTCCTTAAATTTCCTGTGCTATTTTAATTCTGATAATTTTAATTAATGAAAATTATAAATATAATCACAAGAACAATATTCCTTAAATAAAATTAATATACAAAAACAAGTCACTCAAATTCTTAAAATTCTAAAAATTTGAAATTTTCAAATCTTTATCTAATAGGATTTCATACAACTTTTGTCTTTTTTTGATATTTATAAATAATTAAAACATAAAAATCTAAAAAATATATCAATATTTATATTTTTTAACTTTATAATTTTATCCCAAAATCCTAACAATTATTAAATTGATATATTTCTATTATTTTATGAATTTTAATTTAAAATTAATTTCTTAATTGTTTTAGCTTATCAAAAGTTATTAATTAGATGCGCTTTTTAATCTAAAATATTTCACCTTAATTATATAGATATATTTAATAAATGAAATTAAGATATCATTTATCTGTAGATTAGAATAAGTTTAGTAAAAATGATTTAAATTTTTATAGAAATCTTAACATAATGTATAATATAAAATAGATTTTATTATTACAATATAAATATGTTATAGAAATAATGTAAATATAAAATTAAACAGAAGTATAAAATGAAATTAGTTATATAATTCAACTTTTTTGAGATAGAAGAATAATAATTAATTAAGATTGAATAGTTACCAACAAATCTTGTCTAAAATACAATGATCAAATCTGAAATTTATTATTGTATTTCATTATAAGAAATTCATCTTTTTGTTTGAATATATTCTTAAAGAAAATAAGAAATTAAAAAATAAAATTGATAAGATATTTTTGTGAATAAATTGAGTATTGAACAATTGAAACTATTTTGGGATATATATAAATGATTTAATATCAATAATGCTTACTTTTTTCTATCTAAGAAGTACGTTTAATCTATGAATATCTTTCTTAAATTTACTAGTCTTTCAGTGGATCTAAATCAAGTTATTTCAACATTTGATTATTGAAAGAATCTACTGAGTCTTCAAATATCAAGCATTGACAATCTTTAGTTACTAAACACTCAGTATCTTGTGGAGGTATATAACTATTTTATAGAAAATAATAATTTACGTATATTGAGAATAAACTTTATTATTGATGTCCTTCAATTCTCCTCTAAATAAATATCCACCAAATATAAAATCACATTTTTAATTTTCAGTAAATTTCTTTAATTTACTTTTAGTTCTAAAAAAATCCATTAATCTTTTAATTTCTAAATTTGCAAGTGGTCCAGCCTAATTTTCAAACATCTTTCTTAAATATTCTATAAATAAAAATTAATTAATTACCAATAGAATTAATATATATCTTGAATTCGAAATTTGGATTCTTATTCATCAAATCTTTAAGAATTTTGAGATTTAAAGAATAAAGTAAAGAATCAGCCGTGGTTTTAGCTGTACTCATGCATGTTCCATCACCTATAAGATTAGTATATGTTATTAATGTTCCTAAACCTTTCCTTATTGAACCTCCTGGAAATTCATCTACTACATTACCTTTACTCACAATATAAATATTCTAACATGTCATTCCTTATTCATAAATAATTTCATCTGGTCCAAATTTCTTTTCATAAGCACTTTTAATTATATTATCTAAATCAGTTGATACAAGACCTGAAAAAATAGGGAATTCCATAGCTAAAACATGGAAAGATGGTAAAATCATATCAAATTAATGATTTTCTAAATCAACTAATCTTGTATTAATTTCTTTTTTAAGTAATTAATATTCTTTATCATCAACTAATCCATTCTATTATGTATCATCAAGATAATGTCTTTAATGTGTTAAAATAGAATGTGATGCTCTTTTAGTTTAAATTGCTCTAACAATTTCTGGAAAAGTATCATTTAATATACTTAAATATCCTTCTGCTTTTTCTATTTCTTTATTAAGTTCATCCATAACAACTCTAACAGCATCTTTATTCATAGGAAAGCTTCCAGTTAAATGAAATGCTTCACTTGCACAAGATAAAAAGGTTGTAGTCACATCATAAACAAATCCTAAATGTTTAATCATATAATCTCTAGCAAATGGTCCGATCAATGGCATTTCTTTAACTTTAAAGAAAAAGTTCACACTACTAAAATTTAAAAAATTCTTATATAATTAATCCCAAATATTTAAAAGTCCTTTTGTGTGATCCAAACCTATATCACTTGATTCAACTAATAAACGAACAGCCTCTTCTTCACATAATCCATACTCAAATTTATCATAATACAAACCCTTCATAATACGATATATTCTATATCTAACTTCTCCAAAAATTTCTTGATCTGATAATCCTTCATATAAATTTGATGAATTTGATAACACTTTATTACTACCTATCATATATTTTATTTCAGTTTCTAATTTCTCTATTTTCTCTATGAATTTAGGTTACCCAATTAATTAATTCACTTAATTCCAATCAGCCATACTATAAAATTAATCAGATTCCAACTCTCTCATTTTATCTTAAGAATTTACTATCAATTCTTCCAAGTATTTTTTATAGACCTTTTTTTTAATAACTGGATTTTCTATCATTTCTAAATATTGCACTAAAGCCTTGCAAGTAGTACCATTAATTAAATTGGTTATTGCAGCCATACCAGCTCCATAAAAGACAGATAAATGTCTAAATCTAGCTGGCAGTTCTTCATCACATCCAACCATTAAAGATAATGTTAAACCTAAAGCACCTCTCAAACCACCATATACAAGAACTATGAATTCAGATTTTGAAATAGGATATCCAAAACATCTTAAAAATGGCCAGAATGTCAATATCATTATAAATCTAGCCAAAATCATAAAAAAGTAGAACACAATCATTCTAATATAATCTGATTTATGAATAAATGTTTCTTCAATTACTTGAGTACCAACAATAATTCCAACTAATAAAAATATTAATGTATCACAAGAATATTAGACGAATCCCCATACAGTATGTACAGAATGTTCTACTGATGATCTTATTCTAGTCTTTCCAAAAGCACTCCAAAATAAACCTAATCCAACAACTGCTAGTAATCCACTTGTTTTAAAAAAACAAAATTCTGCCCAATAAAATGTTAAATATGTGAATACAAATGTTAACCATGTTACCTCTATATCATCACCTAAAATTCTCTTTGTCCATAATGCGGCTAATATTCCTAATATTAATCCTAAGCCTGGTCCTACTAAAGAATTCCTTACAAAATTGAGAACAACTTAACTTGCAGTCACAGCTTCTCCCTTTCCGCTAGCTGCTTTTGAAAATTTGTTAAAAAATATAAAAAACACCATGGCTACACCATCATTCAACAAAGCTTCTCTAATTATATAAAAGTTATTAATACCCTTCAATTAAATGATTGAATGCCAAACTAGCCCCTAACTCCTTCAATAAAGCAACAACTGCTACAGGATCTGTAGCTGATAAAACAGAACCAAGAGTAAATGCTTAATACCATGTCATATCATTATCATCATATTGTAAAACCATTTTAAAGACAGCTCCTAAGAGAATGGCACCCTATTTTTAGTTTATCTAATACCCAACCACAACCAGGACCAGCTAATAGTAAAATATTGACCATCTGATATTTGAAAGTATACCAATCACAATTAAATGCGGATTCAAATAACAAAACAGGAACAAATACAAACACAATCAAGTGAGGATGCATTTTTGACAAGATACTTGCACTTTCACCAACGTATCCCAAACTTTTTTAAAGTAATCCTATTAATATGCCTAATGATAAAATCATAGGAGAATATGGGAATCTAACTTTATATCACTTCCATTACTTTGTCTTTTTGTTAATCTCCCTCAATATCAATCCTGAAACAATTCCCAAAGTTAGAAAATAAACGATATTTGCAGATTTCTCCATTTCATGCTCATCTCTCCATAATGAATCTTTAGGGGCCTCTAATTCCTCTTCGTGTCCCTCAAATTCATGTTCATGCTCTGCCATTTGAATAATTAATTTATTGTATAATATACCAGATACAAAATAAATTTAAAATTATGCTGTTATCTTATACTACACTATTAAACATGACGTTAGCTCACTATTACAATTTTAACCATTAACTAAAGCGATTAATTAACATTACCAACTATCTAATAATTTAAAGGTCTTTGCAATTCTTAATCTTATTAATCTCATGTTGAATTTTAATGTTATTCATATAATTTATCTAAAAAAAGTACTAAAAAATTGAATAGAAAATTTAAAATCTTAATCATCTAAAATCAAAGATATATGTATCTATATAAAAGATGATAGCTACAATTAATCTATTTAACATGAGAATTACTGATAACATTTTAAGTAAAATAAAAATATGTCCATTTTTTTAATAAGATTTTCAGTATATGAATGTGGAACAAGTTAAAATTTAAACTTCCTCTTAAAATTCATCTGGCTTTACATTTTGATCACTAGATATTTCAGTATTGGAAACTTATTGGAATTTGATTTCTTATAGTTCATTTAATCTAAAAAATCTACATTCATTTTATCACTAGGTGTCTTTAATATTAATTTATTGAATTACATCAAATTTCTCTGATAAAACAGTATTTTTCTTAATAATTTTTTATTTGATATAAATTAAAAAATTGCTAAGTTTAATTATCACTCTTATATGTTAATTCAGTAAGATATTTATATTGCTTGGATTAATATTTCGAATACTGGATTAAAGTATTGAATTGAATTAACAGACTAAGATTGAGTTAAATAATCACTATTAAAAGACGTCAAAAACACTAATAAGGTTCAATATTGTGTAAGAATTATTATTCAATTAATATAAAAAAAATTTATATATTAATTGAACATCCTAAAATTTTTAGTTTGCAGTTAAGAAAATATCAAAATATATCATTTAATTAGAATTAAAAATAATTTATTATCAAGCCCAAGAAATAGTATTAAATTATTTTTTATTAAACTACTTGTCAAAAGTCAATAATTATTCTTATCAAACTATGCAATAAAATTATTAGTGATTAATTTATAATTATAAATTTGTTGTATTATTTAGATGTTTGAGAAGTATTTATTGATTATTAAAAAAGTAATTTACCAAAATATGGAGAGAATAAAATGATTAATAATTAATCTTCGATAAAGGTAATTTAAGTAAAATTGTTTTTGCAATTATAATAATCCATGCTAATATTGATTTATATCTTAAGTCACAAAAATTTCTATGTTATTTTAAAAATTAAAATTGAAAATCCTATTCACTCTCATAAAAACTATTTAAATTTAATAAAAGGAATATCTATTTTATATAACATAATTAATAAAATTCAAGATAAATCACATGAATGTAAAAAGAATAGAAAATAATTTTATTATCATAAATAATATTTTAAGTAAAATGATCCTTATGGATTAAAAACTACTTTTGATTATTCAAAAAATCTTGCAAAATAAATATTTTACAGAAGTTAGCAGTAAGATTTTGGAATAAAATTAAAATAATATGAAATATTGATATACTAATTATTAATTTCAATCCTTTGTAATTTTTAGCTTTAATTAATATTCTCTTATTTAAAATTATCAATGTCTTTCTATATAATATTAAATTCCAATTCTTTGCAATTTATAAGTGCATAGTATTGTTATTATCCTTCTTTTTAGATTCTCTTAATATGCAAGAGCTTAATATTAAATACTTAATATTTGTAATAATCCGTTTTGAATGCATAACTATTATATTTATTAAAAAAATGAGAATATATGCCCTGTTTGTGCTGTTGATGTATGCAACAGCATTGAATTTCGAGGCATCTCTGATGTCCCATACATTAGCAGAAGTAGATGCTTTGGACACTTCGCAATTGAATTGCCAAACTCCTCGATCACATTTTGATGAGTTGGAGTAAACCTTGACTCAATGGTAGAATGTTTTGGAAAATAAAGAACGTATCCCTTCACATATTGAAACATTAACTGAAATGAAACACCTAATTAAACACAAGAAGTATTAGTAGCTGGTTGATAAGATCAAAGATTTGGATCTCATATCTCCTCCAGTGCTTTCTGAATTATAAAACAAATTATAAGGATTGCAATCTCATGGTAACAAGTTTTATTTTATTTTTAAGATAAACATGAAAGAGAAGAATGTACAGAAACATTAACTAAATTGTGTGCTTATCTTATTAAATAAATGAATAATGTTCACTAATAATGCTAATAATCACCAGTTACTGTCATCAAAGTCAAAGGTAAGATAGATGATATCAAAATTATTCAATCTGGATGCTAATAAGCATGTCAACCTACATGTCCAGATGAACCTGTACCAGAAGTTCCTTCAGAAGTTGCAAGTGAAGAATTTACAGAAGAGCCAGTTGAAGAAGGTGTTCCTCCAACAACTCCAGATGATGAACCAACCCCAGATGAACCTACTCCAGATGATGAACCCGCTCCAGAAGACAAGCCAACACCAGATGCCCCAGAGGTACCTTAAGAAGAAGAGGGCCCAACTGATGAGCCACCAGTTAATCCAAGTTCTGAAGAATCACCTGAAGAGCCAACAGTGCCAGAAGATGGAACAGAAGAGTGGACTATTCCAGGAGAAGAGCCAGAAGAACCAAAATCAGTACCAACTACACCTGATTCACCAGAGGAAGATCAAGAAGAAACACCTATTCCACCAGTCTCTCCTGATCCTTAAGAATTCCCAGAAGAAGCTGAAGAATAATTTATTTTTGAAGAAACTCCACTCCCACCTGTCTCTCCTGATCCATTTGTATTCCCAGAAGAAGAAGAAGAATAATTCATTTTTGAAGAAACACTTCCACCAGTTTCTCCTGATCCTTTAGTATTCCCAGAAGAGGATGAAGAATAATTTATTTATGAAGAAACACTTCCACCTGTTTCTCCTGATCCATAAGTATTCTCAGAAGAAGATGAAGAAGAATTCATTTTTGAAGAAACTCCACTCCCACCAGTTTCTCCTGATCCTTTAGTATTCCCAGAAGAAGCTGAAGAATAATTTATTTTTGAAGAAACACCTGTTGATGTAGAATCTCCAATAGTTTGCCATTCATCTGAATCTACAGAGAAGATAGAATTAACAGCCACTTAAGTTGAACCTGGATTTACAAGCACACTTACAATAACAAATGAATATGGATTTGGATTATACTTCTAAAAATTATAAAAATATCCAGCCTTCGCTGATGGTGAAGAATTCCATTTAGCCAGTTTATAAGATAATGGAAATACAGTTTTGGGAGTATTTGTAACTAAGACTGGTGTTAAATGTGTTACAGCTGATGGATCAACTTAATAATCTACATCTGTATAAAATGATGACTTTGAAGGTGATTGGAGCTTTGTATTTATCAGTCATGGTAAAGGAGTCACTGGATGTGGAGTTAAATTCTTTGAAGAATAACCAGCTTTGAGATAAACTCCTGCATCTCATCCAAATTTCAGTACTTTAGAATTCATTATTGGTGGTGAATAAGATTCTCATCCATCATTCTAAGGTTAAGTATATGGACATTTTGCAGTCTCAGCACCAAATCTACATTTCCAAGATGAAAAAACATACAAATAAATAGTTGATTCATGCAATATTCCTCCTGAAGAAGTTTGTGAATTGGATACACATGAATTAGGAGATTTTGAATTTTCTGGATTTGATGATAACTCTGAAGAAAGATATGACTTTTCTACTTGGGATTCTGGTTATTCAGTTTCTGGTTGGTTCAAATGGGAATCTTTATAAGATTAAGATGTTTGGCACACTGTCTTTAGATTGTCTGAAAATACAAATGCTGATTTGGATGATATTTAATTAGGAGATAGAGACTTGGCTCTTTATCTTGGTAATGAATTGGTTGGCAATCGATATTAAGTTACTACTTATACATATTCAGGATCTGGTAATCCTAATTTATGGGATTCAGTTGAATATGGTTCAACATTGGGTTAATGGCATTATATTTACTTTGGTTACAGTAGAAGAACCAGATATGCTAATTATGCTATTTATTTATCAGAGTCAGAAATGCCTTCCAATTAAATACATGATGTCCGTCATTATCTTGTTCCATAAAGAAGACTATATATTGGTAATGATGGTTTATATCCTGCATTCAATGGTAAATTCTATAATTGGCGTGTAAATTCTTGTATTGGTGATGTTGCTATTGATGTTGTAAATCCACCAAAGGATATTATATTTGGATACAATCCTTAACCTGAAGTTCCATAAATTGAACCAGAAGTATTACCTGAAGAAGAACCATTTTGGCCAGAGGAAGAAGAAGAATATGTTCCTGCTAATCCAGAAGAGGTTCCATTTGATATTCCATCTGAAGAAGAATCAATTTGGCCAGAAGAAGAGGAAGAGTTTGTTCCTCCTCCACCAACTTTAATCCCCGAAGAGGAATCATTTTGGCCAGAAGAAGAGGAGGAATTCATCCCTGTTCCACCCCCTGAAGTACCTCCTGTTATTCCAGATGAAGTAAACCCTGAACCAATACCTGAACCTTAACCATAACCAGAACCAGAACCTGCTCCTTCACCCTCACCTAAACCAGCACCAGGTCCAGCTCCTCCTTCTGAACCTTAAGTTCCAGTTGTCTTAGAGTATTATATGTTATTTATATATATAAAGATGTGAAGCAACTATAGATGTTACTAAAGAAAACGCTGCTGATATTTTATGTGCTATCTCAGAATATTTAGCTTAATTAGCATCTGGTCATGTTCCTGAATTAGGTATCAATCCATCAAGAGTATGTTTCTGCTTGCAATATGATGATAGTAATGATCAATAATTAAAATTATTAGGTGAATCAAATGAGGCATTTATGCAAGTTGAAGCCATTCTTAAAGAAAATGATGCATATACTATCAACAAATTAGTTGGCTAAAGAAGAATTTGATTTAAAATAATAAAAAATAATCAAATTTATTATCTATATATTATAAGTTTAAATTATTTATTGCTTTATAATTTCATTCAATTATAGTGTTTAGTTAATAAATTCTTTTAATCCTATCATTTAAGATATATATTTTAATTATAACAATTGATATTGAAGAATTGTTTCTGAATGCTATACAATTTGAAATATTTGAAAATAGCAACAAATAGAAGAACTTACTTGTTATTTTAATGGAATATTTTTATAAGAAATTGAAAATTAAAAAACAATTGAATATGATAACCTTTATTGCTTTGTTATTATTATATATTTATCATTGTTGATTTGAATTACATAGCTCTTGTAGGTTATTTACTATATATTTGCTTAAATGATTTATTAGTTCTTGTTTTGTACAATAAAAATCGCTTTAACAATAAGAGGCTTTTATAAATTATTTATTATAGTATAAATATACTCTTTACCCTTAAATTACAAATTCAAGTTAAGAAGCAAATGGAGTCAAATATTATTGATCAGTTAAAACAGATATCATAGCCATTTAATTAGTTTCTGTTCCTGAATAAACACTCAAAGATTGATTTGAACTAAGCTATTGTATAATCCATCTAAAAGGTTCTGATACTCCAGCATAGTGTTATAAAGGTTCTGAATTGGCTCCAAAATATTTTAAAAATTACTCAACTTCATTTAGATAATTTTGAGTATCTTAATCTGGATTTGGAAAATTAAATCCTTCAAAATTATTACAAAAATAATCATCATAAAATTCATCAACATCAGTGAGATTTAACTTACTTTTATCAATTAATATGCTTGGATTAGCTTCTTAAATCCAATAATAAACTTTATCAAATTCAGCTCTACTTAATAGTTCTTTTTCTTTTTATTTATATTATGTTGAAGATTAAACAGCTTTATTGACAGTTTATATTTTTGGACAAGTATTCTTCTTTTATCCTTAAAACATAAAATCTAATGGCTTATCAAATGCTTCAAAATTTAATGAGAGAGGATCTTCAAAATTAGAATTCATTATTTCATCATATGCTGTTTGATTTGTTATATAAGGTTGATACTATTCTTAAAATAATCTATGTAATATAACTGCATAATTTTTTGGGCATAAACCTTTGATAAAACAAACTAAAGATGATGTACATCTAGCAGATTTAGAGGATTGTAGTTCTAAAGTTTCAAAAATACAATTTCCAGATGCATCAAATATGTCTTCCCTTTATTAGTTCATTCCAAGTTATATTAATTACTTAACACCTTTTTCTGTCAAAATGGTTGGATCTACAATCCACAAAAAGTTTCTATCAATTTCAGTCCATGTATGAGGATCACGAGCACCGTGACGCATTATCAATATAGACTAATAAGCTATAGCAGTTGATATCAAAAGACAAAGAATGTGAATCATAATGATGTCACTAATTATTAATTAATTTATAAAGTAGTATATAATCCTAAAAATTAAGTATTTTTTATTTATATGAAATAGTAATTATCTTATTAAATTCTGATCATTAAAAAAAATTAAGTTAATTCTAAAGATATAATTTTAATAATATCAGATAATAAACAAATTAAAAGTTATATCAATCAATTAAATGATAAAATATATTAAACCTTTTTATTTAAAAAGTAAAGACTTATAATTAAATTATTTAGTTTTTAGAAAATAAAGAGTTATAAATTGAAATTTAACATCAATAAGACTTGAATAAAGAAATCAATTAAATAAATTTATATAAAAACATAAATGTTTAAATTGATAAAGAAAGTTAGAAATAATAACAAGATATTCTGAATCAAATACATAATAAATTAAATCATTTATATTGTTTAAGTTTAGAATTTAGTAGTTTTATGTTTTTGTTCAATTCTGATTGTAATTCAAATAATTAATCTTAGTTTGATTATCTGCTAGCTCTACTTTCTTTCCCATAATCTATAAATGAAGTATTTTATGATATAGCAATATTCTCCTTATTTGGAGTCCTTGTCATTTATATCAATTTATCCTATTACTCAATAATCTTCATTTCATATTCTGCTTTCATTTTATTTATTTAACTTTATACAGATCTCTTATAATATTCTAACTCTTATTATAGGGTTTTATTTTGCTTAATAAGGTTTATATTTTCTAAATTTAAAGGATCTATTCGTTATTCTATTTATTTAAGATAGTCATTTTGATCATCAATTTAATAATATGCTTCTCTTAACTATTACTCCAATCTTTCAATATAGGCTCCGCATTTATAATATTAATCATCCTTTAACTAAGTTAAAATTAAACCTTTATTCTTAATTCATGTTCTTAAGACTCTAATTTTCTGTACAATTAAGCTATTTCATCACTCATTCTTTCAATTTGTTTCTCTTATAACTCTATCTTTGAAATCTTATCTGTTTCTTATGAAACAATCTGTTATTCAGCAGCTAATAGTTTTTACTTTAATTCTTCTATAGTTTTATTTGCCAATTCCAATTAGTATTCCATCAGTTAATTTTAATTTTGTAATAAAAATATAATATTTATTAGTCTAATGTCAATATTTATCAATATTTTTTAAATTAGTATTATAGTTCATTTTCAACAAAGGATTCTTTCAAGATTTTGTCAATAATATAATAATCCAATCATTTCCATAGTATGAAACTAACAAAATTATATGAACTTAATATTATAAGTATTTTTCATAAGAAATTTACCAAAGAAATAATTCAGAAGATTGTATTAATTTATTTAATTTGATTTAAATAAATCAACAAAGAAATGGCTAAATATAAACAAAATTAAATATATAAGTATACGCTAAAAAATATATTGCAATTAACTCAGAAAAATAAACTATTTAAAAATTGATTAATAATCTCATAAAAAGCTAATAAAATATTTGAATAGATAGATAATATTCGTAAAATACAACTATTTATATCTCTAATTTATACTTAGATTTAAAAGAAGACAATAAAATGATAAAAATTTATTAGTCTATTTTTTTGAGAGATTTAACATTGATGATTATAAAATTATATCTATATTTGATCTTTAATTTCAGATTAATCTACCAATTAAAATGGAGAAATAATATCGTTTTAAGTATGATAATCTAAATATTATAATCAAAATATTTATATCCATAAAATCATTAAATTTAAATAATCATGATATTAATTTTTAAATATCTAATTATATCTATTAGATTAAGCAAGAGGTTCTAATTATCTTTTTGAATTTTAATATTTTGAATGATTTTTTATTAAAAATATATTATTTATAAAAAGGTCTTAAAATTATTAATTATCACATCTAAATGGTTTTGATTTATCTATAGCAGCTATCATTTAATTGATTCATAAGTTAAATTTATCAAATGTTAAATAAATGTTATAATAGTATTTGAATAATAAAATAGATAAAAATGATAGAGTTAAAAATAAATTCACATAGAACATTATTAATTCATTATAAAAATTGTACTTAATAGTTTATGACTTCTATTTGTTATTGAAATTTCTATATGTCTTGTTAGAAGAACCTAGAAAAATAAATAATTGGATACTTATTTTGTTCATTAAAATATTATTGAATTGTATTAATATTTTATTCTTCAGTGAATTTGATTTATTACAAATTAGATTTGAAAGTTTCTGATTGTAAGTTGACCTATTTCTTAATTTCAGACTATTCAATTTTTAAAGATTGCAATTTACATTTAATCTATTACTAGTAAGAATATTATATGTACAGATTTGAGGGTTTACTTAACCTTAATCTCTTTAGGTGTTAAAGTCTTTTATGAATTTATTTTTGTTTTAGTTAGAGATTATCCATGAATCATAAATGATAAAGAAGCTTAAGGGGATGATTAATATATTTGGTATTTTCTTTATTAAGCTGATGCATTTCTGACAATAAACATTTTTTGATGGGAATTTTTGGAGGTTTTAGATTTCATTATTAAATAATTAAATTGCATGTTTCATTAAATTATTATAGCCATTTACTCATAGTTATTTATTATCTATCAAGTTTAAATATAGTGAGTTTATGGATTTTATTTTGTGAAATAAAAGTAATGATTGACAAGATCTCTATGAATTTTTAGTATTATTTAGTTTAATGAAATAAAATAATGAATTTTAAAAGAGAACCTTTAAAAGACAAAAATAAAATAAAGTTTAATTTTTAATGTTTTGCCATTTTGAAATTCATAAAAATTTTGATTAAAAAGAAATAAATATATTTCTGAATCAATAAACTAATTGTATCTCAATAATTGTATTATATTAATATTCTTAAATAAGATAATTATTCAATTTTTTAATTTACCAAAAGAAGAATATTTAAAGTATTAAAAATGTTTTGTAAATATCTATTGAATAATAAGATTTACATAAACAATATGAATGAAAGAAATAATAATATTTAATTATATAATTGTAAATGTTATATAATATTTATTAGATATTCAAGAATTTTGAAATATATTGATGATACTTGTTAAATAAAGAGGATAGAATGAATGACTAAATAGTAATAATTAGATATAAATTAATTTGAATGAATAATTCTATTTTTATTATACAATCAAATTTTATTAGATTCTTTTTCTATAATTTTATCTGATGCACTAATCAATTGAATAAAATTAATATACTAATTAATAATGATAAAATATTTTACATGTTTTAAACATAAAAATGGAACTGAAACGTACATTAGCATTTAAATTACAAACCAATCAATAAATACATTCAAATATAAAGTAACCATTGCTGTCTATAAATATATATATGAATTATAATTACTTCGCTCAATAAAACCATGATAAATAACATATATGGAACTTTGTAATATATCTCTAGTATTTTATATTTAGAGACTGCTGTTTTGTGATGTTTTTCATTACAATATAAAGTAGAGTACATCTGATACCAATGACTACATAAATCCAAAGCTAATGCCCACAAAAACAAGAATCCAATAGTTGGATATAATTTATAGAGTACTGCCAATAAACAAGCATTGGAGAATCTATCAGTTACCTATAGATATTAATTATATTTAATACCATATCTAAGACACTTCCAAAAACACTACATTAATTGAATTTTCTGGCAGCCATTCCATCAAAAAGATCTCCTAATTAACTCACAGAATAAGTAATAGCAGAGACAATAGGATTAAAGCTTCCTGTGTAACAAAAGATAAGTGCACAAATAACTCTTGCATATCCGATTAGATTTGGAATATAAAAGTATACAGACATATATATATAATTAATTAATTTATTTATCATTTTATAAACACTAATACTCTCATTAAATCATCAGCATCAAATCCACAACTATCAAATGTTCTTAATTTATTATTTCCATTTCTTCCTTAAACTAATATCAATTTTTAATCCACTGAATAAAATTCTTCAAAACTCATATCCTTCACTAATTCTGTTCCAACTTTACCAACAACATAAATTTTATCACATTTAAATGATTTAGTTGGTTCATTAGGTAATAATTCATATTCTTCAATTTCAGTCAATAAATTCTTTGTAACTTTTATGGTTGGTATTCTTAAATCTGTCATTGCCTCATTTATAGAAGTACAAATGGCTTCTAAATAGGCAATATCTATTTAGCATAATAAAAACACTTCAACAACTAAAACCCATCCTTTTTGACCAATTTTTAATTCACTCATATCAGTTTTATATAGTGATTCTAATAACTCTTAAAGATACTAAGCTTTCTATTTTTCATCATTTGTTCTCTTCATTGAACTTACATTTATTTTAATCTAAGATTAATCACCTAACTCTAACTTTATTCCAGTATAGATTGTGATTTCACCCTCATATTTACATGAACCACTTGTACATATAAGATGAGATCTCAACAATTTAACTTCTCTCACTTCATTATTTTTACGTCCATCACTTCTTATATTTACTGCAATTCCTCCTTTTATGAATTCTATTTATCCTGTGCTTAACATTAATTGTTTTCACTAATTAATTTAATTCTTTATAAAGTTAATTCTAATAATCCTCATTATTTAACAATACAACATGAATATATATTTAAATTATATACTTTTTTAATCTCAATAATTAATATTAAAGTTAGAGATGAATTAAAGCATATGTAATATTTTATAATCTATATATGTATATATATACTAAAATATTTTAATTTAATGAATGAAGATGAAATAAAGCAGATGGTTGAAAAATATAAATTGAGAAAAGAGAATTTCGATTCTTATAAACCAAATAAGAAATATTATTTTGAAAATTCGGATGAATTATTTGTCAAAGCCTAAATCAAAGAATAATAAACTTTTCTTAAATCTTTCAATCATTATTAAGATTTACCAAGAGCATCTGTAAATATTTTAGGAGCTAGAAGATAATGGGAATTTGCTTCAGGTTATTTTTTTGTAACAATCCCTGCTTCCTATATCATTGGAAGAATATTAGCAAATGAAAAATATGGAATTTATAATGCAAATCATAGAATTAGAAGAATGAGAATATATACATATTTTAGCTTTGTTTTAATAGGATTCATTTATATCCCTACAATTCCTGTTTTTACTCCTTAAAATTCAGGAATATTTTAACCATAATTTTATGAAAAAAAAGTTTAGAGAGATCTAGATTTAAGTTTAAATTTATATCAGAATGTTGATACAATTATAAATAAAGATCAAGAACCAAGTTGGGAAGATTATAAAAAAATTTTAAGAAATGTATAGAAAAAAACTCTTATGAATGTAAAAGTGTGAACATATTATATAATTTATTAAATAAATCCTTCAAAAGTCAAATATTTATAATAATAAATATAGATATTTTTATTAATTTATCTATCATATAATATTTAATGATTTATTCAATAATTGTATATTTTAATTATTATTATACTACTGTTATAAATTGATTATTAGAAAAATTATTAATTATATTTATCAATTAAGAAATAAAAGATAAAGATAAGGATTATTTAATAATTCATATCAATTTACATAGTGTAATATCATAATTTAGTATATTTTTAAGGTTTATCGATTATGATACAATCATCATCTTCTTTACTATCACTTTCTACAGTTATTGGTTCACCAATTTCATGATAAATTATTTAAGGTTTATCTAATTCAATAGTTTTTTAATTTTCTCTTTCTGGACTTAGGCCTAAATCTATTTCAAATTCTTATTAAAGTTTTTAATTCACATAATTAAATACTTCATTATCTACTAAGTTTGGTAATTCATCTTAAAAATATATGCATAATACATATGTCCACATACAAATCATTATTTAATAAAATGGTTTTCTAGAGCTGCAATTTTATTAAACTATCATACATTTATTAAATAATAAATTAGCATAATATTAAAGGAATTCATAATCCAAACTATTAATTAAATTTTCAATATCTTTATCAGGTAATTAATAATATATAACTTTTTTTTTTACTTCTTTAAAATTTAATTTTTCTTAGCTGAATATAATAACTAATCTTTTCATTCTTTCATTTTATCCAATTTCTTATAATTCATATGCAGTCTATACAAATGCTGAATATCCTACTTAACTATTTAGATGGATATCACCAATTACATCTTTTGTAATGTCTTCTTTTTAAAGTGAAGTTAACATAACACTGCATGTAGCTTCATTTACAAAATATGAATTAGAACATTTAAAATTTTTTCTCATTCTTAAAGATCCTGAAGTAAAATTAATTTTGGGTCCACAACATGCTTTTAATGAATATACAACATCCAATATAAATTCATATTTCTTACCATAGATATTTATTGTTTTTCCATTTTCATTTTCTTTTTTAAAAAAATCTAAAATTGGAAAAATTATATCTTTCATTCTTACTATGAATCTTGCCATTTATTCACAATAATAATTATCTGAAATAAAGATTTATTCCAATAAATCAGGACCATTAATTTCTATTGGAGGAAACCAAGTTGATTTAGAAAAATCAATTCTAATTTTTTTTTCTTCTCTTAATAAAGGCATTCTACCAATATCACATTATATTTATGTATATTAATTTACTTTTTAAGCAATAAAAAGTCTTATAGCACTATACTATTCATAAAGTTTAATTAATTGTAAATTCAAACATGATTCATATTCTAAATATTTCCATTCATCTGGCCATTATTATTATTATAAATCTGATTCTAAATTTGGACTTTATTCTTTCATTTTACTCCAAAACTTCTTTCTTATTTCTTTTCCTAACGAATCATCATAAAACACATCATATGCTACTCTAATCCAAAACTCAATTGATGTTTTTCGATTTCTAACAAATTTACAAATGCATATTTTAAAACAAGGTGATTTCAATGTTTCATTTATTATATTTTCTAATCTTCTCTATTTATACACATCCCAATCCTTTAATAGTTATTTATCATTTTCTAATTTCTTTTCATTAGGTTTCAAAACCACACCCATTATTTAATTATAAATCTCTAAATCATTATGATAACAGTCATCTAGATTTCTAGTTAACTACCTTAATTAAAAAAACTTCTTATTGTACATTTAAATAATTAAATGTTATGGTCAAATTATATAGAACCATTTTAATAGTCCAATTAATATATGGTTTTTTATTTTTAATAATTATCTATTTATTTTATAATATTTTATATATATTCTAAGCTATTCAAATAAATTATATATAGAAATTAAGGAATATATAAATTATCTATACCTTCTTATCTGAATATTAATATTCCTGAAATTTTGAGTAACAAAAAAATCCTAATTAATATTATGAATTGTTGTTTCTTATTGATATTTCATGTTTTGAATAATTTATATTATGTAAATATTAGATTTAATATCAATTCAATAATAGATTTAGAGAAAAAGATTATTAAAATAATCATATAAATTTTCAGAATATTTATCTTCGAAATAATTTAGAATAACACAATTAAATTTTTATATAAAATTTAAATAATTATCATTGACATCTTTAAGATATCATAGATATTTGAACATTGAAATCATAGAAACATTTTAAATTAGAATTCATTAATATTTTTTAAATTGATAAAATAATACAATCGTATTGATTGTATCATTAGATTTTCAAAGAAAAATGACTTAATCATAAATATTTAAACACTTTTAAGATAGTTCATTATATTTTATTTTCCTCATCTGTTTTAGTTCTTTCTGATAAAGTTGTATTTAATTTAAAGTATTCCTCATTCAACTTCTCTCTTGTTTTTTGCATAGCTTCCCTGGAAGTCATTATCATTCTCATGACCATAAATGGATCAGATTCATTTTTAGCTATTTCAAATTCTTTCCTAGCACTTTTTCTAATGATGTCTCTCCTTATAATATAGAATTAAGATTTTACCAAGTTTCACCATTCTTATTAGCCCAATCAAATTCTATTGAAAACTTTAATATATCTCTGTATAATCGTAAAGCTTCTTTATTCTGAGTTTTTTTTGCAGCTGCTCCAACTTTTAGTTTGTTGAATGGATTATCAAAAATATGAGATAATATGCTTTTTTAATTCATTAATTATAATTATAGATAAATGAGAATTTCATAATGATGTAATTGTAAATGGAAAAGAAATCTAATTAATAATAATATCTATTAATAAAATCAATCCAAAAAAAGTATGACTAAAATTTTGAATATGAAAAACAACATTCATAATTATTATTAATGAGAATTATAAGATTAAAAAAATAATAATACACATAGAATAATTTAGGCTAAAAATATTAAAATAGTATTGTAATTCTCTCTGAGTTTAAATATTTGATATAATCATAGGAATTAAAGTTTCTATCCTTGATTATATTAAGTTATATACCTTAATTTGAATCAAATATTAACAATATATAAATATGAATAATTAGAATGTATAATAATTGTAGATAAAGATAAACATTAATTCAAAAAATGGGTTTTAATAGCTTTTATAAAAGATAAGATTTAAATAAATATTTATTAGATCTAATTATTACAAAACTCTTAAATAATAAAACTTGAATATTGTTTTATTTATATATTTTTTTAGTTTTAATTAAAAATAAATTAATGGATTAGCATAAACTATAATTTAAGGAAGATTAAATAATGAAAGTACATATAATTTACGATATAGTGTAGCCTTTTAAATAAGAAAGATTTAATATTAAATAATTTTAAAGAGATTTAGAAATTAATATTCTGTCAAAAACAGATGAAAAGATAGTATTTGAGATAATAAATATCGATGCTCCTATTGCTAATTCTTTAAGAAGAATAATGATTGCAGAAGTAAATCATAATATAAATAGAGATCCCTACTATGGCAATTCATAAAGTTTAAGTAATCCAAAATACAAGTGTTATACCAGATGAAGTATTAGCTCATAGATTGGGGTAATTAAATAGAAATAATATTAGATTAATTCCAATAATTGCAGATCCATTGTAATTCATTGAAAAAGATGATTAAGAAGAATATAATGAATTAAATTCAATTGATTTTACATTATTTGCAAAGTGTGAGAAAAAGCCAAATAGTAAGTAGGATGATCCTATTGAATAACAATATACAAATACAACAGTATATTCTAGCAGTTTAATTTGGTAACCAAAAGGATAATAAGCTAAATTATTTGCTGCTAATCCAATTCGTCCAGTTCATTCTAATATTATAATTGCTAAATTGAGAGAAAATCAAGAACTGAATTTAAGATTAATTTGTGAGAAAGGTGTAGGTAAAAGACATGCAAAATGGTATTTAATAAAATTTATTTATAGGTCTCCTGTATGTACAGCCTTTTATAAATTAATGCCATCAATTACTATTAAAAATTAATTAGATAGTTAAAGATAAGAGAAGTTGGCATCTATTTGTCCAATGAAAGTATTTGGAATAAAAGGAAATTAAATAAAAGTTGTTAATCCAAGAAATTGTACTACTTGTAGAGAATGTATAAGAGAAGCCAATGGATTTGATAAAGATGTTGAATTAAATAAAATAGATAATCATTTTATTTGTAATAATTATATATATATTATTTTTAGTTTCAATTGAAAGTGTTGGATAATATGAAGCTAAAGATATTATGTTATAAGCTATAGATGTTTTTAGATCAAAAGTATAATTGTACATTAAAGAATGATTTTTTATATTCATTAATATTAATTTATATATTCACAGCATTAATTGTAAATTTCCAATTTATTTGCAAATATCTCTGTATTTACATTTATTAATATTAATAGGCTTTGTTTCAACAACTTTTTTCAATTAAAACGAAGTTATACGATATGAGGAGTTGTCAAAATGCAACATGATATTATTACAAATCTAACTATATAGTACAAGATAATCTAATAATATAATGGCAGCTTCTTCTCTTGGTTCAGGACTCTTTATCTTAAATTTGATTCATACCTAAAAATCAGTATAAAGATTTAGTTTAATTGACAAAACTGTCTTAATTTCAAAAATGGCTTATTTTAAAAATGGTAACATTAAAACATAATGACTAAGTACTTCTAAATCACTTTTATCAAAAGCTGCTGCAAATTTTTAATCTTGTATTATCATCTTATAGATATTTTGATTATCTTTAACCCTCATCCACTAATGATAAATAGGAGATTGTTACCAATCTTTCAAAAGATCTTGTAAAATTATTTTAAAATTCATTAATTTCATTTAAATATTATTTTTTTATATCAGTATTTAAAGTATATTAATGAAAATTGATTAATCCTAAAGTATTTATATTTGATTCTATCATTAATTTAAATTATTTTGTCTTAAATATAGCATGTTTAATCATAAAATAAAGTATTTTCTCTTATAAACAATTCTAATTAAAGAAATCAAAATGATCTATTAACTTGGCTACTCTAAGAATGAGTTTTAGTAAATAAAAAATGTTCTATAGTATTAAATCATTTTATAAAAAGTCTTTTGTTGGATTTTGAATAGAAAATTAAGGTTTTGGAGGATGATTGAAATAATTATTATTGTAATTTCTATCAATTGCTTCTCTAGGACTTAATCTACGTTTCCATTCATTATCTTTTTATTATTATTAATATTATGTTTAGCCTCTTGTAATATGAAAGGATCCACTAATTTGAAGTAATCTAGGTCTTTCATTAAATAAAGGATGATCAAACAATTAATTAGCAGATAATCTTTTATTCATATCTACTTATAAACATTTGATAATGAAATCTTTAGCATGAGCAGATAATAATATCTTTTTTGGAAATTAAATAGGAGTGGTTGTAATTTATTTGATAAATTCTTTTTCTGTTTCAGCTACCCAAGGAGTGCAACCTTTTTAATTAAACTAATAATATACCGCAAAGAGTTTAATAAAACATAATACCAATACTCCAAATGTCACTTTTTTCAGAGTATTAATTATCCATCAAAGCCTATGGACTCATATATAATGTTGTACCAACATTATAATAAACTTTCTCTTAAACACCCATAATTTTAGAAAATCCATAATCTGCTATTTTAGGTATTCCATTGCTTAATAAAATATTTGAAGGTTTGATATCTCTATGAATTATACCTTTTCTTATTTATTCTAAAAAGCCATTGATTATTTATTTAAATAATTATGTGGCTTCATTTTCTTGCAAATGATTTTTCTATTCTATCAATTATCCTAGATCACCTTTTTAAAATAAAAATAGATTCTCATACCTTAATTGCAAAATTCTGTTATTATGTAAGTATTAGATTGTGAACGAATACATTAATACATTTTTATGATGTTTGGAGAATCTAACAATCCTAATGCATAGATTTCTTAATTTAGTAACATCAATTCAATTTCATTTGTTAATTATTTCATATTGCATACCTTTATATTTTAGACAATTAATTACTTTTATTGCTACTAAATCTCCATTCAAATCATTTACTCCTTTATATACTTAACTTTTATATCCTGTACCAATTAAATCAGATTGTAAATAACTAAAGTGACCTATTTGAATTCGAGGAATTTATTGCATTTAAATAATTTTAATATTATTCTTTAAAAGTATCAAAGGTTTATTGCGTTTATTGGGATAGCTTTCAATTATAAAATTCAAAAAAAATTATGATTTTATAATAACAAATTCTTAAATGAGCTAAGACAAAAAGTCCTTTTTTGATTTTACTTCTCCTTTTGATTTAGAGAGATAAATCGAAATTTTTCATAAGTCACATAAAGATCAGTTCTTTGTTCCTAAAAATGACAAATTTAAAATGAAGACTCTAGTACTCTAAAGGAATTATCTTATAAAATACAATGAGAAAGTATCATATAATACTTATATAAAAAGAGTACTACATAAAAGTATTTCAATATAACAAATGCGTTAATTGAAATTGTTAGTCATCCAAAAATGGGTCTTGGAATATCACTTACTAAAAATGGTGGAAATTTTACATTTTACGGTATTGTTGAATAATGGTTTATTTATATGAAAAAATGGTGTATCTAATCCAATTTTTCTAAAGAATACAACATTATTATTATGATTGGAAAAGGCAGTTTTGCTAAGGTACTAGCACTTATATTATTTTAGGTTTTTAAAATTTAAAGAATAAGTGATAGAAAAGAATTTGCTGTAAAAGTGTTTGATAAATCGATTTTGAAAAGTTAAGATAGACCTGCTCTTCTTAAAGAAATTGAACTTCTAAGATTGATGAATCACAAAAATGTTGTTACTATTTAAGAAACTTACGAAAACGATTAATACATCTATTTAGTGTAAGAACTGTATTAAGGAGGTGAATTGCATAAGGAACTGAAGAGAAGCAGAACATTCTCAGAGAGAGGTGCATTCATAATAGTTCAATAAGTTATTGAAGCATTAATTTATGTGCATTCTCATGGAATAATTCATAGAGATATAAAACCTGAAAATATTATTTTGAGAGAAGAAGGAATAATAGATTAGATTGTTTTAGCTGATTTTGGATTAGCAGATTATTATAGAAAGGATTGTAAATATATGTTTACTAGATGTGGGACACCAGGATACGTTGCACCGGAATTATTATAAGATAAAATTTATGATCATAAAGTTGATGTATATAGTTGTGGTGTACTTCTATATTACCTACTAGTAGGAAAGGGACCTTTTGATTCTAATAATTATGATTTGACAGTGAAAGCAAATTTTAATGGATAAGTTGATTTGACTAAATTCAATTTTACAAATGAATGTCTTGAACTTTTAAGAGGGATGTTGGATCCAAATCCATAAAATAGATTAACTCTTGAATAAGTTAAAAAAAGTTAGTTTTTTAAAAGACATAATTTTACATATAATCAAGTTAGTAGTTAAACAAGTTTAGGAAGCATAAATTATTAATCAGATTCATAAATATAATCTCCATAATAATCACCATATCAAGATAACAGAAATTTTAATGAATAAAAAAGTAGATTTGTATAATATAATTCTCCTTTACATTCACCTATGAGACTCAATTCACCAAATTTATCACCCTTAACTGGTCCTTAACATAAAAGCCCTAATTTACAAAGAGTACCAATTTAAATATGAAATTAATATATATATATATATATATATAATCGAGTTAATTTTATAAATTAATAATGTATAAATCCTTTTTTGATAATTAAGATCAGGGTTTTTGGTCACCTCGAAAAATCATCAATAATTGTATTCCAATTATTGAAGGTTTATTTTATGTACCAACAAAAAGTGTTGATTAGTACGATTTAATATCTCTTAAATTATAAGGGAAATGTCTTATAATGAAAGATGGGATTGTATGTATCATTCTTATATATATAGACTGAAATATATGCAGACATAGAAAATGCTTGTATTATAAGAGTTGAATAAAAAGGAATATGTTTAATAAAAAATTAAATTGAATTCTAATTTTATGGTGATGTTGATGACTTTTTTATCAATCTCAAATAGTATTGTATCCAATCAGATTTTTAATCTAAATATCATCTCCTCTCTGTAATAGGCTAAGGTAATTATGCAAAAGTATTTTTTAATTTAATTATAGGTCTTTAAAGCCAGAAATAAACATAATTTAGCTGAAAATGCAGTAAAAGTATTCGACAAATCTTCATTTTCATAAATAACAGATAGATTAGCCCTTGTAAAAGAGATACATATTTTAAGATAATTGTCACACTCGAATATTATCTAATTACATGAAGTTTTCGAAACAAAAACTCAAATTTATCTCGTATTTGATTATTTATCTGGTGGTGACCTCACTAATTTCATCAATACTAAATAGTTAGTATCAGAAGAAGAAGCAAAAACAATTATGATGGAACTTCTCAATGCTTTACTCTATATGCACTCGAAAGGTATATTCCATAGAGACATAAAGCCTTAAAATTTACTGCTTCGTAAAAAGGGTCAAATTACTGATCTTGTTATAGCTGACTTAGGATTGGCTGATTACTATAGAAGAGATGGTAAATACATGTTTACTCGATGTGGTACTCCAGGATATGTAGCACCTGAAATTTTATTAGACAATCCTTATGATTTCAAGATTGATATTTATAGTTTGGGAGCCTTACTTTATGTAATGTTAACAGGGAAACCATTATTTAAAGGTGCAACTGAATAAGAAACAGTTCAATTAAATACAGATAATAATTTGGATTTTTCAAATACATCCTTATCTAAACCATGTATTGATCTACTAAAAAATATGCTCAACAAAAATCCATTATTTCGATTTTCTATTTCACAATGTAAAAGTCACGAATGGTTCTAATAAGATACTCAACCTATTTTTATTCGTTTACGTCATTCCATGAAATCTAAACTTCAATTTAACCTCGATTTAAATAGTGAAGACAGTAGTCCTTGTAGTCCCAAAAAAAGTTAAAAACTATTCAAAATAAAAACGAATTTGCTCTCTCCTAGATTAAGTGGAAGCTCAACTTCTAGTTTTGAAAGATAATGTAAATAAAGTAGAATGACTTGTAAAACGGAACCATCCGAATAGAAGTCGACATTTAATAAGCTAAAATTATCAAAGTAAAGATAATCTTAAAAATATTGATTGTCATATTTGATAATTTATATAATTATCTATAAATTTTCATATTCAATTTATAATGCATTCATCCTTGTGATCAAATTTGATTAATTATATGAATATAAAAAGACAAGTGCCATCATCTTCATTTTTTGATGTTTCTAAAGGCTCATTATGGCTGAACACAACTGCATCTCGTAATGTCAGTGAAGCCATCTAAGAAAATTTCTATATCTACTCTTCCAAACATCAAACATTCAAAATCAAGACTTTATATTTACAAAGTCATTTCATTTTTAAAAAGAAAAAGAATGTATAATTATATAATTCATACTTAGGGTTAAAATAAAATTGCTGACATATAAAATGCAACTATTTGTGAAATTGAACAACCAAATTATGGAGCAGGAATCAAAATTATAAAGTCAGGACAAACTATAGAAATCTATGGAATGATAATGAGTTGGCTTTAATAACTTAAGTTTTATTGTGTTTAATAGGATTTTTCAAATAAATATTCAATTATTACATTACTTGGAAAAGGAACATTTGGAAAAGTATTAAATTATTTTATAAATCTTAGGTTTATAAAATAAAATCTAGAACTACTCAATAAAATTATGCTGTCAAAGTATTTGAAAAGAAAACTCTTATAAGTTATTAAGACTATTTAGTTATAACAAAAGAATTGTAAATAGTGCGTACTTTGAATCATCCTGCGATAACTCATTTTTATGAAACTTTTGAGAATGCTGAATTCATATTTATTGTCTATGAAATGATCGAATAAGGCGAGCTTTCTACATTAATAAAAGAACGATATCTATCTGAAGAAGAATCCTTAAATATTACTAAATAATTGCTTTAAGCATTATTATTTATGCATACTTAAGGTATAATGCATAGAGACATAAAACCTTCAAATATTTTATTAAAAGATAGAAACTCAATGTCAATTGCAATTACAGATTTTGGATTAGCTGATTTCTACAGAATTGATGGTAAATATATCTATACAAGATGTGGAACACCTTTATTTGTAGCACCTGAAGTACTTTAAGACAAAATATATGATTATAAAATTGATATCTATAGTGTTGGAGTCATCTTATTTATGTTATTGTCTGGAGGAAAGTCTCCGTTTTAAGGGCCTGATGCTGATGAGCGATTATATTAAAATTATAAAGGTTCAGTGGATTATAGTCTATTACCAAATATATCTGAAAAAACATTCAATTTATTATAATCTATGCTTGAATTAGATCCTTCTAAAAGGATATCAGCTAAAGTAGCCCTTAATCATTAAGTTTTTCGAAACTTTAAAGCAAATAAATTATCATTAATAATAAATAAATCTCCCAGAAGCAATGAGAAAATATTCAGTTCTAGACTTAAAATAAATACAAATACTAATTTAGATAAATATTTATAATTAACCCCAAGACTTTTAAATATTTAATAAAAACCAGTTAATAATATGAAAAAAGAAGCGATTAGAAGAGGCTTTAAAAAAATGCAGACTTTCTCTCATCGATCCCCATAACTTTCGCCAATTAAAACCTAAACGAAATTCGAACCATTTTCATGATATAATAAATATATGTATCTTATTAAAAATGTATTATTGATTAACAAAAAGAAAAGTCTCATTCTATTTAATGAAAATAATTAAAGAAAATTACACTGTTAATTGATCGATATGTTATATAAAATATTAATATTCATGGGAATTTCTTATGAGCATATTCTAAGACTTCATAATGATCAAATGCAAATCCATCTTTACCCAATTTTAGAATTTCTTCAACACTTACCCATTATGCAGTTTTAGCATCATCTGCTGCCACAGGCTCTGCATCTTCTGGTACTTCAATCTTATAAACTATAGAAACATAATGTCCTCTTGGATCTCTATCTGGAGATCCTTTTACATCAATCAAATCAACACTTAAACCTAAAATTCCTGTTTCCTCTTTAAGTTCTCTTAAACAACATTATATTGGATCTTCACCATAATCTAAATGTCCTCCTGGAAAAGCATATTTTCCTAAGAATGGTTCATGTCCTCTTGTTATTAATAATACTTTTTTAACATCATTTTGAAGTTTTCTAAAACATACTGCATCACATGCTAATTAAGGTCTTTATTTCATTAAAAATTAAATAATTATAAGAAATCACTAATAATACAGAGTAGGAGTCTTTGATTAATTTAATAATCTCAACGATTCATAATTGAAACAACAGATATCTAGAGATAAATCATTTTTCTTTTTGAATCTTTTTTTTAAAATTTATGTGATATTATCTTTATTATCTAATGCTGGTGTTTTTATTCTATGCCAAAAATTGTTAGAATTCTTTTTAACATGTTTTTTATCACTGCTAAGATTATAATATTGAATTTCATTAGGATTTGCTTTATTATTTTTATTTGAATCTATATAATTTTATTTAATTTTGTTTAATTATATCTCTTAACTATTTTATCTCACTCTTGTAGAAGGTCTTGTTAAACTTAATTTTGGAGTTGTTATTTATTTTATTGCTTTTTCAAAATTAGTAATATTACTGTAAAGAATTCTTTGTTTTTATGCTTGTTCTCTTCTACTCTATAATTAACTATAAAATTCTTAATCATTTTAAGAAGAGAGTTCTCTTCTTTTTTAGCTCAAATAAAACTTTCGCCTTGTGTCTAAAAATTAATCGAATTAATACACTTCGACAAGTATCTTTTAATAATAAAAGGGCATTGGGGTTGCTATTATAAAAATCCTACTCATTATCAGAAAAATTTGCTTCTTTTTACACTTGATCATTGCTTTTATTAGTATGAGCACAATTTGTAAGTGAAAGATTATTACTAGTTGTGAGTTTTCTTTAAGTGGCCCTTAAGACCTTCCTAATATCATCCCATTGTTAATGTATTAATTATACTTTAACACTCATGACAAAATATAATAATATTAATATATATTATTTTTTAATGTTATTACTTTAAGTTGTTTATTTCAATTATTAACAAAATAAATAGATAAAATGCTTTTAATCTAAGGAATTAGAAGAGAAAAACCAACTTAATTATTTAAGATTTTTATTCAATAACTTAAGCATAATTTAAAAAAACTTAAGTATTAATTTTAAATACGAATATTCTAACAAATTCTTATAATCTATAATTATTGTAATTAAGGTATTATATGTATCAGAATCTCTTAACAAAAGAAAAATAAATACTAATTGTTGAATTATGAATAAATAGATTGAATGTTCAAAAATTGTAATATCATAAATAGCACTTAATAACTAATTTTCTTCTATAAAATTTGTAAATCAATTATTAAATATTCTTTAATTATTTAAGAATATTTTCCTTTAATTCATATTCGAAATAATTTATTTATTTTTTGTTATACAATTACCTAATTAAATGATAAATTAATAAGCTAACATTGCTAATATGCTTATAAATTTACTTTATTTCAAAAGATAAGAAAATACGAATCAACATTCTGGAATATATTATAGAATTATATATTAGTTATAAATTATTCGCATTTTTATGTTCATATTAAATCTTTAATTTCCATTAAATAAAATAAATATTAAAAATGGCTGAGACTATTGAGCCTTCTGCCTACTTCTTTGGATATATTGGAGTTGCATCTGCAGTCGTTTTTGCCAGTAATTCTATATTTTATTGTAGATTTGGGATCCTCATATGGTGCCACAAAATCTGGAGTTGGAATTTGTTCAATGGGTGTTTTAAAACCAGATTTAATTATGAAATCAGTTATTCCTGTTGTCATGGCTGGTATTTTGGGAATCTATGGGATGATTGTTGGTGTTATTTTATAAGGAAAAGGTATTTATGACTTATATAATAAATAGTTTCATCAATAACAGCAGCATCAGCATCAAAATAAGGATATGCTTATTTATCTGCTGGATTATGTTGTGGATTGAGCTCTTTAGTAAGATATATTTATTTTACAGATTTTAGGCTGCAGGATTATCAATTGGTATAGTTGGTGATGCAGGAGTCAGAGCAAATGCCTAATAAGACAGAATTTTCGTAGGAATGATTTTGATTTTGATTTTTGCAGAAGCTTTGGCATTGTATGGGCTTATTGTGTCCTTGATTTTATCATAAACATCATGAGTATTATTATTAAAGCACAAATATAAAGATTAATCCATATGAATAACATATTTAATAATATTAATCCTAATCATGATTTTTCTTATACAATTTCAGCATTGCAAGAAGCAAAAACTACATTTGCTTATGGTTTTCCACTTTGTGATCCTTTAGATTCAATTGTCTTTACCAAATCCATATTCTCTATAACCCGCCCAAAAACGACATGTTTTCCATCTAACTTTAAGAATATAATTATTAATCAAATACCCAATGAGTTTCTGCTGTAGTAATAAAGAATTGACTACCATTTGTATTTTATCCAGCATTTGCCATAGATATGCAACCAATCTCATGTTTCAATTTGAAATTTTCATCATCAAATTTACTCCCATATATTGATGCTCCTCCTGTTCCATTTCCATTTACAAAATCACCCCCTTATATCATAAAATTTGGAATAATTCTATGAAATGGAGATCCAACATAACCTAATCCTTTTTCTCCTGTGCATAATGCCCTAAAGTTCTCAACAGTTTTTGGAACAATCTCCCCAAAAAGACCTAATGTTATTTCACCTGCACTCTACCCATCAATTGTCACTCCTATTTTAATTTTATGTGTAATGACTTCATTTGATAAAGAGGAGAAAACTCCCATTATCATAAAGCATAAAATTATCAATTTCATTTGATATTATTATCTATAGATTTTAAGAGAATTTATAATACATAAACAAAATCTCTAAAATCTAAATTTTTATTCCCTTAATTCATTAATAATAGACTGTTTAAAACTTATATCAATTATTAATACAGCAGTATAATTAATAATGAGAAAAGAAAAGACTTAAAAAATGTATTTCCACTTCTTTTCAGGTCAACATTGTTAAAGATAATCTTATTTAAAAAGTCTCATTACCATTATAGGAAATATTTTTAGGTATATAAAAGTTATGTATATATGAAATAAAATTGAAGTAATATCTGCTTTTGAATTTTACTATTGTAAATTTATACTATTCATCAGTTTTATGCAATTATATAATCTTAAAATTCTTTTTTAAGTTAATTAAATCCTTGTATGATATTAAATTTTACTTATTTCCAGATAGACCTTTTATTAATATTTATTGATTTCTTCTAGAAATGATTAAATTCTATTAATTTTAAAATTTGAATCTTGAAATAATTAACAACATCATTATCCTAACCATATTGCATTTAAATATATTGAAGAAATAAAAAATTTATTAATGTTAAAATTATTTTAACAAAATTCATATAAATTAGAATTTTGAATTCTTCTTATAAATAAAAATTTCTTTACTAAATTTCTATTTATTAATTGTTTTCAATAATTAATTCATCTCCTTAATTAATACAAGAAGAATATTTTTTGATTAATATAATCATATCATCAAATAATCAAAAATAATGAATAATTGAGAATTAAATATTTATTTATAAAATATTTTATAAACATTCTATTTGGCTCAATTCCAAAGAGGGACATTAAATATTTTATCAATTTTTCATTCAGGTATACCTTGAGCTCTTGAGCCTATGCAAAATTAAGTGTAAAAAATAAAAAAAATGAATTAATACAATTACTATTACAATTATTTTTATTTTTATTTTTAGACTGAAGATTCCAGTTCATTTTATTAGAAAGGAACTTCAACTCATTAATTTATTATGAGAATGAAAAGAAAAAAAAATTATTAATACATATTAGTGATTATTTTGTTTTTCTTTCCTTGTTTGTTCTGAAGTTTATTTATTCCAATTAAGCTCATTCATAGTCTTTGAGTTTTTCTACTAAATACTCAATTACTAAAACAGGTTTGTCAAACCTCTAGCCTGAGGACTTCCTTGAGCTTTCTCCTTCAGACTATATGTCGTTTAAACTGAAATCTTCTAGACTATCTAGGGAAGGACTTGGAAGAGGTCTTGAATAAAAAAAGCATAAATACCTAGTTTTTTAAGGGGAAGAAGGAGTAAAAGATGAATTTGAGTTGAAAAAGGATTGACTTGAATCCATATGATGGTTGTTTCTTTTATTAAAAATATTTTTATTAATTTTCAAATTGGTAAATCACAATTTAAATTTGTTTTTGATTATTTTATTCATGAAATATGATTGGTTCTAATTCTAATAGATGATTTAACATATTGAATGAGAAAAATTGTATGATTTTAAAAATGATTCAACTTAAAATCACTTATCAATTAAAATCTAGGTAGAGCCCTTATAATATTTTCATTATATAATGAATAATTTGAATCTTATAAATTAAATAAAAAAATTTAAAGATAATATTGTTTTTATAATAATTTACAAGAACAATAATGAATTCTTACTTCATAGATATTCATTAATAGATCAAAAAATAAATCCTAATAATTTATAAATAAAAATTGAATTTTTTTTTTATTGGAATATAATTTAAGATAAGTTTGTTAAGAATTTGTTTTGATTAAAATAAAATTATGATATTTATATTCACATATTTTAACAAAGATGTTAACCTATTCATATAATATTATAAAATTTTTATAATTTATTTTAAGCTAATTTTTTTGCTTTGTATTAGTAAAAATATATTATATACTTTAACTTTAACATTTCCTGAAATCCTTAAAAGTCTCTAAACACCAATATCTCAAAAAAATTATTTTTTAAAGTAGATAATTTTATTTCACTCTTTTATATCGGTTTTACAGGCCGAGCTTTTGTTAACTAAGCAATAATTTAATGATAACTACAAAAAGTTAAAAAAGGAATTAAACTAAAAGCAATATATTTCTTTATTATTCCTTATAAGAAAGATATTTCTAAAAGTTTAGAGTATAGCCTAAGTTAAACATGCGATATAATCAACCTTATAAAATTAGTATAATTCAAAATATTAGAATCTTTTCTCCTAGCAATTGAATTTTATTTGATATTAAGTAAAATTATATGGAGATTTCGCAATAATTAAATATGTTCGAAGATTATGTAGAATATATTGATAATATAAATAAATGATGTTAATATATATATGATAAGATAAATGATTATTAATAGATTGATAGTATTATGGATAATAAAAATAAAAAAAAATCGATGCCTGTGAGACTCGAACTCACGCGGGAAATCCCAACGGCTTAGCAGGCCGCCGCCTTAACCACTCGGCCAAAGCATCTAACTTATTTTGTTTAAGAGACATAATTATTTATAATATATATGATTATTAATCATTTATTACATACAATATATATATCTAGAATTATATTATTCATTTTATTATTATTATTATTTTTAATAATTATATAATAAAAATCAATTTATTATTATTATTAGATAAAATTTAAAGACTCTTATCAACTTTTTAAAGTAGGATTTCTTGATATTATTTTTTTAATATACGTATTTTTTTTTTAAAAATTACATCTTTAATTATTAATAATAATATCTATAATAATTCTATCTATCTAAGATAATAATATCTGAACATTAAAAATAATAAAATTGGCAATTTTCTATTAAATCAAAAAACTAATAAAACCCTAAGTTATATATCATTATTTGAGATTTATTTTAATATGAGCTAATAAATTTGGTTTATAAATACTAATCATAGCTAGAAATAAAATTCAATTTTTTTAATTTTAGATTCATGAATAAAAGTTGAAATAACAAGTTTATTAGATATTTATTATCTATTTAATGAGAAAATTAAAAAATTGTGTTATTTAATTAAAAATCATTTTTTTGAATAGTAAACTCAAAAGTAAATTATTTAATTATAAATTATATAAATGATATTTAACTTATTATGCATTTTTCTATTTTATCTTAAGTTTGAAATAAAATAAGTAATTTAATATAAATATATAATTAATTTGCTCATTTAACCGATTAAAATATATGGGAAATGATTGTACTCAAAGTTGTAATGTAAATACTTCATCAGAAGTTGATTAGATAGGATTCTCTATAGATGAAACTGGTAAGATTATTAAAGACGAAATACAAAGAAATAACATTATTTTTTCATAAGATGATATTAACATGAATGCATCAAAAGCTTAGTTTTTCAATATGCAGAATAACAGTTCATATTTTTAGCAGAATAAAGATTCAGAAGATATATAAGATAGTACTAAGCAATCAAAATAGGGTAGAATTATGTCATAAAACTAATAAATGAACAAAAAGCTTGAAAAAAGACCACCTTATAAATTTAAAAATGGTGCAGTATATGATGGTTAATGGAAAGGAGTTTTTAGAGAAGGTTATGGAATTTAAATATGTAAATATATTATTAATCTATAGGGCCGGACGGTGCAAAGTATGAAGGAGAATGGATGAATAATCAAGCAAATGGAAAAGGTAAATTCATTCATGCTGATGGAGACATCTATGAAGGGGATTGGGTAGATGATAAAGCAAATGGATATGGAATATATCTTCATTTAAATGGAGCAAAATATGAAGGGTTTTGGAAAAATGATTAATAAGAAGGTTAAGGTTCTGAAGAATGGATTGATGGTTCCTACTATAAAGGTAATTACATAAGTGGTAAGAAAAATGGATAAGGGTCTTATTAATGGAGTGATGGTTCAACTTATGATGGGAATTGGTTGGATAATAAAATAAATGGTTTTGGTATTTATAATTGGTGTGATGGAAGAAGATATGAAGGAGAATGGGTAAACAATAATATGCATGGTAAAGGAATTTATACTTGGAAGGATGGAAGAAGATATGAAGGAGAATATTAATTTGATAAGAAACATGGATTTGGTAAATTTACATGGCCAGATGGGAAAGGTAATAAATAAAACTATCATTAGCTTATGAGGGTCTTTGGGCATATGGAAAATAGAATGGTTAAGGGAAATATATACTTCCTGATGGAAGTGTTAAGGTAGGAATTTGGGAAAAGGGAAATAGAATTACTTGGTTAGATGATGATTAAACATAGTTACCTTAATAGTTGAAATAACCATTTTGATAATTAACATATCCATGATATTTCTATATTTTTGCAGTTTAAAGTTGCTTTAAAAAAGTCTTTATATTTATTGCAGAATATTTTAATCTTTAACTTTACATATACAATTATCAATGCTATATATTAAAATCAAATATCTATAATTTAACAGTATTTTGTTGGAAGTTTAGAAAATGATTTCTTATAAATAAATAATTTTCAAAAATGTTTAATGTATTTTGATGTAAAATAAAATTTGATTATGCTTTGATAGTAATTGAAATATTTTAAATAATAATAATTGATTTAAACTCATTTTTATTATTAAGGATTTTATTACAATTAAAGATACATGTTGTTAATAAAAGGCTAATATTGATAAAGTAATTAGGGATTCAAAATACTACATTCAGCTTATTTTAGTTAATTAAAGTAGTAATATTGTTGATATATAGAATAATTGAAATAATTGTAATACATTTAGGATTAATTGTAAAAGAATTATAAATGTTTGTGATTATCTGCAGTAAATCTTAAATTTTAATCTTCTTCCTTTACTTTAATAGTTTGACATTCTGATTTTATATCTAGATTCTTATTAGAGTTATTAAGTCTTATTTTTTTATCTAAAATGTCTTGTAATGTTTATAACTCAAAATATTATTTTAATTTGTCTGTATTAGTTTCTTAATTTATTACAAGTTAAGACAAATTATTTAAGTTTTCTGAGAGTTAATTATTCTTTTATAATAATTTAAGCTAAAATTTTTATCGTTTTTTTAAAATCAAAGAAAAAGAAGTAATTAAAATTTGACATTCCTTTTTGTACTTTAGATTTTTTATAAGATTAGATAGTATCTCCAACTATTGTTTGATTTGTTATTATAATGATTTTGCTTTATTCAAGCTAAAAATTAGTTATTTTATTTTTTAATTCAATTTCATATAAATAGGATTCTTTGCATTTTTTATCTCAATTAAATAGTTTTATAAAGGTTCTAATAATTCAAAAGGTTTATTGGATGAGTAAATCTAAGTGATATTTATTTTACAATCTGAATTACTGTTTATATTAGATATTTATATTTAAGTCTATTCCATTGTAACTAAATATTATTCTTACAATTCATCTAAATGTAGTAATAGGTTTTTCATTCTTGATAATGATAACTAATTTTTAAGCATTATGCCGTTTTTCATTTTTTAATTTGCAATTATTTATATATTATCTAAATTTATAATCCTATTAATTCTTTAAATTGGTTATGCTCTCAATAATAAGATAAGTTTGCTACTTACATAAATTTTAATTAAATATGAAATGATAAATAAGTTAATCTGTTAAAAGGTTTATATCTTGCAAATATGATACAACCAAAATAACTCTGTTATTAATATTGATAATAATATTATAATAAAATAAAATAATATAACATAATAGTCAAATAATATTGATTCAAGAGAATATGTTATTGGGAAACATTAGGAAGTTGTATGAAATGTTCTTTATTAAGAAAAATAGAGTAAAATCAATTGATTAAACCTAGGTAGCTCACACTTATTTTGAAGAATTAAAATTTTTTATAAAATATAAAATTTTGAAGAACAATAATGAAATCGTTATAAAGAATAACAAATAATATTTTAAAACTAAAATACTTTTAATATTTTATTCATTATATTGAGTAGTATGAGAAATTGATTTTAAATTAAAACATATATAAATATGTGAATTTTGATTTTTTGATCCTATATTAATTCTTATTTTAAATTTGATTGATTCAAAATAGAAGATTATTATAATCTTAAGTATATTAGGATTATTAATATATATATATATATCTATTTATTATATAATTAAATATAAATAATAATGTATATTTAATAATCTAAATAGAAGATATTTGAAGAAGTGTATAATATCTAATTGTTGTATACAATTTTAGATATTATATTGATAATTTATGGGTGGAAATAAGTTAGATTGAATATATTAAAATATATTTATTAAATTTATTATATCGTTAATGCTGAGTCAAAAAAATTTATTAGTTGGTGATGAAGATTTCAATTTAAATAAATTTCGAGATTCTTTGTATCTTAGAATATAAAGTCCAAGCTAATCAAAATTAAGTAGTGTAAAAAAGGAAGAGAATTCAGTTAAGAAATCAACTAAGAATTCATTACATACCGATATACAGCATCGAAAAAGGTGATTAAAATTATTATTAATAGTGTACCATCATTTGATGAGTTATTGAAAACAATGAATACAAGTAATGGTCCTGTCTAATAATCAAATGTTTCTAATCATAAAAGAAATATCACTGATTCATCTCGAAAGATGAGTGGTATATATAATAAGATTGAATGTTTTGGAAATAATGAAGTTAATTAAATAACAAAATTATCATAACCGTAATATATTTATAACAAATTTAGATTCATTTCAAATACACCTCTAACAATATCAAATAATTAACTACCAAAAAGGACTACCTTCTCGAGTAGTATCACAGAAAAACCTGTTTTTTCAAAGGGAAATGGGAAATCTCTAATGGATAAACTGTCTTTAAAAGAGTTAATGGAAATTCGCAGTAAAATAGATAATAGCACATAATCAGAGGTTCATGAATTATCTGCAAATTATGTACAAGAACTATTAAAATTATCTTAAATAATTATGAAGTAAATAAGGCATATAAAGCATTGAAATATGTTTATATATTTATTAATAAGAATTAATATTTTTATTAAGAAAATGGCATCTAAAAATTTTATATCGAAAAGAGTAGCAGAACAATTTACAAAAAATATCATTCTGCCAAACAGACCTAAAGACTTATATTCCTATCAAAAAATGCTTATGCACAGATGCACTAATTTAGGAATGAAAGAATTAGATATAATTTTGGGAAGATGGTCTTAAGAATTCGTGCCTAAGATGAACTATGAAGAATTGAATTAGATGGAGTCTGAAATATTAGATTTAGATACTATTGATATCTATAATCTATTATTATAGGTTAAAGTGGCCGAAGAATTGAAACCTTTGGAACAATTAAAGTATGTATAAGAAATCAGAAATTATGCTCTGAAGGGTTTGATATGAGATATCTATTAATATATACAGATTATTAATAATATAAATATAATTTAATGTTCAAGAACAACTTCTACTCTTATGTGGGTGGTACTAGATCAGATATAGCAATGAGTATTGAATCCTATTTCGAAGTTATGGAAGTCTTATTAGATTAATATATGAGTAGAGAAGTATAAAATATGATATTATAAACAATAAGATGCTATTTAATTTCAAGAATTGCAGTCAAGTACTCAATGATATTGTAGTTTCTGCACCATTAGCCTTTTTACCTTTCTCACTTCTTGGAACACAATGGCTATTTGCAGGTGCTAATAGAAAAGGAGCTAATAAAGCCTATGGACCTATACTTGCATCTGTACATATGTTAGTATTATGGAGAGCTTACACTGCTCCTATTCCAAATAAATTATTCACTAAAATAGTTGCAGATCCTACGGTTGATGGATAATATATTAGGTATTAAATTATTATCAATTTAGAACTTAATTATCTGTTATGAAACCAGGTTTATGGTAAGTTTTGAGTAGGGAATTATATCATAAAGGATATAGATTTCCAGAAATGTTAGAGTTCAAGACAGCTACAGAATTCCCAACTGGATTTGTTAAACCTTATTGATGGTATATCATAATAATATAAATATATTCAATATTTAATACAATTTATTATTTAATTTTAATACAAAAGTATATGGAGGCAGATTAACTATTGGTGACTAATTTTTTTATAGAATAATAAATAAAAATATTAAAACCCTAACCTCTAGCTATTAAATAAAGTGCTGAAATTTTATAGCATTACTATAAATTGTAAGCAGTAATAATTTTAACATATTATCACTTTTATTAGAAAGAATAAGTCAAAATCATAGAAACATCTTTGCTAAACATTTATTCATTCTTTCAATCAGACAACTTTGAAAGTTATTAGGATATCAACACTAAAATTAATAATTTACTTGAAGATATTTCTAGAATTGATGATAATACAATAAAAAAGGGACAATTTAGAAGATCGATTGGTAGAAAGTCATTATAAAAGTATTTCATTTTTATTTTATATAATCATTTAGATCATTTAAAATTTTATCTTTAAAGCTTAGGATAACTTTAGACATTATCAGTAAAAACTGGATAAATAAACAAAATTAAAAAAATTAATTAAGATGGTCTAACCTATGCATTCGAAACATACAAAAGTATATTGACATATTTACAATAAAGTTCTTTGAATTCAGATTTATCATCAATATCTAAAAAGTTATTAAAAATGTTTATATGCAGAATATGTGAACAACCAATCTAAGCAACATAAATGGCATAACATTGTATAAAGTGTGAATAATAAGCTGAAAGTAAAAAAAGATTATTAGAACTAAATTTGGAATTAGCAAATATTTGTGATTAAGCTTATTTAGAAAAAAGAAATGTACAAGTTAAGTTAGCAATTAAAAAGTATTATTATCTTAATTATACTTTAAGAATGAGAGATAAAACAAGGAAAAGATAATATCATAATACAAAATTTATATATAGAAGAGTTCAAACTTTAGATGATTAAGATGAAGATGAAGATAATTAAAATGAATATTAATAAGAATTGAATACTATAGTCAACATAATGACATAAATTATTAACTTTGCTGAAAAAACATTAAATAATGCTGCAGAAGTTGAAGATACTAAATGTAATATCTTATAATGAGCTTTATTAATAGAAACTTTAGTATTGTTAAATGACATTGTCAATGCAAGTGGATTTATTGAAAGCCAAGAAACATTGTCGATTATAAATGCAACTCATAAATGTTTATTAGATAGACTTGATTATTAAAAAAAATAAGAGAATATAATCAATAATTCATTAGAAGGATCTCCTAATTAAAGTTAAGATAATATCAGTAAAATTAAAAGAGCATTTACTAAATCTAATTCAATTTCATTTAGAATGCCAAAATTTTAAAATTCTCCATCTCCTTCTTAAAGGATATCTACAGATCCAATTTAAGAAGAAGATGATACACCATAATCACCTTAAATTTAATCATCTTAAAAACTTACATCTTAAAGAAGAACATTTAAAATGAATTCTTCTATTTTTAAAGTGAGTGATGGATCTGATTCACCTAAATCAATTAAATAACCATCTACATTGACATAAATGAAAACAAGTTATTTTTCTTAAATAGAAACAAATTAATCTATAAATTCTAATATAAGTGATGTTAAAGTTGAATAGACATTAAAATAATCTAGTAATGAAATTAAATAATCTAGTAATGAAATAAAATAATCAAGAGAGAATATTTAAAATTCATTATAAAAACTATCTTAATTCAAAGCTTCAATTTAACCATTATTAATGAAAAATTAGAAAAAATAAAATTTAGAGGAAATTACAGAAGAAAAAAAATATCCTAATAAAATAATTGAAATTAATAAATAATCTATTAAAGATAGCGAAAATTCATCTAATAAATCTAGTTTAGAATCTAGTAATTCTAATATTAATAATAATGATTTAATTAATTTAGCTCCTAAAATAAAATAAAAAAAGAAAAACAAATTAAGTTTTTAATCATAAGAAATTGATAAAATGTAATTAAATGGTAAAAATCCACAAAGAAAAAGTAAATTCTTTGAAAATCAAGTTTGTAAATCTCCCCTTGTTGTATATGATAATACAATGGATGAAATTTTGATTGATAAAGGATATCATTCCGATTCCAATTTAATAAAAACTGTTTCTCCATAATAAAATGAAACTTTAAAAGTTGGAATTAAAGATTTTGAATTCATTAAATTATTAGGAAAAGGAGCTTATGGATGGGTTTTTTTAGTAAAGAAAAAAGGTTCAGGTGATTTATATGCATTAAAAATAATTGATTGTGCTTAAAGAGTAAATTTGTTATTTTTATCATAGAATTTAGAAGCATTTTTTGAATAATTAAAGGCTGAAAGAAACATTTTTGAAATTCTGAATAGTAGTTTTGTTGTTAAAGCATACTTTTCATTTGTTCATGAATAGTATCTTTGTTTTGTACAAGAATATATGATGGGAGGAGATCTAGCTAGCATTTTAAAATAATATACGGTAGATTCTATTATTAATATAAAAGGCACTTGATGAATTATATGTTTAACATTATATGGCTGAGATTGTTTTGGCTTTAGAATATTTAAGATAATAAAATATAGTACATAGAGATTTAAAACCAGAAAATATATTATTAGATTGTTAAGGACATGCTAAACTAGCTGATTTTGGTCTATCAGAATAAGGAGTGAATAGTAGATTAAAATTAAAAGAAAATTTGAGTACTTAAAATTCAGTAGAGATACCAACTTGTATAGAACAAATTAGTGATTAATCTGGATATTAGCCTATTTATAAATAACTCAAAAAAGTAGAATCTATTTTAGTGGAAAAATAAGGAAGTAAGACTAAAAAGTAAAATTTACAATATTAATATAAGGATTGTTGGTACTCCAGATTATATTGCCCCTGAAATTATATTGGGAACTTCAGTGAGTAATTTTAGTTCAGATTACTGGAGTTTAGGCATTATAATGTATGAATTGCTCTGCGGTATTGCACCTTTTAATGATGATACTGTAGAGAAAATCTTTGATAATATTCTGAATATGAGGATTGAGTGGCCTTAAATTGGAAATGAAGAAGAATGTATTTCAGAACAAGCTTATGATTTAATTGTAAAATTATTGGAACCTGACTTTAATAAAAGAATAGGTCATAAATCTATAGAAGAAATAAAAAATCATAAATTTTTCAGAGGTTTTTTATGTATAATAATATTTTAGGTATATAATGGAATAGACTATTGAGTAAACCAGGATTGATTATTCCAGAATTAACTTGTGAATTAAAAGACACAGAAAAAATGCAACAGTTTTTAAAAAAATTGGAAAAGACTAATAAAGATTCAGAAAATGCAAAATTAGCCTTATAATTAAAAGCATAACTTTAAAATTTAGAAAGAATTGATTTACTTAAATAAAGAAGCACATAAGAATCCGATAAATATTTGTATAATTTAATGATTAATTAGATTATAAGTGTAAAATGAACAAAAGAAATTATAACATCAAATTGAGTTACTTACACAACTTTATGCAAAACTTTACTAATGTTACTCTAAGATGTAGTGAAAAGATTTTTGTTCTAATAAATTAATATATATATTTTTTTTAAATTAATCATATAAATTATTAAATAATTTTACCAAAATTTATAGATATATATATATTTATATCTTAAATATCTATGTACAAAAGATGGTAATTAATTGTTTTATGAATAAAAACATGAACAGAAAATTTTTCCAACTAAGATAGATGACTAGAAATCTTGATGAGACTTTTAAAGAAGATTTAGAATTATATGTAAAATTATTGTAAAAGAAATATCAACCAAATCCTTAAAGATTAAATAATGATAAACAAATGTTATAATAATGGGATTAATTCAAATAGTTTAGATTATCTAGTATAATAGATTCTACTCTTGATTCAGATATTTTTAAGATTTGCATTTGTGATTTTATAAAAAAAAAAAGAGTCAGCATGGAATTTTGGATTAAAGTTGCATATGATATTTTTCATGATGAAGCAAAAGGAAAATAAGTTAGAATGAAATTTTGGAGATCAATGAGAAAGAAATCTAGTAGTTTAGAATTAGATCTAAAAAATAAAAAATGGCCTGTAGCATGGAGATATTTAGAAAGAGAACCATGTTTGAATTTGGAATTACTCAAATTGTATGAACAATATATGCCTATACGTCCATTTTTTGCTTAAACTCTAAACACTATGACTAATATCACATGTGATTTAAGGAGAATGCCTATGCTAAAAGAAGAAAAATCAATCGAATTTGATCTATCAAAAACTACTTGGTTTCCTAAAATAGATATGTGTGGTCCTGCTATTTTAGAGTAATTGTCTAGTTCTGATAACTATTTTTGTGATTCATTAGTCAAATTTACAACAGAAATGAAGGCAATAATGTTCCCAATTTTAGATTTCTTTAGATTAGATAAAAAAAAAGGTAGAATTATTAATTTATTTGGTGAATAGCACGATTTTATATTAGAAGTAATTTATTCATTAAAAGCTTTTTGTGGATAATCTATTAACTATACTTAAGGATCATTAAAAAAGAAAAAGAATTATAAATGTACGAATTCATATAAAATTAATGAAATGTAATGTAGTATTATGTTAACAACATTATCAGAAAATGATTTAAATTAAGAAGTAATAAATGATATCCAAAATAATATCTAAGGAGGCTATTCAGCATTTATTTAGGATAATTAAATGTATTATCACAGTGAAAAGAATCAAAGATTGGTTCTTATATTTAGCTAAAAAAGATTATAATTTGGAAGAATTACAAAAGGAATTAAATACTACTAAATTCCTGACTAACAAATTTCTACATTAAAAAATAAATTAGATTATGAATTTCTAATTTATTATGCCAATATTTTGTTCAACAAATGTATGATAGTATAATAGAATTGCAGTTCAAGAAAACCTTTTTATTAAGTTATGATTTGTATGTGGACATATGTTTTAGCAGTCTATCTTTCAGGAGAAA